GTGTCATGGCAGATTGAATAAATGCCTTTGCTTTCTTTTTAGCCTAAGTTCTGATGAAGCAGAGGGCGATTCAGATGACGAACCGGAGAAGAAGAAAGAGGAGGAGATGGACGAGGAACAGGAAGAGGAAGAGATGGAGAAGAAACTAGCAGAGCTGAAAGCGGAGGAGGTGGCAGAGCTAAAAAGGTTTGACAGGATTACAACTTTTTTTCTAATCGACATTAATACAAATTTAATTTTGCCTGGATTTTCAGCTTCTACTTATTCTACGTGTTTGCAGAATATCATTGTAGTTTCTAATCCTAAATTCTAACTTGGGGTGGGGGGATACATCTCAGTTTCTGAAGTTTTGTATTGCTGATGGATGGAGGAACACTTTTGCTGTCATTGACCTCTTACCATCTTCCTAAAATGTCAAAAAATTTCAACTGGCTGGTTTGACATTTTCTGAGACATTTGGTGTAACCGTGATGCTCCTACAGGAAGAAGAGGAAGCTTCTGAAGGAGCGGCGGAAGCAGAGGGAGAGGGTGGAGCTGAAGATGGACCTCCCTGGTGTCTCCATCGCAGATACCAACGATTCATCCATGTTCTCTCTCGCCACCATCAAGAAGCAACAGGTGAAGAGTGCACACAGATACCTCACACAATCACAAGAGCAAAGACACACCAAGTTGATGCCACAGAAATAAATGGTTCTTGATATCGGGGGTTAAACAAGATTAGAATGTGCAGGGGAAATATACAGTCAGTGGGGTTAACACTGGTCTCATGAAACAGCTCCTGGACATCTCCTCAATGCTTATGTTGCTTTGGTTTTCTCCTCTCTCCATCAGGCGCTGGTTGACATATCCAAGGGGGACATGCAGGCTGCAGACGCCCTAGTAGAAGGAGACGACGACCTTCACCTGTCTGATGAGGAGGAGGATGACGACGAGGCAGACAAAATGTCTCTAGCTTCTGATTTAGATGATGAGGACTTGGAAGAGATTGAGCAGAGACAGGAAGAGCTAGAGAAAAAAGCACCAAAGAAGTAATTGGCTGGTTAAACGAATGGTTTTGTTGATATTTTTCTAGAAGATTTCCTTATGTAGTTTTTTGTAATCTGTTTATTTATGTTTCCCAGAGTAAGGTTCGATGAAGAAGAAGAAGAGGAGGACGAAGGGCAGGAGAGCGGCTTGCTGGTGGAACTAGAGGGAAAGGATGAGAAGAAAGAACGAGAGACAAACCTGTGGTTCAGCAAGGTTTGTGTAGAATTCCACCTATAACTTAATATTTACCATTTTTAAACTGACTGCAGCACAAATTTGTTTAATCTTCATTTCTGTTGCTGACCTCTACTCTGCATTACACCTGCAGAAAGTCTAATTACTGTGAAACCTTTAACCATGTCTTCTTTCACTCTGTAGGGCATCTTCTCTGAGATTGATCTGGAAGGAGACGCAGAATGCGAGCTCCAACAGACCGAGTGGCTTCTGAACAAAAAAAAAGGTAACAAATTCCTCTGACATTTATTCACAGATGTTGCTGAAAGTCCTTTCTTTTTAAAAAATGGATTTCAAGGAGTCCTCAAAAATGCTTTAAAAAAACAAGAAGAGTTTAAAATGACAGTACTAAAGTATCCCCTTGGACTGACAAAGTATTTTCAATTTTGGAAACCTTTATAGAAAAAAGCAAAAAGAGGAAAGCTGATGATATAGAAGAGAAGGAGGAGGAGCAGGCTGCTCTGCCAGTGGAGGAAAAGGCGGTACCTTCACAGGAAGTTGCAGAGAGTGACAGCGACTCAGATGACAGCAGCGATGATGAGCAGTAATACCTTCTATGCTGTTTTTATGTTCTGAATAATGTATAAGGAATCCAATGTTACAACACTATAATATAATTGACATCCAAACTACTGAACACAATAATACATGAACATATATTGCTGCTTGTTCCAGGGAGATTAGCAGGATAAAGCAGGCCAGCGGGGCTGGTGGGATTTCAGGACTGGCTGATGACGATGACCTTCAGGTTGTTCCTGTAGAGAGCATGAGTGAGTATGAGAAACACATTTTTATTTTTTTTATGAATTGACGTTTTGCTGATGATTTCCATTCTAACTATTTACTTTGGAATCGCAAAAAAAAACAAGGATGTTTAATGCATTTCTTAGAATTGATGTATACAAATAAAAAAGCATCGACTGGAAGGTTATATTAGTAAGAAAGAGGAATATTCACTTTTCCAAATATATATTTTTGCAGCTAGCCAACCCAGCAACATTGTTCTAACTGTGTGTGTGTGTTGTTGGTTCTGTGCTATTCAGGTAAGAAAGCAAGAATCCTGGATGCAGAAGGCCTGGCACTGGGAGCTCAGATCGCTACGTCTAAGAAGAGAGCCAGGGACCTGATGGACGGCTCCTTTCACAGGTTGGCATGTGCATAAGACAAAGTGTCGTCTCACAACTTCATAAATAATGTCAAAGGAGGAGGATGATGATGTTTTGTATCGACTAAAACAAATCCATTGTCAAAATAAATATAACAGCTACATTAGATGAGACACAGAGTAACACTGTTAAACCTCCTACCAAATCCTGCAGCTTTAAATACCTTCTAGTGCAGCAATGTGATGGATAGTGAAAATATACTGAATTTGCATTCAAAGATGTACATCCTTTATGGATAAGCAATAAGAGAAATATAGAGTAAAAAGCACAAGGAAGGCCTTTTAAAAATAAAAAATTAAAGTTGCTAAATATCTTCTGAGCATGTTAGCTCTAATGTTTTCATCACTGATTGTGTATTTTACACATAATCAGACACAGCATTAGTTTTGATAACCAAAATAATTTCTCTATTAATTTAAGATTGAGAGTTCTATGAATTACAAATTTTAAAAAAAGTACATTTTGGTACATAAACAATACACATACATAACATAAGTATGTACCTGTACAGTAAGCTGACTGTGTGCTCCTTCAGGTTTGCTAGCTCTGAGGAGCAGTGGGATGTACCCGAGTGGTTCCTGGTCGATGAGCGGAAACACAGGAAGAAGCCGGTGCCGGTCACCAAAGAGATGGTGGAGGAGTTCAAACAAAAATGGAAGGAGATCGATGCCCGACCCATCAAACGCGTCGCAGAGGCCAAAGCCAGGAAGAAGAGAAGGGTAAGATCAGGGGAAAGTCCTGTGGTGTGGTGGTGCAGCTGCATGATGATGACATGAAACAAAAGAAAGTTGAAGAAATTTAAGTGAAAAAGGACGAGACGTTGACTGTACCAAAATTTGCTTTCATGGCTTTTGTGGATCTGAACTGGTTTGTTTCTCTGTGGTATTTCCAGATGCTGAAGAAGATGGAGCAGGCTAAAAAGAAAGCAGAGGCAGTCGTAAACACAGTGGACATCTCAGAGAGGGAGAAGACGGCTCAGCTGAAGAGGTATGATGTCACACCTGCGGGGGTTGGAGCTGAAACCTCAAATTTTGATCAAATGCATTTCTTTACTGTAGATAATATCATTTAATCATTTCTGTTCTTGTCCATTCATCAGTATCTACAAGAAAGCCGGCATCGGGAAGGAGAAGAGAGAAGTTACCTATGTTGTGAGCAAAAAGGGAGCTGGCAAGAAAGTGAGGCGGCCCGCTGGTGTCAAGGGACAATTCAAGGTTGTGGACAGTCGCATGAAGAAAGACATGCGCGGAATGCAGAGGAAGGAGCAACATGGTAAAGGTGGAAAAGGCAGAGGAGGACAGTCCAAGGGTGGCAGAGGAGGGATGAAAGGCGGTAAAGGGCGAAGAGGAAGATAGATTTGAATCTGTAACTCTCTCACTGTCCTGCCTTTCTGTTGTTACACACTGCCTGGTCTCATGTATGCATTTAAGGAGCTTTGTGAGCTAAGATGCCTGCAACAGTTTGAGCTCCTTCATCAGGTACAGAGACCAAGATGAAGACGTGGATGCCCAATATAAGCAACCTCTGCTGAGGTCCCTCAAACTCATGGACACTTCAGTGTTCTGAGGTTTTTTTTAGATACTGGTGGTCTGTACACATCTTTCTGAAGATGTAGATTATTATTATTATTTGCCTTGACCTCTGAGTGAACAGTTGAAATATAAATTACAGTAAATCAAATTTAAAGTTGTAACCATGAATGTTTTCTCCAGAAATGTTGGTATTAATATTGTAAATATTATATACACTTCTTTCCAATAAATATGTTGTCAATTGTTGATTTATCGACGCATCAATTCAGTCCATGATTTGAAAAAAAAATGGTACGTTTACTGGATTCTTGATTTAATCAAGTTTTGTGGTCATTTATTTAGGTATAAGTTAACTAAGGGAATTGGTCAAATAAACTGAACAAACAGTCTACATTATATATACGTATGTAACTGCTGCATCACTAAAGGGCTGAAATCATTTTTAATTATTACTCTGAATTTGTAATTTAAAGGGATTATTTTTTTCTTGTTATTCTGATTTCAGATAACTACTAAAACATTTTTTTTTAAAGATACTTTTCAAAGTAAAACTCACATTGGCTGAAGTTACATATATTTGTACATACAATTTGTCAGTACAGCATAAAACGTGGAAACATTACCGAACGTGATTTGCACTCACCCAAACAAACAAAAAACAACAACTCACTTTTGGTAATTTGAGAAAGATTCTAAATGCATCATTATATGCCACCTGTAACTTTGTTTTTTAACTTTACTTTAATTGTACCACAAGTGAGCTGTATAAAGTTGAGTACATTACTTTCCATTTACTTTGCCACTTCCATACTGAATGAATCAGACGAAGTAGGAACAAATATCTGCCTACTGAATAGTAGATACTGACAGACTGACAGATTGAGCAGGTACTTGGCATTTCGGATGCAGGCGGCCTGTGGTTCGATTCATTTGATTCACGAGCTACTGCGCATGTGTCGGAGCCTCGCGTGTCACAGGACCGTCACTACCCCCCCCCCCCCAAAAAAAAATACTAAATTTCCCATGAGCCTTCGCGCTGTACAGGTCGAAGGTTTATGCCGTAAAGCAAACCTGACGAGTTGTTTTGAGCTTTCTTGCTGGGCGTTTTAGAGCTTTTGGGAAGTCCTCAGTATTCAGCGTATATACCCAAACCTTTCGGTTTAAAATGTCAACAGATTCAAATTTGTGTCGGTGGGTTCTGAAATAAGATTTCGTTCAACCTGGAAGGCATGCGTTATTTATTCATCTATCATTAAAAATATCGTTCGCTTCCTGTACTCGCTTTCACTTCCCTGGTCGTATAACAATACGCCTGCCAGCTAACTTTTAATATCACTGGAGGGTGAAGGAGTGTCCCTCTTTCTGCCAGGATGCTGGCCACTGTCGTGCTCTGCAGCCTGATACTGTCTGCCACAGGACAGCATGTGGAGGACGACTGGATAGACCCGTATGATATGCTCAACTACGATGCAAGCAGCAAAACGATGAGGAAGCCTGCAGAGGTAGGCTCATGTCAGATCCCAACACAATGTCTTCTTGTTCTGTTGGATGTTTCTGCTGTGTCCAATAAGTATGCACGTATGCTTTCCAGCCGGCGAACTATCCCAATGTGCCCACCAAAAGAAGAGAGTATAACCAGAACTCCGGCAAAGCTGATCAGATGCCATGTGACACCCAAGTGGCAGAGCTTCAGATACAGGTGTGTGTGTGTGTGTGTGTGTGTGTGTGTGTGTGTGTGTGTGTGTGTGTGTGTGTGTGTGTGTGTGTGTGTGTGTGTGTGTGTGTGTGTGTGTGTGTGTGTGTGTGTGTGTGTGTGTGTGTGTGTGTGTGTGTGTGTGTGTGTGTGTGTGTGTGTGTGTGTGTGTGTGTGTGTGTGTGTGTGTGTGTTTGTATCTCAGTCACCTTACAGTTACAATAACAAGAAAAGACAGGACCTCTGTAAAACAGTTTGCTATAACAGGCAGAAACAGGCATGGTTATAATGTATAATCACTCTGAAAAGGTGATTTTTCAGGTGGGCTTTGGAAGTAGGGAGAGAGTCAATGTCACAGATGTCTTTCAGGAGAGAGTTCCAGAGGGACTGAGATGTTCTTGTGTTTCAAATACATGGGCCAGACGTGGCCATCGAACAGGCCGGGGGGGTCTGGCACAGTGTAGTTCCTAGAGCACTGAACTGTCAGCTGAAAGCTTGAGACCCCACAGAGGTCAATTGGGCAGGAGGTACAGATTGAGGCGCATGGAGCAGGAAGATAGAGTATGGGTAGGTGTGAAGATATGAAGGAGGTCAAAGAGGTACAGAGTAGAGCCTGACCGATTAATCGCCCAGCCTGTAATATCGGCCCATATTAGCGATATCCAGTGACTATCGGAATCGCAAATGTTACTAGATTTAGTCACCAGTCAAAAAGCATTTCATTTGAGTTTCATTGTATCAGGGGTGGAAACTTGTCATCTTTTGGCGAAATTCGCCGTTTTGGATCCCAAATAGGTCATTTGTGTGATTCATTTACCGGTAGATCTGCAATAAAAATATTATTGATAAATATAAAAAATAATAAATTAATAAATCTACTGCAAACGTTGAGTCGTTTCATACTGCTTGCGGTCTGATTGCTCAACACGGCACGAAGAAAGTACTTCCAGCCCCTGCGGCCAATCATTGCAACGAGGTCGGCACTGTTACAAAATCTTGGCGGTGGGCGCCGACCGCAAGAAGCATGAAACTTGATTCAGTGAGTCAGTGTGCAGCACATGGCTAATTTACATGACGTTTATTTTGATAACACTGTGGGAAGACTCAGAAGTTTGGCCAGCAAGCCAGCCTTTCTGTTAAACATCCTGTCTGATCATATTTACTGTTTGGTAGCCATAGGTAATGATAGAAGAGGAAAATATTGTCATACTTGATGACTGTATTATAATGCTCTCTCAGACTCTTGCCCTGAGAGCTTCTTGCATAGTGACTGCCCTTCACATCACTCCTGTGTAGAACATGGTAAGCCCTGTTCTGCAAATTCATCCCATTTATAAAAAGGGACTGAAGGTTGGGTGCACGGGTTTTTCATGTTTCACTGAAGCTTTATCAAAAAACAGAGCATAGATATAGACAAGCAATTGTGTTTTTCTTATTGTTTGCATTGCTTATTTTGTCTGAATGCTAAAGTCGTCTGTAAATTCACATTTTAAAGCTGATATTTAAAAAAAATAATCTTCCCGGGGAGCATGCCCCCAGACCCCCCTAGGTGGTTTGGATCCATGTCACCTTTTTCATCCCTGATCAGTTTGCACCCCCGTGTATTACACTAGCAGTTCTCTTTGACCAGCTGAGTGTGCTATGTGGATAACAGCAAGCATCATCACTCTGCAGAGTGTCAAGCGTTTATTCACTTACATGCACAGTTACTTTCCAGCTGAGCGACCAGCTTCTCTTCATTATGTATCTTTTCCACAAGTGTTTGATTACTGCATGTGAGGGACAAACGCACGACATCTATATTTTACTCTAAAGATCGAAGATAGATCTAAGAACGATATCGCCGAATATATCAATATCCTTAATATCGGTATGGGACCCAAAAATCCCACAACGGCCGGGCCCTAGAACAGAGGTGATCTTAAAGTCTATGAGGCATCTGACAGGCAGCCGGTGAAGTTGTTGGAGGACAGAGGTGATGTCTTGTATAGAAGGGGTTCTGGTGATGATGTGGGGAGCTGAGTTCTGGACAAGTTGGGAGTTTATGGAAAAGCTTGTGAGGAAGATCAGACATATACATTGAAATTCTCCTACTTTCCTAGGCATACATCACATACAGATTCCTCTGCTCTGTGATTTTGTAAGAGACATTTACTGACCTTTGTTTGTTTAAATGTAACAGAAAGAAAGAGTTGCTCAAATATTTAAGAAACAATTAAAAAAATGAAAAAATAAATAAGCTTGATTACTCAGCCATGACACCTCAGACACGCGTCCAACGATATGACAATACAACATCCAGGCCTTCAGCTTCTCTGACGGAATGCATAACAGAGATGTTCAGAGAAAACAAAGGGAAATTAAATCTACTAATCTCACATTGTTTTTGTTAAATCCCAAGTCGCCACCCAGCTCACTTCACCATACCTGGACATGGCACACATATTCAAGCCCCATCCCCAACATTATAAAAACCTGCCCTCAGGACTACGACTTCCTCTTTCCCTCCAACCTAAGCCTGACCTGCTACAGAGAACAAAGACAACCACAATATGAGTGGAAAATGGACCTTACACCTTACTTTATTCTTGTATTTTTTGGCATTATATGCAGTATTTCAAATGAAACACCTTGTTTAACGTTTACTTTGTTAGATTCCCGATTTACCTTTGTTGAGAGTCAAGTAGACCGGAAGTGTATGCATTAATGATTTAAGTTTAGAAACCTAATATAGAAACTCATTTCACCTCATTTTGATTTGATTAACTTTATTTATTAAGAGTGGTAATAATAAACATGTGAAACTCATCTGGTCCTGTGTTTAAATGTGCACTCAACATATAATGTTCTATGAACTGGCAGAAATTACATCTTAGTTTTTTTTAAGTTATGAAATATGAACCTCTATTTCCACATAGAGTCCAGTTGACTAACCATCATTTCTTCTGTTGTTTCTTTACATCTTACCTCAGGCTTGTGACAGAAAGGTGTTACAACACTTGACTAGCGCAAATAAACTTTTGTGTTTTGAGCATGCGACAAACACAAACCCTACATCGCTGTATGGCAAAACCTAGCGTCATACAAGCATTACGAAAATGTTGTTTTTCTTTATTTCAGGTTGAACAGCTTCAAAAGAAAATCACACTCATCTCACAGCAGCCCACATGTAATCCAGTGTTCAAGCGATTCTTAAGCAGGCTGCTGAAAGAAATCCAAAGAGTTGGTTTGGTACGTTGTCTTTTTACATGTGCAGTGCCATGATATGTGGCTTTGAAATCATCATGTAGCCTAAAAGGTACTTTTTGCCAATTTTAAACATGATAGCCCTGATCATTTCTGCTCTATTAGAAGAACATTCTTTAAAAAACATATGACATGATTTCACAAGTGCACAGTGCCCAGTACAGTTAAAAATGGTCTCCTGCTAATGAATCACACCTGTCCCCATTTCTCCACAGCCCGGTCATTCTGCAGACGCCATTTATGATGCCACAATCAAACTGTCCTCACAAGCCATTACAGAGATTCAGACACTTCTGGAGGGTGAAGACAGTTGGAGGACAGGAGCTCTGGACAACGCAATCAGTCAGATACTGGTGGATCTCAGACCACATGACTACGAGGCCTGGAAGTGGCGCTTTGAAGACACCTTCGGCGTGGAGCTGGACACACTATTAAAAGTAACCTCATAGTTTATCTTATATCTTTGTACATTTAAGACATGTGCTACATAAACAATAGACAGTGTTCAGAGTCAGACCTAAAGCCAAGTTTAGTCTGAAGTCTTTTTCTCTGAAGTCTGAATTCAAAAGCAGAATGAATTCCCTTTTACAGAACTGAAAAGTTGTTTTCTATTTTACTGTTTAGTAACATTAATTTTAGACAATAACACTTTTATTGTATTGTAGGCAATGAGGACTGGACCCTTCTTTTGGTGCATGAAAAATCAAAATAATAAACTACTGCTTCCACTACCGCTACAGTCAAACGGCCTGAGGCTGCCTGTCTCATAATGAGTTCTTCAATTGCTTTTCTGGTATTTCATTTTTGCTTCCGTCTTGTTCAACCAGTCATGTTGTACTCTTTTCACTCTGTATGTGTTCCAGATGGCGCTGTTGTTTCTTTTCTTAAGCGGCATCATATGCACTCAGCTGTGGTCAACGGTGTCCAGGTTCATGCAGTTCCGCAGAATGCTCTTTCTTGGCTTTATTGCGAGTATTTTCTGGAATTGGTTGTACCTATACAAGGTAAAAAAAAAAAACAACAAACTCTTTTAGTTTCATTGTACTTGTTTAGCTGTTGTTTAGTGCTTTTCATGAAGGATGAAGTTTTAATGTCATCGTGTCTTATAGATTGAATTTGCCAAACGTCAAAATAACTTGGTGAAGGCAAACGGCGACTATGAGAAATGCACTGGAATGAGGAGGATTGACTGGTATGACAGCATAAAAGGTAGGTTTGAGTGTGTTTTCAGATTAGTTTCAATGCCTTTTTGATATGTTTAAATAATTGTCAGCAATGCTTTTGTTTATTTTTCTAGTTAGATGACCTGCCTTCTATTGTTTTACACCCTGTGCTGCTGAAAGTGATACTGAGCCTTTGGAGAAAGACAGAAGTACTCTGGTTTGTTGCTTTCATAGCTACCTTCTTTTGACTTCTGTCTGTCTTTTTTTCAGAGTGGTACAGAAGCACCCTGACTCTCCAGGATGATCCTTGTAAGACATACTATGAATTTCTGATGGTTGACCCCTTGCTGCTTGTCCCCCCAACAAAGGTTGGTGACCATGATTGTACCTGTGTGTTTGGGGTGCATGCACAGACTCCATATTGTTGCATATCAGAAACCTGGCAACATAATAGTTATTACTTGTGATATTTGAATCGTGCTGGAATTCTCTGTCTCCCCTGAGTTAGAGAACACATAGGCTTGCAAGGTCAGCATGAGAGTCATAGCCTTCTTCCAGAACAGTGTAGCATCTGGCATTTTGTTATAATTCAGGTCCTGGTACACACAGAGGGGATGAAGTGGTTAGTCGTATATGGTATCCAGTTGGGTGGATATAGGCAAGTCCGAGGAAGAGTCTGTCAGAACTGACTTGGCATTGCACCGAGCTAAAGGTGCTTACAAAGCTTCACCCTTCCCCCACATCGGCCACTCTGACCATATCAGTGTAATGCTAATGCCAGCTTACAGACCCAGGGTTCACCAAACCAGTTCTGAAGCAGGTACGTGTGTGGCCAGAGGGGGCCTCTGCTGCACTACAAGACTGCTTTGACACCACAGACTGGGAGATGTTTAAGCAGGCAGCCACCTACAACAACCACACAGACATTGAGAAGTATTCTGACACTGTTACCTCCGACATTAGAAAATGCATTGCTGATGTCACCACCACCAGAGCCATCACCACCCGGGCTAACCAGAAGCCATGGCTGACAGGAGAGGTACGCGGACTACTGAGGGCCAGGAACAGAGCTGGGGACGCAGCTTGCCTGAGAACAGCGAGGGCCAACCTGTCCCGTGGCATCAGGGAAGCCAAACGCAGCTACACACTAAAAATAACCGGACACTTCAAGGACAGCAGAGACGCGCAGAGCCTGTGGCGTGGTATCCAGACCATCACGGACTACAAACCCAAGCCACAGACCTGTGACAGCAACACCTCTCTGCTGAACGACCTCAACAGCTTCTTTGCCAGGTTTGAAGCACACAACAGCACGCCCCCACAGAAGACCACCCCCCTTCCCCACGACCAGACCCTGTGCCTGACTGCAGCCAGCAGTGAAGAGAACCTTCTCCAAGATCAACACCCGCAAGGCTGCAGGTCCAGACAACATTCCTGGCCGTGTGCTGAAGGACTGTGCAGAGGAGCTCAAAGATGTCTTCACAGACATTTTCAACGCTTCTGAGTCAGGCTGTTGCTCCGTGGTGCTTTAAAGCCACCACCATCATACCCGTTCCAAAGAAGCCCTCACCATCCACTTTCAATGACGATCGACCCGTTGCACTGACCCCTATCGCCATGAAGTGCTTTGAAAGGTTAGTCATGGCCCACATCAAATCCATCCTCCCCGCCACCCTGGACCCCTACCAGTTTGCATACCGAGGTAACAGATCCACCGAGGATGCCATCTGTTCTGCTCTTCACCCAGCCCTCACCCACCTGGACACCAAAAACTCATACGTCAGAACGCTGTTCATAGACTTCAGTTCAGCATTCAACACCATCATCCCTCAGCAGCTGATCAGCAAACTGGACCAGCTGGGGCTCAGCACTTCCCTGTGCAACTGGCTGTTGGACTTCCTCAGCGAGAGGCCTCAGACAGTGCGGGTCGACGGCAGCACATCAAAAACCACCGCCATGAGCACGGGGACCCCCCAAGGTTGTGTGCTCAGTCCCCTGCTCTTCACGCTGCTGACCCACGACTGCGCTCCATCCTTCAGCAGCAACCACATTGTGAAGTTTGCAGACGACACAACAGTGATTGGTCTCATCTCCAACAACGATGAGACGTGCTACAGGATGGAGGTCAGCCAACTGGCCACGTGGTGCAGAGACAACAACCTCTTCCTGAACGTCGACAAGACCAAGGAGGTTGTTGTCGACTTCCGGAGAGTCCCCACTCCTAAACCCCCTACTAACCATCGACGGTGCTGCTGTGGAGAGAGTGAGCAGCACCAAGTTCCTGGGGGTTCACATCAGTGAGGATCTCTCCTGGACAACCAACACCACATCACTGGCCAAGAAGTCCCAGCAGCGCCTCTACTTCCTCCGCAAGCTGAAGAGAGCACGAGCTCCCCCATCCATCATGTACTCCTTCTACAGAGGAGGAATGGAGACAAACGCAATTTCGATTCCGCTGTATGTCTGGCATATTTTGAAATTGACAATAAAGTTGACTTTGACTTTGACTACATGTTAACTGTTTATGCCTCACGAGTTATATTAGCTTTTTCAAATTAAGCCATCAGCGTTTAACAAAAATGTAGTTCCCATTCACCAACGTCTTAAACATTACTGCTTAGAAATTGTATTATGGTAATCTTGGGGAATAATTATCTTTATTGATGGAGCACTGTTCTTAACAAAGTGCTCCATTAACAGCATACAATATAAAATGTAAGTTTTGTTGTCTGGAATTCAAGCAGTGCTTTCCTTTTAGGCGTTTGCAGTTACCATCACAACCTTCTTCACAGAGCCACTTAAGCACATCGGCGAGGGCATCAGTGACTTTCTTCGAGCCCTCCTCAAAGATCTACCGATCACGCTGCAGATCCCAGTTCTCCTCACCATTGTGCTCGCTATTGTGGTAAATGTCTTTGATAAGTCATTATTAAAATCCAATTGTATGAATTTAGGCCACGTTTTATTTTCAGTTATATTTATTTGCCTCTTTCACAGGTGTGCATGTATGGGAGTGTCAATGCAGCTTTTCAACATGGCATCACCGCACCTTTCCGTCGGCCTCGAAGAGATCCACCTCAATATCATCTCGAACAACGGCGTCACGTCCAGGAGATCGAGGATGGTGACCACTTAGCGGGAGGAGACATGCCTCAACAAGCCCTGAGGCACAGAGCCGATGATGCCAGATTAGACAGGAACCAGGTTCATCAGAGGAGGCCCAACAGACCCCGGGAAGAGCGTGCAAAGTTGGTCGTGGAGACTCTGTGCACTGCAGGGCCTCCAAGCGGTGGGGATGAGACGGACGCCAGGCTGCGCGAGGAGGCGCAAAATCTCTCTGCTGAGTCGGATTCAGAAACTCAGCAGGAGGCACAGGAGGAGCTAGCAGGAGCCGGTGCCAGTGAGATCTCTGATAATAGAACTCAATTAGAAACAAAATCTCTTGAATTAGATATACATTTTTCTAAAAATAAACCTTTAAAAGTGAGTAAAAAACCTGCTCATGATGAACCCAGCAGAGACACTGCAGCATCCAGACATCAGCCAGCAGAGAGACCGCCTGCACACACTGATGTTCAAGTGAGTTCTTCACACCAGTACATTCAATCTCATTTAAATTCAACTTGCTAATATTTGACCAGAGAAAATAATGTTGTTGTTTTCTAACTTTGACTAAAGCCTTTAAATCCCCCTGTTTATCATATTGAATGCTTCAGCAGTGCACATGCGTGAATGGGATGATACATTCTCACATGCAACATAAGCTGATTGGTAAATAAGTGTTATTATGACCCATTTGTATTGGTTTACATTTTTCCTGTGTTTTGATGATAGATTTGTAGGTCATATGTGTAATAATGTGCATTTAGCCAGTTTCCTGGGGAAAGATGGCCCAATATGTATGCCAGAAATACATGCATATATATTTATCATCCAAATATAAGCACGCTGGATTTCATTCTTGGATGCCGTGCTGGTGTGTGAACTTGAAGATATCCAAAATCTTGTGAAACTAATCCTTAACTTTTAATACATTTTAGCTTAATAGTTGTTATGTGCGTCCATAAATATCTTCCTTTCTAGCATCTTCCCTCTGTGAATACAGTCATAGTTGTTATTGTGCAATTTTCCAACAACTGAAACTTATATTTTTTTTAAAGTTGTTTCATTTTTTAACAATAAAGAGGTTGAACTCCACTTTGTGAGTAGATGAGCAAATTCAGTTCATACATTTGAATGCCATTTGAAGCCTTGTATCACCAAAATAAACATCACTAGTACTTACTATTGTGTAATGCAATTCCTACAACAAATTTGATTTTTACTCTGTTGAGGTATTAATGGTTTATTTCTATTAGTTTAAATATTTCAATGTGTTAATTTCTTATAATTTGGTTAACTGATGTATTATTTGCTGCCTCATGTCATCATATTATGTGATACATTTCTAATGTAACCATCCTCGCTGCAGGACCAGGAGGGGGCAGAAGACAGGAAGTCAATGATGACACACGTGGAAACTATCGGACTTTCCGTTCAGGAGTCTACTCCGGCATCGGCAGAGTAGCTACCTTCTTCATCAGTCAGAGCTGGAAGAATAGCTTTATTATGTTTGTTTTTATTTTTATACTGGACTGTAGAAGCGATGAAGGGAAGATAATGTCTCTATACAAAAGATTTACAGGTATTGTTTAAATGTGCTTGAACATCATCTTAAAGGAAACCGTTTCTTGAGTTTCTAACACACTTTATCTTTTCCTGTTGTGCCATCAAATGATTGTGCCTTTCACTCCAGCTGAGTCCAGAATTCTGTTTATCATCTGTTTATTTGTATTATTTTCATCAGTTTTAATGAGATCAGTGGTCAAGACAGCTACTGTATGTTGGAGTGTCCATCTGCAGGAATCATGTTTGCTCATTTCAATGTTATGAAAGACTGACTCATTCATTCAGTAAACTTGTATTTAATCATTTTATTTTCTAGGTTGAAAAATAGATTAGGAATTTGTAATGTAAAAGGGATGTATTTGTTAATGCTGTTTTTTTCGCTCTAAGAATTTATTCAGGTTATTAAAGTTTTGTATATTGAAGGTTTTGTAATAATGATGCTGAAGTCTATTCCTGAGCAGCAGTGTAAACTATACTTGTATGTACTGTTTGTACAAAAACTTAAACTGCTTAAATTATGAGGGGAAGATGTTGTAATTGGTGACTTTCATAAAATGATAAACCTGAATTGTAAATTTGATATTGAAAGTAAAACATTTAAAGAAAAAGATAACAATCAGGAAGGACTTTTATTTTTCACAAAAGCGCAAAATGCTTTTTGTTGCAACCTCTTCCCAAAGAAATGGATAACAAATATTCATTCTGAGTAAGGAAACCCTACTGAAAGTTGCACCAATCATATTTCAGCTCATTGTTTTGACTTCCAGGCTCATGACTTCTCTGTGGTTTACTCTCACAGCTCACCTCACCTTGTTTTTCACTGCAGCAGTGTGCTATTTGCAGCAAAGAAGCACCAATGAAACTGCTGTATACTTACTGTACAGCACAAAACAGGAGGCAGACGGTAAGTGAAATTATGCACATAGTGGAATATTTGGCTTCTTGATACTTAATGTCCCTCAGCGATGAAGTTGATGTTAAACTTGAGAGATGATTGAGAGAAAATGAGATAACCTTTACAAATAATTAAATGGAATATTTTCCAAATTGGGTACTTTATTTTGACTGTAGGTCAAATGGTTATTTTCCAATTAAAAAATAAGATTTTTTTCATAATATTGCTGCTCTTTCCAGTCACATCAAATTTCCCCTTTCAGGGACAATGAAGATCTGAACTGAACACTAAGTCAGCTGAAATCAAACTTTCTTTTGTTTTTATTTTTTTTAAGATTTATTTTTGGGCTTTTTGTGCCTTTAATGGAGAGATAGGCCAGTGGATAGAGTTGGAAACTAGGTAGAGATAGTAGGGAATGACATTGAAAGGAGCCACAGGTGGGAATCGAAACTGGGCTGACCACTTGAAGGACCATAGCCCTCATACATGGGACCACTGCACCACCAGTGCCCCTGGAATCAAACATTTAAGGGTTATCCTTTTTGTTTAGGCGCATGCCTTTAACATCCCCCATCTTTGATGGAAACCTTATTTCTCTCTGCATGTTAAATATATAGACATATTGTGAAAAACTCACTTTTACAGTGTTTTTGAACATATATTTGGGTAACCTGAGTGCCTACCGACCCATAAAATGTGAAATAAACCCATCCAGTCCTTTTGTTTGTGGTTTGCATAAGTCTTACAGACTGTTTCAAATTTGCTCAGCTTGTGACATCACAAGTGGGATGAAAAAAAATTCCCCTCCCCTAATATCGTCACCAATGGACCCCAGCCTAGAACGAAACTTTTGCACAGGTCTGCCATTTTTATTCTCGCTACAGAGGAGTGATGTCTACCATTAAAACTCAGTGGGGGCTCATTTAAAGAGACACACACACCAAAACAGTGTTCTGAGAGAGCTGTTTTCTACAGGGTCACAAACCTCCTCTGGTGCTTGATTCATGTTATATTTTGACCATGGCACAGCACAGATGTTTCATTTAGACCTCAGGGGACTGTTTGAAAAGGAAAAAAAGGGCTATAATATGTCCTCTTTAAATAACCACAACCTGAAGAATAGCCACATATCTCTATCCAAAATGAAACACTATATTTCATTTAATTTTCATTTTACCTTTATTTATTCTCGAGAAATCATTGAGGGCAAGCCCTCATTTACGATGATGTTGAGAATACAATTAAAACAAATAAGAGACAAAAAACAACAAAGACAAAATACATCGATTTTAAGACCAGATATTGAACCCAGCTATTAGCCTACTGCTTTCTGTAATTTCATAAGAGAAGGAATAAGAAGATGGGATTAAATGGAATTCAATTCTATTGATTTTTTTTTTATCAATACATTTTAAGGTTATCAATTTAACGTGAATGAATGTGGATTATTACATCAAATTTAGGACATCAATACCTCAGACTTGATACCACAACTTCTTTTATGGCAAAAAGTTCCCACCTTCAAAAAGTTATTCCTACAATAAATTAAATATGAAAAAAAAAGAAAAATGAGGCATATAAAAAATCTCTCCATTTCATTGACCAGGTCAAACTTGTTCAGAAATAGAGGAATTACCTGGTCGAATTACTATTCGACATGGGAATACATAATCTAAAGATTTTTTTTCAATTTTGGGTGTAAATCGTGTTTTGTTGTATTGTTTTAATACTGTTTGTATTTAAAGTAAAAAAAAAATTAAAAGTTGGTTCGAAGAAAAGCAAAATAATAAAATCTGTTCTGTTTTTGCTGGTCCTCAGTTGTGTTGACAATAAGTATAGAGCAGGAGAGATACCGTATCCCCCCCCCCCACCCCACCCACTACCAGTGACCCCTAGGGCCCCTGGACCGTAGACTGTGATCGCGCGCGACGCAAGCTCATTTCCTGATTGGATGAGTTTGACGGCGCGTGCGGACAGACAGCCAGCTGAAAGAGGTCGCGTGTCTGCTGCCTGTCAACCTCTTGATAACTACATACTCATTTCACATTTGCGGAAAAAACAACCATGGAATTATTGAATCGATACCTGGACAGGAGTAACTCAGTTAGGTACGTTTTTAAGTGTTGACTTTAAAAGTTGTGAAGGAACTTAATTTTTTTAAGACCTCATTCGATAATCTATTCTTCACATATATTTCCTTACCAAAATATATACTGTGTTTGTCGCTTAGTTATGATATTACGACACCAGAACTACTCTGAAACGTGCTTTGAAAGCCTTAAAATGTTTGTCTCCTGTACAGCCTGAGTCATATTACTATCTTAAACTTTCGCACCGGTGTTTCTAACACAAGTTTTACCTGAAGTAGGCGAGCTGTAAAATATGTAGTTAAACTGACACTAAATGTATAAGTGAGGAACAGTACATTTTGTGTTTTGTCAGTGTGAGGCAAAAAAAAAAAAAAAACTTGGCAAAACATTGAAAGCAACCACGTTGAGCTAACCCTGGACTTAAACCCAGGCAGCAGCATGAATGCAGCCAGTGTACTCAGTACAGGGAGTTCTTCCTGTGAAAGATGACAAATCTGGTGTACTGAAAAAAAAATCACAAGTAAGCTTAGATGGCTCAAGTTGATGGTCGTGACTTTTTTGCTTTCACTTCTGCTTTTTGTCCTGGACATGATCATATGGCCTCTTCATACAAGGGTACACTCAAAAATCAAGGTTAACTTAGTTTAAAAGTTCTGTCTCCCTGCTCTGGTGTGATATTACATTATGTTGTTACTTGTGTTTCAGCTCTGTTTTGACCCAAGAGGTTATCAGGGAGGAGACCCTGAGGGATGACCTGAAGTATTACTTCATGAGCCCGTGTGAGAAGTACCGGGCCCGACGGCATTTACCCTGGAAACTGGGGGTGCAGATACTTAAAATCATCATGATCACTACACAAGTATGTACCGCGGGATTATTGCAGATTAGGGAACACCTGGAAAGACGACCCACCCAGAATGTTTCCTGCTGGAGGTGTTATTTGTTCTAGACAGGAAGCCAGTAAATGTGAATTTGTGTGGATATTTGTGTTCATATGTTTTGACAACTTCAAGTCTCAAATGAGGAGGGGAGTGTCTGTTTATTTCAAGTAAAAGATGATGAAATAAGTGCACCACACCCACACATCTGAACCCTGCTCTCCTTCCTACAAGCTGCTTTTAATACTGGCGATAAAGGAATTTGCTGTTTTTCTTTCTTATGTTACACTAGGAATAATAGATATCAGTTTTGTCAGTAGAAGAAAAAGTAATGCATAAACAAAACAGAAAAACATTTTCATAGCAACAAAAGCTATTGATAATAGAGTCGATGTGATGAGCTCTGACTGATTTTTAGAAAATACTTATAACTTAAGACAATTAAAAAAAAAAAACAATGCTAAAATATTATTACCTCTGATCTTGTATTTCTACTTGTGTTCTGAAGTCATAAAAGTTGAAGAATAAACAAGAATAAAAGTTGTAGGTGACCTTCACCCTTGATTACCACACTAAACATGCAGTTTTTCCCTTTATTATTTCCTTGATAGCTCATCCTGTTCGGCCTCAACAACCAGCTGGTGGTGTCCTATAAGGAGGAGAACACGATTGCTCTGAAAAACCTTTTCCTGAAGGACTACAGTGGAGTGGATGAGGATGACTACTGTGTCGCCGTCTACACGCAGCATGGCGTCTATGAAAGTCTGTTTTATGCCCTGGATCAGGCAAGTTTTACTACTTACATTCCAACGCTTTAAACAATGTATAATGAAACAGACCTTGTGTTGTTAAAACAGGAAAATAAAGAAAAGTTTTATTCTCAGGCTTTTTATGCCTTTATTGGAAAGACAGAACAGTGGATAGAGTCAGAAATCAGGGAGAGAGAGTGGGGAATGAAATGCGGGAGAGAAGCCACAGGTTGGATTTGAATCCAGGCCTCCCGCCTTTGGACTCTGTACATGGGGCATGCACACTAACCACTAGGCTACCAGCACCCCAAGGTTTGTTTAATAGCATTTTTTATGTAACACCACATCCCCAAATGTTATAAAAGCCAGGTCAAGAATCTGAACTGGGATGCCGTGTTACATAGAAAATACTCCCACTGACGTATCTGGTTATCCTGTGAGGCACTCTCCTAAATTAATATAAATTATGTTACTTTATTTTTTCCCTGGCTTACAGTGACCGTGTGTTTTATCAGAGTCTTCTTATATTCATAGTACAGCCAGTTGGGCCGCCTTTCTGTGGGTCCCATTAGTTACGCTGAGGATGATGACGGCAAGCTGCTTCCTCTTATCATCTGTAAGGAGTACTACAAGAGAGGCACCGTGGAGCCCTCAGATGAGGCCTTTGACATAGACGCTCAGCTAGAAACAGGTAAGAGGGGACTTGTAAAATATCATCTGATAAGTCAAATCACTGACTTAATTTTTCAGACGAATACACCTCACAATCGAACTTAATAATTGATTTGTTGTTAATATGATATATTTTGTTTTACACTTATTATGTCACACCACGTGATGGTGAATTACCAACTCAGTAACTTGTTGGTCTTAAGCACTATAACACCTTACCATGTTTTTTTTTTTTTTTTTTACTCTTTCTTAGTTTGTATGTCACATGATCCAAAGACTGCGAACCAATGGAAAACCCAGAATTCATCCTTCTTTGATCTAGACTTTTACAGGTATTCATCTATCTATTCATATTCAATCAGTGCTCTGTATATTACTAAAGAATCATTTACATATTTACTTTTAATCATAATGTACACTTAAAATACTCCAATGTATTTTCAGGCTTGTTGACATGAAAATGACCTTCCAGCTGAAAGGAATCAACCTTCAGACAGTGCGATCCCGCGAGTTACCTGACTGCTACTTCTTCTACATCACGGTACGGTTTAGCTGTTTTTTGGCTTCATTATTGAAATGACTTAATGTAAGTAAGTGCACACTTTGATCTTTGATATGTTGAGCGTACAGGCTGCCGATTTTCTTTTCAAACAAAATGTACATTATAATACAGTTTAAAGAAACTTCTCGCTACACATTTGATGATACAGGAACTATGTTTTTCATCTTCATACTGATGTATACCCCTGATCTTGTATTTCAGATCACATTTGACAACCAGTGTCACAGCGGAAAAGTGAAAATCTTCCTTGACATAGACGCTCAAAGCAGTGCCTGTCAAGGCTGGAAAATATCTGGGACAGGTAAGGTGTTAATTATCATGGTCGAGTAACAAACATAAAGAGAAAAACAGGTTATGTTACAGATTTTAGAGCACAGATGGAGGTTATATTTGCACACTAATTTGATAAACGATTAATTTTTTTTTAAAGAACAGACTTTATTCTGTCATTTTGGTTTATAAATATGAGAGAAGATAAAATGTTTTCAACCAAACAACATTACTTAAATTGACAACAACATTACAAATATAAGTTATTGCAGTCAACTTGAATATTATATTGTGATATTAACATGTTCTTATGTTCTAATGTCAAAGTTTATAAATGTTTATATTTTTCATTTGACATGTGCTGAATTACCAGAAAGCACCTAGAAGTTCTTCTAGAAGGGAAACAGATGTGTTTAGTGACTGTACATTTGAAAAATGTTCACATTACAGTATTTGAAAGACTGCTTGTAGATACATCAACGCAATCATGTTCACCTTTTCCAAACTTGGCATCGGTATTTCCAAAAATGTGAAATTGAAAAAGTTGTTATTTTGCCCATAATGCAAGTGCCTCTTACTGTTGACTGTTGGTAAGGCGTTTTCCAATAAACCCTTCGTTATCAGTCGTCTGTGTGTTAGTTATGTAAGAGATAAACCTTTATACATACACACACACACACACACACACACACACACACACACACACACACACACACACACACATACACACATTCCCTTTTGCCTGTTTAAACTGCAACTTTATTCGTTTTTCACACAAACTCATATAAAACTTGTCTGTGTTTCAGCTCAGAAAAACACTCACTATCTCCTGGTATTTGACGGCTTTGTCATTCTTATTTGCCTGACGTCAGCTGTGCTGTGCACCCGTTCCATCGTTCTGGCTGTCAGGTTACTCCAGGTCAGCTGTTCGATCACATTGTTTAATATCAAACATGAAGTATTCCTTTCTTTTCTCTCAGGATCTCACTCTGTATTTTTTTTTCCCCCACTTTTTTTTGTTTTTGGGTAAATACGTGTTGTTTACTTTCCGGTTTGTTGGAACCTTTTGTTTCATCTCTTTTTTTTTTCCAGTTATATTTTCTTAAGCTAAGTGTTATATGAAGCACAAAATATTCAAATTCACTCCATAATGCTATTTAAAGTATACCACATGTACAGATACAGTATACTGTCTGTCTAGAGTTAACATTTTCATCATAGTGGGTCTGACTTCTATTCATGCATTTATTTTTAATTAGAGACTTAATTTGTGTTTGTTTGTTTATTTACAGAGGTTTTCCAGATTCCTTCATGAGAACTACAATCGTAAAGTGTGTGAGGATGACCAGAGCGAGTTTCTGAATGGCTGGTATGTTCTGGTTATCGTCAGCGACCTCTTGGCAACAGTTGGATCCATACTTAAGATGGAAATAAAAGCGAAGGTATAACTACTCAGACACTTTAGTCTTTGAGACAAAGTAACTGTACAGACTTAGATAAATGTATTTCATATGTCAAAATAAATGTAAGAGGAGAGACATATTTATAATGCTTTTAAAGTTAAGTTAAGTAACATACAGTGATGAGTTATCTTCAAATCAGCTTTAGCAAAGTGGAGCTTACAGCATGGCATCGCCTTTGACTTTACATCAAGTTATTTATTAAGCAATACAAATAAAATCACAGGAACGTGTACTTTGGACCAAAACAACTCAATGTTGACAGTGTAGAGACCTGTCTATGCATACACTTACTGGTCTTTTAATGTACTCAGTTAGAAGTGGTGTTAAAACCCTTTGAACAAAATGTCACAATATGTCACCCTAGTTAAATATTAAAGGGATGTTTCTCTCTTGCAGTTTCACTTTGTACCTAAAGCAGTAAAAAAAACAGCCCGCACAGATCATGTCACAGCTTCCTCCTACAACTTAAATATAAATAACTACAGTTGTGTAGATTTAGCTAAACTTAAAATGTAACTCCTACTGACTCTGTGGTAACCTTACTGGTTAACCAGAGGCGGGTGTTTGTCACGTTCACAAACACAAAATATTGGCTCATCCTACTGAATATCTCTGAAGCCTGATTTCCTTAGAAGATTAAAGGGAATATTTCTCAGTGCTCTCCTGGTTATTTTTGTATCTCACAGAGTCTGACCAGTTATGACGTGTGCAGTATCTTCCTGGGAACTTCTACTTTAATGGTGTGGGTTGGCGTGATCAGGTACCTCGGATACTTCCAGAAATACAACGTGAGTCTTTGACCCTTTTTCTCTCTTTGTGGATCACTTTTGTCTAAACTAAAAAATGTACTGTGTGGCAGCTAGTTTCAAATGTAAAAATGTATGGTGTGTTGTTGTGGAATAAGTAAAAACCCTGAATAAGCTAAATGAACAACACAAAGAAGTCTGAGAAGAGTTGATGTATTACAAATAATTCACTGTACAAGATGAAGTTCAACGCTTCTATTGGAAATTCAAGATGAAGAGTTTCTGTTCACAGCTTTTAAAATCAAATGTCTGTTTTAGGTGTTAATTTTGACCATGAAGGCAGCCTTTCCCAAAGTGCTTCGTTTCTGCTGCTGTGCTGGCATGATCTACCTCGGCTACACCTTCTGTGGCTGGATCGTACTGGGGCCATACCATGAAAAGGTAACTCTGACAACTGGTTTGAGGAAAACACAGGTTATATGCAGATTTCAGAAGTGGTTTTGTGATGCTTTGTTTTTGTTGATCTGAATCCCTGCTCTTGTAGTTATTTGCAGGGATGTGATGGAAATAAGAGGAACTAACGGTGCATTTTACTGACTTGGCTTATGGAAATCCGGCAGAAATGCTGAGGCAAGAAAAATAAAGTTGCATCAGGGAGGTACAAGACTTACTGAATGTATGTTTACATCTTTAAAATTAGCTGTAACAGCATTTTTTTAACGAGGACAGGCAAAAAAAAAAACAGATGAGTGACAATGAACACTGAAGTCAGTTTTTAATTTGTGTTTTTATTCTGAGAAATATTGAGTTCATAAATGCTATGTATAAAGTATATTTTTAATTTAAATAGCTTTTAATACACTATTAAAAAAACAAATACAGGTTGGCTTAAAACTGATTTAAGTACAGATGAAATGGTCAACCATGGTTAGTTTGTGTTTTAGTTAAAAAGCAGTTTACTTATTAAGAAAACCTCTTTCAACATTATCTCCCACACACTGATGAGACATAAAAAAGGTCTTTGACAACCACTAGGTGTCAGTGTGTGTCTGGTTATTGAAACTTCCAGCTTAAATTGGTGGAGCCTCAAGTCCATGCAGCCAAACCTTCAGCATGTTTAAACTGCAACTTTATTCGTTTTTACGTGGGATTTAGAAAATAATTGTAGACAAATGGGGATGTCAAAGAAACAAATGTCCCCAAGCAGGACTTAGATTGGGGGTGAAATATTAACATAATCAGTATCTACAAGTAATTTGATTTTTATAGGCGGCAATTTGAGCATTACAGCTTTATTAGTTTTTCCAAATAATATGAAACATTTAACATATTAACCTACAAGTACAAGAATCAAAACCACTACAATAAGCAGACAACAAAATGAAAAAAAAAAATCATTTCCATAACATATTGGTTTCATAGTTCATCAATGTACCAGTGGCCATTCACATTTTTTAATTAGTCTTGATCCGACTGGCATGGAACTTTGCCATGATTCAGACCTGATGGTTTCCAGTTCATGTGAGAAAATCCTTTAGACAATAAGTCTAAGCTCGCAACAGGAAGATAGTCCAAAGCCCTATTCGCACGCTGGACTAGTATTACCTGTTGACCTCTAGTAATTTGTAATAAATGCGGAGGGTGTCTGTGATCTTAATCCCGTGCGAATCTGCCATGTCCTTAATTTGTAAAGTAAAAATCGCAAATTACCTACCATATTTCGCCAAACACAGAGGTTCTGTGATAATATTAGTCCCGTGCGAGTCAGCATCTCTGTGATTTGGGGTAGTTTTTTGTGTTCTCGCTCCTTTTTTCTGCCCTTCTCCAGTCGAGAATTATGCAGGCTGCGTTGGCAAAATGAATGTTTTGACAGAATTTTGGGTGCAGATTCAGGAGGCTCATCTAGCTACACAGCATGGAGAACCACTCACAGAAAGAGCAAGCTCAAATCCATTAGGAGAGCGAAATCTGGAAAGATGATTAGATGGATTACATGCATGGAACATTTTTCTATATTTTACGCATAGGTTACGCAGACACTTGTGTTATACGAGTAGCGTATGTCTGTGAATGGCTCAGTGCGAGTGAGGACAGAACAAGGGGAGGTGTGTGCGAAGGGCAAGTTACTGATGCCAGGGACCTGAGCAGAATCAGCGCAGAGAAACTAGTCAGCATCTGAAGTGTATGCACAGTTTGAGCTCTGTGTGCGTAATAAACGGCCCGACACCTCAAGTAACAAGCCGGACTCTCCGTGTCTGTTACAACTTGCTGCACCCCAGTTAAAGTGACGGGGGTTAGTCCTGAAGTTGAGGGCTACAACTTGGGCCGTGCAGCAGACCAATAAGTCTCCCCTGTGCGCTCCGACCACAGTTGTAACGCCGAAGCAGGAACGGTTAACACTTGACATCATATCGGGGGGATAATGTCAGTAAATTTGAGAGAAAACACAGACTTCGCTTATCCCGTGCAAATGCGGCGCACGAAACACAGACGTGGTGGGGTAATTTCTAAATCACATGAGGTCCCCAGGTAATACTAGTCCCATGCGAAAATAGGGCTCAAGAGTGGTTTTCAGATCTCCAGAAATGACTGTTCAGTACCCTTCAGCACATCACTTATCCTCTCATGAGGAAGTACATAAAAGTTCTCTTTGTACCACATTGTGACAGTAGGGGGATTCTCTTTAATCCACTCCAACAGAATACATTTCCTTGCTAGAATCAGTAGTCTACCCAGCAGAAAGTGAAAGTTGTTAGAAAGCAGACCAAGAAAGAAGAGTGGAGGATCTTTTTTTTACTTTAGTTTTTAAAATGCTACTGAGCTCTTTGGTTATACAGGGCCTAAACCCTGATATGTATTCACTCAGCCAGAAAAGGTGACTATACATGTAGTCCCACTTCTCAATTTCAGACAATTCATTAGCCATTGATAAAGTGATGTAACTGCAGGAACCTGGAAAGATGTTCCTCAGATATGTAATACTGAAGCTGAAGTTGACAAAAAGACCTGAGAATACCATCTTTTAACAAATCTCCAATAACCCTAAAGCCTTTGGATTTCCATAAATAAAAAACTGATCTTCAACCAGCCAGGATGAAGCCAGCATTCCCACAGATAGGTGTTAGCACAGAGACCAAATCCTTCTTCCAAATAACCGAGTGAAATCCCTACAGACCCTGATGGAACTCTAAATTATCAGTTTAGCGTGACCTGTTTATTTGCAAACAGCAGTGGACTCGGGGGCAACCCAGTCTGGTGCCAGGCTGTTTGTGATGACACTAGCTGTTGGTGAATGATTGATGGTTTGTATGAGGAAGTTGCATCCCCCCCACCACCCCGTCCAAATTTTCTGACGTTCTCTGCCTTGAGATTGAATGGCATACTGAATTACATTCAGAAGTCGACTGTTAAAAGTTGAGGTGATTCTGAATACATCCTGTAACTGCAGTTATAAGCAATTTAAAAATAAAATAAAAAGGAACGCTACATGTTTAAACCTCCTCCGAAAACTCAACAACACACATTTTACCAACGCGCATGAGACACTTGGACAGGGAGAGACCCTAGCTTGGTCAGCAAGTGTCATCAGGAAACATGTGTGTATTTAGCTTGACAAATTATTTACGGAAGTCCAAGGATGCAGGAGGCGTCTTAGGAGAGCCAGATGGGAGATAGACTGGATAACCTGCCCCGCGGCATTTCTCACTAAGCTACTAAGAAGTGTTGATAAAGTTAAATTGAAAAGGAGGAAGTACTGTAAATAAGTTGTGGGCTGAGTTTAGTTACATTTTTTTAGGTCAGTTTACTTGAAAATGTTCACAATTTATAGACCATAGCTTATCGTAATTTATAGACCATAGCTTATCGTAATTTATAGACCATAGCTTATCGTAATTTATAGACCATAGCTTATCGTAATTTATAGACCATAGCTTAAATTGTGAAATACACATTTTAATTTCATTTAAAGTTTCATTTATTTGTCTTCAGGTGTCTGCAGTGGTTTTCTACTGAAAGTTTTGGAAGAACAAGTTTCAGTTCCCTATGTTTTCAACACAACAGTCAACTGATACTCTGTCATATTAACGTTTCAGTGACTTGAGGTGTCCCCTGTAGTGTGCCTTCAGCCCTCTTAGGCTGCTCTGTGTATTTACTGTAGGAATAAACAGAGGATGTTCTGGGACTCGGCATCCCACATGTCCTCAAGTGTTATGCCCTGGAATCCATACCGTCACAGTGGGATGTTGTGTTTAGATATTATCACACTCTGCTGGAACTCTTTCATAATGTCTCTCCCTTTCAGCCATCATTCTCTCTGTTTGTCTTTCTACCTTTATCACTTCATCCTTATCAGCTATCATGTTTCTGCACCTCCTTTTACTTATTTTGAACCTCATCTCTGCAGGGATTTCTGTTTTGTTCCTCCGCTGTTTAAAATTAAGAAATTATGTTAAATATGCAGTCATGGGGTACCTGTTATCAGCAGAAAGAGGTAATGTAGTTTTCAACTTGGCACACATGTATTTTTCATTATATCTGAAACAACTCAATTTCCGGTTTTAAGCTTCAATTCCTTTTTTAATTTTTGCAGTTCCCCACCTTTTTGGCTTGCTACTAGCTTAGCCGGCTTTTTGATTTCATAATTCAAAGATCAGCAAGCCAAAATGTAAATTTTTCATTTTGAACTTTTAGTTATACGAATATTGTAAATCTCACGAAACAAGCTTGTTTGAAACATTTGTAATTTTTGAAAGTTATTTTGGGGGCATTTTTGCCTCAATTTGAATAGGACAGCTGAAGAGAGACAGGAAACGCTGTGAGGAGAGAGTAAGCGATGACATGCAGCAAAGCAAACCCCCAGCTGCTGCAACGAGGACCATAGCCTCTGCACATGGGGGCACACAACATAACCACTAGGCTATCTGCGCTCCCTATAAGAAACATTTTTCCGCCCTTTTAAAGATGAAAAAATTGTGACTTGAAATAACTTGATTATTAAACTAACTCTACAAGACCCTCTTGTGGTTCCTTAAATTGATACTAGCTACTTCTTTTAAAAAAAAAACGTCCTGTCATTATCAAGAAAAAATAATCAGATAAAATCAGAAACAAAGATAAATTGTTTAATGGAAATTTCTCTTTTTTTTGTTGCTTTACAGCTATCTCAAAACGCCTCAGATTTGATCATGGTCCATGTGTTCACTTTAAAATCTAATCTGATATCCTTTCCTCCTTTGCTCTAGTTTGAAAGCCTGAGTCGTGTAGCAGAGTGTCTGTTCTCCCTCCTGAACGGTGATGACATGTTCACCACCTTTGCCCAGCTGAAGGACAAGAAAACTTTAGTGTGGCTCTTCAGCCGGGCCTACCTCTACTCCTTCATCTCGCTCTTCATCTACATGGTTCTGTCGCTGTTCATCGCCCTCATCACTGATTCATACGAGACCATAAAGGTACATTTCAAACGTCTCATGTTACCCAATAAAAGGGAATCAGTAAGAGAACAAACAAAACGTCAATGAGAGATACAGTGCTCAAATTGCTCTTTGAGATGTGAAATATTAAATAATGAATTGATTAATTGATCATCAACTTTATAGGAAGAATGTGCAACATTTTACAAATAACGACTGTCGACTGTCTACACTAAGTGAGAGGTGTGAGTCCCACCAGGTTTCATGCTGGTGCTCACGGGCGACATTTAACGGATCAAAAAAGTCGCACATTCTTCCTTTAAGCAAAACTCGCTTGTTTAAGCAAAACAGGCGTGAGAATTTTTTTATTGTCATACTTCTGTATAAAGTGAATGTTTGAGACTGCTGGTTAAAACAATCATTGGAACTCTGGAGGAACTTACAGGATTTCTTCTTTTCTTTTAATTGCCTAAATAATGGAAAACATTGAGAAGTTGTAAGGTAGATTTATTTACAGTCAGTGTTACTTTTTCTTCAACCATAATATAATTTAGTTGCAATTAGATCATGCTAATGATTAAAAAAAAATACCAAGCTAACTTAAAGACTATTGTCTTAACCCTCTTGTGGGACACGTGTTTGTTTTTGTTTCATTGTTTTTTTGGTTTTTTTTACAAACAGAGATATCAAAAGGAAGGATTCCCATTGACAGACCTTCAGAAATTCCTCAGAGAGCACAAAGATTTTCCTGTTTCAGAGGAGAGCAGTCAGACAGACGCCAAGCTCCGATACCCGGTGCTGTGCTGCTGCCAGAGGTAAGATCACTGTTTACAGTCATGCTATCATAATTTAATTATGTTTAACTTGTGTTCACACACCCTGCTGCACACACACTCACACCTGGAAGATACTCTGTACCAACACGTCTTCTAAACTCTGAAACATGAGCGATGTTATGATGTAAAAGCCTTTCTGAAGAGCACTTTATAGTTTACCACTAACAGCCTGCTCTGTAATTATTCTTCTTGGCTTGTTCTTGTCAGAAAATATTAAGGCTGATCTAACACTACATACTATGAACTTTTAATGTTTTGTTTGTATCAGCTCAACAGCTGGGAAGAAGGGTTTGTTACCTCACAACAATAACATCTCATTGTTTCAACAGTTATTCAAGCTCTTTTTTTACAGAAATCTATCGAAGAAGAAGCTATCCTCTTAATATTAATAAAAATCAGTGTGGGCAAGATTTTGCTTTATTTATTAATAATTGCCTCTCTAGAAGGTGGTAGCAGGTGCTCCAGGCAAATAAGATCTTTAGATCTAGTAGTTGGATGCCTACTTGTCAAAAAGAGAAGACACGTAAAATTAAGCAATTAAGCAGCTTTGTATTGTGAAAATAGGGCTGTATACTTAACTGACTATCATACAAGCAGCACTACTTCTTTGGCCAATATGTACTCGTAAGAAGCAGTAGAAAACCAGAAGCAAATAAATATCAGGTTATGTTTTAGGTTTAGAAACATATCCAGCTAGTCAGCCTTGCTTACTGTATCCAATAATTCAAAGGGCTGGTGAAGTTACAACCCCTGCTGATTTAAAAACATCTAACTTCAGGCTAACCTTATCTGACTAATGTATGCTACTGTGTTGGTGAAATGCCACATAGCAGACATGAGATTATTTTGGGAATATTTTCAAATTTTGCAATTTTTACTAACGGTGAAATATATTTACAGTATGACCAAATCAGCTTGGCATAGAATGAACAAAATGAGCAGTAACCAGCAATCTTTCTGATAAAGCCTTGAGTTTGAGCAAACCAGGTTATTGCTTTGAATGTTTCCAAAGCAACAGAAATGAATGGTCCCTCACAGTAGTCAAATTGGAATTCACTTTATCTCAGGTAGATAGTTGTATACTACTGTAAGCAGGATGTTTTCTATACTGCACAGCTGATATCTCACAATATTACATTACTTTGTCCCCATATCAGTGTGCCTGCCTGTCACACACATACTATATAATTACAAAAAAGGAAACTCAGTTTGCCTAAATTATACTAAGTTGCTTCAGCAAGACGTATTGCTCTATATCTCTCTGTTTTCTGCTCATTCCTTTTCTATGAGCCAATCTCTATCATCAGCAGACTGCAGCGGAGTTTCCTCCACACTGTGGTTTGGCTCAGGCTTACGTGGTTTGAGAGCAATGAAATTAGTGGTGAGAGCTATGCAGACACACCCAGTGATGGGCTGATTACAGAGAAACTCAGGCTGTACACTGGGAAGAACCCCCCCCCCTCCCCCCCCCTCCTTCTTCCACCCCCCAGCCATCACTCCCTCTCTGCTCTGTTGCTTCCCAAAGCCCATGGTCAACTTTAAGACTTGAGCCAGAAAAGTTTTTTTTGAAGCACAGCCGTGAGATTGGAGGAGTTATTTCTTTGTAGCATTATAAACTCCATCTTTTAATATGGAGTTCACTGTCTTTTTAGGAAGTCTTTGTCCTCTCTTCCTTAATCACTTTCTTACCCTCCTTTTTGTTATCACATGCCATTTCTGACAATTGTTTCCTACTGTGTAAAAATAATCAGCATTTTATTTCACCACATACATTTTGAAATTAATGTGGACGTTACGCACAACTTGGTGTCATTGCTTCCTCTTTCAGTGTCTGTCTTACTCTGGCTTTTATTTCTGCATTTAGAGGTTTTACCATTCCAGATAAATTCAGAGCTTTTCAATACCCAGTTCCACTTTCATTGATATTTTACATTTGTAATGTATATAGAGTCTGGGGAGTATGTTCATTTTCAACCCTGTAAATCCAGATATTTATCAAAATTCTTCTTACAATAACAAGATCACTTGGATTGATCATTCAAGGGTAAGGGAGGAAGAGCAAAATATAGTCAGCATAGAGAGCTATTTTATGCACGGTGGCCCTAGATTTTTCTTTTATTAAATTGTTTTCTTTTCCGGTTTGGGATCAATTGGGTGTTTTTAAGGGAAGGCTTAACTGTAAACAAACTCTAGTAGGGCTTTCAGACTTGCAGAAAACTCCTGAAAAACCCCTGATATTAGCCGGAGTAGCTGCATGTGAACATGAAATGCTGAACTTTTGCACTCATAAAAATATCTAGATAATTTCAGGAGGAGTTGCTCCAGATATTCTCCTGACCTGGCTGTTCACATGTGCTCCTCACAGCGGGAGACTATCCCTGTCAGACAGGAGGGCGGGCAGCGAGTCTCCTGAGATAAGATGTGACGTAAAAAAAAACAACGCAATAGTAGTGGATGACGCAACAGAGTCCGCTATACAATGCTATAATGACAATATTTACCTTTATACCAAACTACTTGTAGTTCAACAGAATCACATTATCAACAAAAGAGCAGAGAATAACATACTGGCGAACAGAAAACGTAATGCAGCTGTTTAATTCCATGTACGGTGATCGTAGTGGTTGCATGCATACACTCTATGCACCGTGCAGCAGTCACAGTATATAAACATCACTCCCCCCCTCCAATTTGCTAGAGGTGAATCCTCTGGATAATATCCTGCTGCGATCTCACATCAGCTCACTCACACTTGCTAGCAAAAAATGTGGCTGTTGGGTTCACACATACAGCTCCTCCTGGAAATATCAGGAGTCTGCAGAGAGCCTGTAAAAAATCAAGTCATGAACCCATGTGAGAAAGATATGTTAGTGTACATATTAGGGATTGTAAGGATTTCTTTGCTTTTTTTTTTCTTACATAGTGTTAATAGTTTTTCCTTTCAGGGCTTTCCCCTCCTTATTGATTCACCAGATGTAATCACTCTGCTGTCTTCAACTCGTGCTCTAAAGCCGTTATCTACCACCATGCCATCCAGTCTCCCTGATGTCTTTAAGGAAGTGTCGTCTCAGTTACAGAGCCATTATATAATAATGCGTAATAGGGCAACATAATACTGGTATGGCAGCTGATTATGCAGCTTCTCTGTTGAGTTGTGTGTAGAATTGGCAATGCCCTTTTAGAGTGAGCTAACTATTTTGTCATTAGGACACTGTAATTGTAGCCATTTCCAGCCTCTGGGCTGACCAAATTTCATCTTGACAAATGTCTTAATCTCACTGTGCTCACAAAAATTAGATCAGCAAACATGTTATTGAGTTACTGGATCAAATGTCACCTGCATATAATCTGCCTCTTCCTGCTTGTATTGCAGTGAGTTAACATGCAGTAACAGAAGCAACGACGTGCTCATGTTAAATCAAGTAAGTTAGGAAACGAATCACCCTTAAGCATACGTGAAGCCAACATAGTAATCAGTAGCAGTAATATCTTATGTCTCATAAGTCTCGTAAGAGACATTTCAATGGTGAGGCTATGACAGCCAAGACTTAAATCTCTCTGCTGCATTTCATGTGTGTTATAATTACACAGCATAATAAAACAGTTAAGCTTCGGAGTGGATATTATTGTGAAAAACATTTAGCAGATGGAGTGTCGAGCTTTGCATAGAACAAATGAACTAGACGTATAACTAAAAGTCTGAACATTCAATGTGGTTTTGCTTTACAACAAAATTATTTGACACCACTTCCCTGCTCTCTGTGAAATACATTCACATCCTCAAACGACTACAACAGATTGTGGAACAGAGAGTCTGAGACAACCACAATGTAGATTTTATGTAAAAGGAACATAATTAGCTGTTTTCTCTTGAAAGCAAACCTGAGAAAGTGTTCAAGAGGAGCAGTGACAAGGCTATCATTTCCTAAGGCCATGTTTGGAGAATCTATTATTACAACCGCACAATCAGAGATTCAGACCTCTTCCGGAATTATTTGGTTTTCATCCTTTTGTCTTCCTGTCAGGGCAAACACTTCATGCAGGTAGAAATGCAGAAAATAAAGAAACATGTTTTTACTGGTTTGTTAAGTTGGAATCAATTATCTTATTACATGTAGGGGATTGTCTTAAGAACTGGAATAAATATATTTGCCAGAGTTCAGAACAAAACTCACAAGAAGCCGTTAGTGTTGACAAATGTACGTTTTTGTGTTGTCTTGACGACATGTTCAATTTGCACAACTCCAAAGAAACTGCTCAGAAATATTACGGGAAAGAGGAGCGGTTAGGTGAAAAACCTCAGTTCTTATTTTTTTATTACAAGTTGGATACGAACCCGGGCTTCCTGCCTCTGTACATGGGGCACGTGAATCAACTACCAGGCCACCGGCACGTTCTAAACAATATTAACATTATCAACACATCTGTCATTGCATGTATATTCAAACCATGTTAAATCATTGTACACATATTTGTCGACAAGTACTCGTTGGTGACACAAGTAGAAAGTATGTCTATCTTGTGCTGATGATGAAATATTAAATGTCTGATGCTCTTTTTTTACATGTTGTTGCAGAGTTCCTGAAAATGATGATGTCATACTGATCAGCTGACAGGTTTCTCATCTCCAGATGAGACAACTCAGGGAGGAGGAGGGGGATGCTGGGAACAGGACTGTCTAATTCAGAGTTACCGTTACAGGTGATTCTGTCAAGTGCAATATCGACACCAAACAAGTTCCCTCTCTTGAACATGAAACCGGACCTCAAGCTTGAGAGTTGGAAAAGAAAAGAAAAACGTTTTATGCCAGTTTGACAAAAAGTTCAGGGTGCTGTGAGAATTTTCCTTTTCTTTCTAAGGTCTGAACATGTATTCCGTTGCCAAAGATATGAAATCCGTGTTTCCTGCATTTGGCTTTGATGCAAAAGCGAATACAACGCAACTTTCTGCAGTAGTAGATGTAATTTATTTGTCAAGTGTTCTTCTTGTAAAAACTTCAGTAAAGCAAATATTTTCGTTATGTGTTCTGTCTTTATGCACGATCCTTTTTTTCTTTCAAAACTTTTGTAAAAAAAAATAGACTATAAGAAAAGTGTTTCCCTAATGGATTATTAAATTTTTTACTAATGTTGGTGGCATTTGAATGCAGCAGATTTTGTTCTGTGCTTATTAAACAACTAACCTGCTCTTAAGGCTTCCGTTAATTGTGTAACACATTCACAGCTGATTTGAGATCGAGTATGAGGGCAGATTTAAAATATGGCACCAGAGCTAGAGTATGACTCAGTTTTATCATTAAATCTACAAGCAAGGTGAGATGTTGAGACAAGTTGAAGCATGATCTCTAACTTAGAGTTTGACTACTGAGCTCTTAATGTGATTTAGAAAAGGACGTATGTCTTATTCAAATAACAAATTGAAGATATTAATGGAGGTGTTATCGAAAGGGTTGTCACTGTTATTCTGTACCCTTCATTTGGATCTCATTCAAACCATCTCCAGACCAGTCAGTGTCGGGATTTGCCATAATGCCTGAGGCACTCTAGTTTATGACACATATTTAAACAAAACACGTGATTAAGTGACACCCATGCAGTATTTTTCCTTTGCGATAATGTGTTCTTCATACTAGTTGTTCTTTTTTGATGATTTCTAAAGTGATATAGGCATTCAAGTCTGAGGTGCGACGAGCAAAATTAAAGCCTTTTCTCAAACAAGATCAATAGTGCCGATGTGGCTTAGAAATATTATAGATTGTCCACTAATTGACAGATTAAAGGTTTGACCCCCAGCTCCTTTTGTAGTGGTCATTCATTGAGCAGGATAAGAGATAGAACCTTAATTCAGCTGCCAGTGTGTTGAGTCAATGCTAGAAGAGGTACTTAGAGTATATTTCAGCTGAGTAGAAGTTCTGACACAGCAACAAAATGTGCTTCTTTATAATTCTGCCTGAAGTAAAAAATAAAACAGACAAATAACAAAAAACTTTAATTTAATATTGTCAAGAGTCCCCATTATTCACAGAGTGAAGGCCATTTGGACAGACGTGATACATTTGCTGTAGACATGAGCTCAGTTTTATATAGAGTTTGTAAGTAGGTAGTGGAATCTGAGGAACTCAGAGGTTATCATCATCATTATTACTATTACTATTATTATTATTATTGTCATTGTAATATTATTAAAGAAAACAAAAATAAAACCCCAAGCGAAAAATCGTCCTCGCATTTTAAGGGCATTTCCCTGGTTTTTATAGGCCTATATATTAAACTTATAAGGCCTATAAATTAATTGGTAAAATTAACTCAACAATTTATTGGAATACAAAACGTGAGAGGGTGTATACTTTTGATATGCCCGTAATTCACGTTCGAGGACGGGTGGCACGCCCTCTACGTCACCGAGCTCGAGCCTCAAAGTAAAGACGTCCAACTTTTCTTCCTTCACTTTTGTCCTCGCGCTTGCTGCTCTCACCTCCCCTCAGTCAGTCAGGCTCTCTGCTCAATGCTGGAGGGGAACATGCTCAGAAACTCACGGAATATTTCAACATTTGTGGTTTAGCCTACTGACGCAACAAGACCAGCCCTTCGCCACAGGTAGACTCACCTGGCTCATTGTTCTTATGTATCTGTCTTCTTCCTGTATTTTAATATAGGCCTATATTGTGCAAAAATGAGTATAGGCTACTTTCATTTAGTTGTACTGTACTGTACTGGCTTTATTTTCTGCACGGGCTGTTTTTTTCACTGCCTCTGAGGGAATTCTGTTTATCTTGTTTGCTGTTGTCGGACAGGTTAACTCGTTGCGAAAATGTATTGTTTCTGAAGTCACATAGGAAGTCGTAGGCTACTTTAGGCTCGAAATCTTGTCTTGCCGCATATTTGTAATGTTTACCCAAAAGAATGTTTGAACAGGTAGAAAACTCAGGTAGTAACTTTACATATGTGTGTGTTGTTTTGGCTTTAATTATATTGCAGCTATAGTAACTATCTTGTTCAGCTTTGGTTGTCTGTGGAGTTCTGTTCAGTTTTATTCAAAGCAGCTTTTTTTTTTGTTCAAATTAAACGCTCCTTTTGCATGTGCACTTGTCCTTTGCTCAACAGTGATGGAATGTATGAAAGTATTAGTATTCTGCTTAAGTTAAATATTCAGAGCACTGGTAATTTAGTATTTTCTTTTCATGCCCAATTCTTCTTTTTCTACTCTACAGTTTATTGGGATACTAACTTTACTACATTTATTTGACTTCTTTAGGTATTGGTGTACATACATAGGACAAGCTTATAAAGTATGATCATTACTTAAATCAGTGAATAAAAGTACAGCCTACTGCTAACTTTTGCTGCTTTGCTAAAAGTGCTCATGATGGATAGGCCAAATCTTTGTAATATAGCAATAAGTAAGGTCTTTTTACCTGCTCTTTTGTAACATAACAATGATTAAGGTCTTTTTACCTGCTCTTTTGTAACATAACAATGAGTAAGGTCTTTTTACCTGCTCTTTTGTAACATAACAATGATTAAGGTCTTTTTACCTGCTCTTTTGTAACATAACAATGAGTAAGGTCTTTTTACTTGCTCTTTTGTAATGTTAACAGACAAAGAGTAAAGTATTTTACCTGCTTTTTGTAAAGTGTCTCGAAGATAACACTTGTTGTGAGTTGACGCTATACAAATAAAAATTGATTGATTGAGTGATTGACTGCTGAAACAATTCGATGATCACTCAGTTACCTGATTGTTTTAGTTGATAGTGATGCAAAAGACATTTTTATTTAATTGTATTGTTCTAGCTTATCAAATGTAAGGATTTAATTATTTTCATTTTGAATACTGTGATAATAATATATTTGGTAATTAAAGTTGTGTTTAGATATTAACCTAAGTAATTGATTACGTCCTATAGTGTGTAAGTCAATAAATCTCATAGCTTTCTGAAAATTGGCGGAAACTATCCACTTTTCTGACAAAGCAAATGATTGCAATTTTGACTTTTTATTATCCTCACCATCCCAGTTATATCTTTATTAAATGTGATTTTTTTTCCTTCTACATGATTTGAATTTTAATTCAAATTGCATTGCCCAGAAACAAATTGCATTGCCCAGAAACCAGTAGGACAATGGTCTGAATCCCATATATACTCAATGAACCATCATCAAGGACAAAGGACAAAATACTCATGTAAGAAAAACAAACTAAAGAATATTTTCACCTTTACTCAGCAATTAACTTTCTGTTGATCCCCTGACCACTTGTTTACCTGATAATTTACTAATTAAATATGGCTAAAGTATTGAAAAATGTTTTCAAATCTTATTCTTTTCTCTTAATTTCACAGACTCAACCTGAAAATGGCTCCTCAGAACCATACCTGTCACTATAACGAGTCCATGCTCTTCTTCTACAACAACAGCGGTGCTGACGATAAATGGTACAGTTCCCAGCTCATTCTGGTGCAGGTGGTGGGCTCGCTCTTCTGCTGCTTCATCTTGGTCTCCAACGCCATGGTCATAGCCGCTGTCATCACCAATAAGAGGTTTCACTACCCTTTCTACTATCTCCTCGCCAACCTTGCAGCCTCGGACTTCTTGGCGGGGATTGCGTATGTGTACCTCATGTTTAACACGGGCGAGTTGTCACGAAAACTTACAGTTAAAGAATACTTCATCCGTCAGGGTCTTCTAGACGTCAGTCTCTCTGCCTCACTGGCAAACCTGCTAGTGATCGCTCTTGAACGCTACATTTCCGTCATGCACTGGAACGTCCACAGCAACCTGACAAAGAGGAGGGTGACCTTGCTGATAGTGCTGGTGTGGGCCATCTCCATCTTTATGGGGGCTGTGCCAAGTTTGGGCTGGAACTGTATCTGCAACCTCAGCGACTGCTCCCAGTTGGCGCCCATCTTCAGCCGGAGCTACCTGGTCTTCTGGTCTGTGTCTAACCTTGTGGTGTTCCTGGTGATGGTGGTCATCTACATGAGGATTTATGCCTATGTCAAGAAGAAGACGGCCATGCTCTCGCCTCACACCAACGGCTCCATCAACCGCAAGAGGACGCCCATCAAGCTCATCAAGACGGTCATGGTTGTGCTCGGTAGGTGCTGATCATTAAAATGTCTGTGCAGTCTCATTGATATGACAGTGAGCCACAACATTTCCTGCAGATGTCAGCTGTAAACGTTGTGGTGCACAGCTGTGTGTAATCAACAGGGTTTTAAAAGGTCACAAAGTCCAGGCTATTCACTGAGTCTCCGCTGATCATGCTGGATTGTAACTAATGTTTTCCTGATAAGAGAGAAAACCTTGAGCAGAATAACACAAACACTTGTGCTTTCAGGAAGCAGTTTGAGTGCTTCTCTGTGATTTGAGTGAGCCTTAAATGAAACCAAAGGAAGAGTCATTCAAATGTTTTATTTTCTTCTCTCTATCTCTTATTTTGTTGCTTCAAAGTCTACATGTTCTGAGTTTGTTCACTGCTCAGTGGCTTAGCGTATTTACTCATTATTCCTCTTAAAACAATTTTATGTTTTCCTGGATAGAGACATTAATCAGCCTATATGATTTTATCATTGTTGTTTTGTAATTGTATCCAGGATGAGGCAGTCAGATATCCTTGTCTGGCTCTTTGTGAAGTTGTTACAACAGGATAATACTTTGAAAAGAGTAAAAGGACTTCAGCCCTTCCCTCCCAGTGCTTTCCTGAAGAACTGAACAATAGTACATCGCTACTAGGTCTTCTATTAACCACCAAAAAGGGTGTTTTTTTTACATATTCTCATGCAACTAGAACACAACACATAAACAAAGTTGCCATACCCTAAATCACAGAAACTCTGCTAAGACTGACGCAGGTCAGATGAGTTCATCTCAGCACCGAATGCACTAAAGTTTTTTCCCACTTTATATCATCATAGATAAAAACTAGCATGACATAGTTGTAATGACTTGACCAGGAGTCTTTCATTGTGCTTTGTCTCTTTGGGTACTTAGTTTTCCCGGACGGATGGCACGGGACAGTACAGTATAGTAACTTTCTGAAGGAGCTGTCTGCCTCACTACTCACTTTATTCCAGACTGCTATGTAATTATCTCTCCCTGCAAGGACACACTGCTCCACAGCCTGTGTGGCGTAACGTCCACACACCACAGCACACAAACTAGCCTTCAATGAACATCCCCTCCCCTAAACTGATCCAAAAAAAGGAAAGAGGAGGACAAACCTATACTTGACAACTTTTACAATTGCTTTCAAATGCTCTGCTGAATTCCCCTGAGCCTGTGGTGTGTTTGTACAGAAGTGTCATTGTTGGTGCAAATGTTAAAAAGTATCAGTTGGTGAGAAGAAGATGGTAGTATCTGGGAGACAAAAGAAGAGTAATGACTCTCAATCAGATCCAGGACCATAGGATATAGAACAGAAAGCCTTCTGCCTAGGCAGGAATCTCAACTGGACAGACCAGTTACTACTATGCTTTGCTTTGTTACTACCTGAGTAAAATGAATGAGTGCATACACTTTAGATGAAGATCAAGGATGACATTGTAACTGGTGTCTTGACTGTGCAGGCAAACAAACGTTCACTATTATTTTAAGCACCACTGCAAGCACGATTGTATTTATACTGTAGTTCATTAGAGGTAAAAACAAAAGACACAAGGAAGAAGAATGAGTATAAAACAGAAATAAGTTGTCAAAATCTGGCAAACTTTTTGACTTTCAGGCAGTGAAAGAACAAATGTGGTTCATACTTCCGCCAGTTCTTTTTTTTCTGCGTGCACATGTGTCTGAGAGACAAAGAAGGCAAGAGAGCTGTTCAGAGCAATACTTGTTTTTGTTCTGCAGATGCATTGAAGCCGTCGACTGGCTGGTCGTGTCAACATCACTGTTGGTAGACAAGTTGCTGCTTGTTGCTTGCTTTCAGCTCCAGAAATCTCTTTAGTAGCTCTGTTTTGTGCCCAAACATGTCTGAAATGGATGGTTAATAATTGGCTTCTTTGGTAGCCCGGTGACTTATCATATTATTGACCAAACTGATGGCATTTGATAATTCTACAATTCATTTAGCACATGTTTTTGTCCAGAGCAATATACAACAGTATATCCAATCAGAGAAAGGTGCTGACAGGCAGTGCGCGGTGACAAAGCACAGTTTTTTTTCTTCTTATAATTAAAGTTATTATATCATCAACATCAACAACATGGGCAGCAGTTCTTGAGAGTTATAATCAGCATCAAAATCATCCTAAATGAATAATGCATTAATAACACAATAAATTGGCATTGTATTGCTAACCCGTCTCTGCTTGTTGTAAGGATTCAAGAAAAGTTCTAACTCTGCTAAAATGCTCCCATACATTCCAATTTTGCTAATGGATAGTTTTTCTTGGACTGCATAGGGTGCAGTGGTTACTGGCTGCTGACTCTAAAATGCCTGTACTGTATGTGAGTGTAAGTGTAAATGTTTGTCTCTATGCGTTAGCCCTGTCATTGAGTATTGATCAGTCCGTGGTGTACCACGCCTCTCACTCATTCACAGCTGGAATCAACTCCAGCACCTCTTAGCTTCCTTAAAAATCACATTTTCTTCTTTACAATATGCCTACAGTCTGTTGTCAAAATTTTGACTTTACCTTAAAGTAGCAAAAATACACATTTGTACATTTGTTACATAAACACATGAGAACTATGAATTATAGTTAATAATTTTTGTAAAGCTAAATTAAAATGCAAAATTTGAAGGATACCTCTTTGCTTTCTTGCCGACTCTTAGATGAGTTCTTCTCAATTACAAATTGAGCTCTGAAACAGGGTGACACCCGCACAAGCAAAGATCTAAGAATGAAGTGTTTCAAAACCTTACTGATTTCCGCTTTTCTCTGAAGGTGCCTTTGTGATCTGCTGGACTCCTGGCCTGGTGGTTTTGCTGATGGACGGCCTTGACTGTAGGAGCTGTAAAGTCATGAAATTAAAACGCTGGCTCCTGCTCCTAGCTGTAGCTAACTCCGTCATGAACCCCTGCATCTACTCCTACAAGGACGACGAAATGTGGACCACCTTCAAAAACCTTTTACGCTGCATTGGGAACGGCACGCGGCGCCAGCGGTCAACAAAGGCCAATGCCAGACCTCTCAGCTCTGTACAGGACACGGGCAACAGCCAGCCTCCGTCAGAAGAGACAAAAAATGAAGAACAGGACATACTAAAGACCTGAAGATGTTTTCATTTTTTTTAAAAGAATGAAGCAGAACTCCAGTCCTGTTTCGACTGGACGTAGATTATAAAGACACTGATTGGAGTTGACTTGGAAGAGGAACTGCACCTCCTTTTCTCCAGTTGGTGTCAGGGGATAGCTGTTCAGTTTTAAAGTACTTTCCGCTCTCACTGCAGGCCAGCTGCTCCAGTATGTAGCTCGAGTGGTGTTGAGGTGGATGTAAGAAGAGACCAGGATGAACTGCTAGTATCCCAAATAGATTCAAAGATGAGGTTTTTCATATACCACAGGATTTTACAGGTTTTAGACACATCATTCCCACTTCAGACTGTTATGGAAAATTCCAGTTTTGTTTTATCCTGCTATTCAGTACCTGGATGATAATGCACTCTTCATGCTGTGGAAAGAGTCAAGAGGGAAATGCGGCGTGGACATTTTTTTATTTTTTAGAGTTCATCACTTGTGCGATTTTTTGGTTATAACACTGTACATGTGATTGATTTTTCCCACAGATAAACTTCTTGTGTAGCTTTTTAGGAAGGAATCCTGTAAGAAATATAAATGTAACTTCTTTATAGTCAGGTACTATAAAACTGAAGATTTACTTAGCAAACCGCTTTTAAACAAAACAATCAGAAATACTGTAAACTAGTGTTCTATATAACTTATTGACTTTCTGTCATATGATTTCAAGAAGAGTTGAAGTAATGTTAACTATTTGCCAGCTAGCATGCTCAGCCTGATCTAATTGTTAGGGCCAATATTTGCAATGTTAATTTCAGCTTGGAAAATCACTCCCTGCTTTTCTTTTGTAAAGCAGGTTTGCCTCAGGGGAAACAGATAACAGAGTCCCTTCTTGTCTCACCTTTTGAATTCTATCCCTTCAGCTTAACAAACAGATAACTCCCTCCTGAAGCAGCTTGTTAGGGAAAACTTGTTCTCCTTGTAGCATTGAAACACATCCGCTTCAACTTTCTAACAGATGACTCTTGTTGCTCTGGAGAAACTCTCCTAACAGTGCGGGGGTTGTAAAATTATGTTGCAACACACTGGATTCCTGCTGGAGGTTCAGCACACACCAATCACCTGCAGGACCTGAAGAGGATATGACTGAATAGACTGCAACTACACACACACAAACCAACACTCCTCGCCCCCACCAGGCTGCTCTGAAAAACTCCGTTGCTAAATCATTGACAGGGTTCAAATGACTCATCTTTAACTTGCTGTACAGTATTTATTGCTCCTGCTGTAAGGGACATAACGTCATTAAAGCTGTTTTTTTTTTTAGACCTTGGTAGTGTGGCGATAAGATTGCTGAGACTTTTTAAACTGTTGTACATTTTATATTTAAAAAAATGAACTACATCACTTGGAATTTCATGGTTTTCTTTTTGTCAAAAGCCAGACATATGATACAAAGAAGGTGATGACATCGGGGTTCATTTTAAAAAAGTGCTTACAGCTACACTTTAGTAAAAAGTCTGACTTTTTGTTGCATATTTGTAGAGCAGAAGAAATAAAGGTATAAATAACCAGAATGGGTTTAATATATTTTGATCATTGGTAACAACAATGGGTCAAATGACACTACCTAAAATAATGGATAATAATATTAAGAACAAGACTTTATACCTTGTCCTGAGTGCCATAAAGGGGCTTAAATTCTGTTCAAATATCTCCTTATCTATAGGCATTTCCATCGGGCTAATCTGTATATATTTACTTGTAGCATGTAAAATACAAAAGCAATTTAGTTTAAAGATGGTTTAAAAAAAAGCTGTTAAATATCCATATCCATGTCATTGTGAACATGTTAGCACATAGCAAGGCCTCACACTACCTTATTGGCTCCAGCTTTTTTTGAATGTTGCTTACACCACCCACTTGGCACCCACATTAGCCAAACCAAAACTGTGCTGGTAGATCCTGTTTGGCCGAGTCCGAATGTCATGTACTTTCAATAATTGCCGCTAACTGATGAAACGTTTGGTTACATTTAAAGAAATGCAATGTAGAAGTTGGACTACTGAAAAAAACAATCTCTGAATTACCTGACACACAACAGATGATAAAGTACTGACACTTGAGATTTCTGCTGCTCAAGAGCTACCACTTAAGGTTGATTGGCTCTTTTCAACCAATTTAGTGTGTGCCCTTTTGTTTCCACTCAGACTGTAACATTATTTGCCTCAAATATTGAGAGAAACACAAAGGATTCTAAAATGGTAGGAAATACTACCATTATAAGAATCCAGAGTACTCGTATCAGTAAAACTGATTGACTAACTAGAAAATAAACATTTCTGAATCAATGACATACCAGTACCTTAAGATCCCAATAGAAGCTTTCATTTGGACCACTTCAAAGTCACAAAAATGCTCAGACAGTTTAGTTTAATCCAGTTTTATTTTGGATTAAGTTTGAGACATTTGGAGATACTCATGTCTTTGAGTAAAACTGATGGTATTTTTTTATATTGTTCAGACACAAATTCCATTGTGATCTGTAATGTGATCTGCATCTTGACAATTCAAAAGCTGATTTTTATTTTGTCATGTGAATGCAATATACCTCTGTAGGCTTTAATTAAAATACTGTAAACATTAGTCCAGTCAAGTCAAGTCCTACCTGTCAAAATACGGAAATTAAATGAAACGATATTTTAGCTCTAATGAAAACTGCTCATTTTATGCAACTAGTTAGAAAATGCAGTTATTCAATTTGAAAGGGTGCTGTTAAATAATATATAATGTGTAATTAGCTCATCTGTTCCCCTAAAAAGCCTTTGAATCCTGTTAATGTTTCAAATCTCCCCTCTAATTTACTCAACTTTACATGCTTGAAATGAAAGCCAATTGTTCAGAACCTTGCACTCTTTGCAACCACAAAACCACAGCAGTTTTTATCCCCTCTGTCTCTAGATGTCCTGCTTTGAAAACATTCGAATCACATGTTATTTCCCTTATGTGCAGTAAAATCCATCAGACTTACTTCCCTAAACACCAGCAGCATCCTCTATAACAGCTGAAGAAAAGATCCAATTCTGTGTATGATCGAGGTTTGGCTTAAATTAATGGCATCTTTAAAGATGCTGAATTATAGGGAGTGTTGTGTATCCTCTATTGAGTCTTTTGCAGACCTTTTGGGACCGCTGTCTGCCACTTTAGACTTTTTCTTCCCAAAAATGTGAACTGTAAACGGTGTGGTGAGGCAGGCCCTTTTTCTACAGCTGTGCTGTAATTATGCATTCTTGAAAAGCCAATTAAATTTCACAGATGTTCAGAAATTCGGTCTTTTGGTTTGGTTTTAACTTCAGAGTTAACAGATGTAGGCAGAGCAGGGAAATGTTCCTCAGTACACAGGGTGTAATATGTTTAGCATAAAGGAAAACACTCAAAAAAAACTGCAAGGTCAAAGTTAAACCAGGAATTCACTGGTTTCTCTGACAATGTTCCAACAGACAAATTGACATTTGGTTTCAAATGAAATAAATGAAACAAACATAATATTGCCCCCATTTACGATACCACATACACAGTAGATTCACTATTGATGCTTGTCTGAGTCAAAGGATGGTGTGAGGTAAATATGAAAGTCTAGCATGTTATAGGGCACAATCAAAAATGAGTCTACACGTTATGATTCATTATATGTATAGATGGTAAAGGGTTTGCATTTATGAATCACATTTATAAAAAATCTTTAACAGGTGGTATTTAGAGTGTTCTTCAACTAGTGCTGGGTATTAAATCTTGTATTGAAAGCCATCAGCTTTTAGTTTTGAGAAAGTACTCGACCAAACGGTCATGGAGCTGGCACCGAATACTTCGGTACGATAAAACCCATCCTATATTGTATGCTGCGCACAACATTAAGTGTGCAAACATTTATGGCATAATGTCATGTCTTCCACAATATTAATTTGATGATAAGTTGATTGAAAAAAAATCTGCCATGTAAAGGGTTAGGTTTTGGAGTTAGTAGTGAGTTAGGTCACACACATGAAACAGAATAGATTGAGTCAGATCATGCAGGACATTTTAAAAGTAGAAACCAGTGTCTTGTTGGTCAGTTCAGGTGCAGCAGAGACCTTTGGCTGATCCTGACCTGCAGGATGGTGAAGGTGAAGCTGAAGAACGCTGTGAACGAGTGCTTCATCAAACTGTGATTGAAGAGCCTTTTCTGCTGATTGGAACAAAACAGAGGTCATGGAAAAAAAAAAAAAAAAAAGATAAAATTGGAGGAGGCTATTTTAGATTTGTTGAGGTGAGAGCACACTCACAATCACACACACACACACTCACTCACTCACTCACTCACTCAGTCAGTCAGTCGGTCAGTCCAGAGCGGGACAAACTACAGCAGCAAACCTCCTCATGGATCTACGGACAACAATATGCTTTTACTTGTGTTTCCTACTGGTAAGTTCTCACACAGGAGAGGATTTTACAAATTTCTAAAAAGTACAACAGACTGAATTCAAGTGAGGATTTGTGTACATAAAGCTGTTGATTTTTATGGCTAACCTGTTAATAAGCTCCTCAATTATGCACAGTTACTTATCAAGGTATCAAACAGAGGAATAAATTTGAACTTCTGTGAGAATCCAGTATGTAATATTAACATTTTCATTTATTGCTGCAGAGAAACCCCTCTTGTCTTTGTTGTCTTGTCAGAAACACTTGTTGCTGCAGACGTGGTCATGGGCTCGTGGCTTTTTCTTGTGTATATATTTTTTTATTTTCTATCTTACTGGGCTTATATCCTTGCTTAAAAGTAATCAATCTTCAAAAAAAGAATTGCTTAGATTCTTACATAGAATTGAACACTTTAGTGCTTTAAAAAAAGTGATGATGTCGTCAGTTGCTGTTTGCTGTCTATCATTTAACACAAAACCAACAACAATTCAAAGAGATTAATTGTGTCTTTTCAGCATTAACATGCTCTTGTGAGCAGCCTTGACTGACTGATGAAACACTTCACCTGTTTTTAGCTTTTTCAAATCTATTTACGCACACCTTAAAAATGCCTTTACACCATAAAGCTTCTTGTCTATCCTGCAGGAAGTGATGTGCTGGCATGATCTGGACAACACAGAGTATGACTGTTGGCCAATCAACAGTCCAAATGATTCCAACATGATCAGCTGCGGTGGTACGTTTTCTTTTGGTTTTTGTCTGTTTGGGTTTGGTTTAAACCAGCTGATCTTGACTTGTTTGGACTGTGTGAAATTAGAAGGTTTCTTCTGTAACTGCACAGGAAGGAGACAGCATGTGTGTAGAATGAATTACTCTTAATTAACAGGAGGGGACCAACATAATCATGAGCAAATACATAGCCAGACTGTATTTATATGTACATTGTTGGAGTGTGTGTGTTCAAGTGACATGATCTGTGTGTTGTCATAGGTCTGGAAATGGCCTGGTTCCAGCGCCCTCCAGAAAAGGTGACAAATGGGGAAGAGTTCAATGTCTCGTACACAGTGACGGCCTCAGATGCATTCTATGAGTACACAGTCAGGAACAAGATTTTCAGGTTCAGGTGAGTGTGTTACATAAACACCTGGAATCTTAAATGTCTGCTGTGCCCGGATAAACACACACAGCCGATTGTGTTTGAATAATGGTGTCCATGTAAATTAAACGTAAAAATAACAAGAGATGACACTTTATGAAGACTATACAATTGCTGAAATGCAATTCATACAAACAAAAGTGTGTAGGTGTCCATGAAAGAGCAGGGTCTTTAGCTTTTTCTTAAAGGCGCAAAGAGACACATATTGCAGAATGAATATAGTTTGGTAGTTCGTTCCACCACTGGGGATGCAACAGAGGAGAAGAGTCTAGCTAGAGATTTGTTGTGAAAGTTGGATCAGACGCCTTTCATTGGCAGAGCGTAGTAAGCAAGGGTCCTTGTAAAACTAGATAAAACAATATGCAAAAATTGCATATTGCAAAAGTATAGCCTAGTTGTAGGCCCTATTGCTGTTGTAAGCATGAAACACCTACAAAGAGCTGACACTTAAAGCTGCTTGAAAAGCAAACAACAGGCTTCACTTAGCATAAAGACTGAATGTTTCTATCTGGTTATTTTTTTATGCCTGTAACTGCTGCTGTGGGGTTAGGTGTCAACTACATGCTGCAGACAGCCTTTGTTTCATTTTCCATTGAAAAGATTCATGACGAGTTCAAGCAGAATGAGATTTTATTGGGTTGAAAAACTCTTCCTATACTGTACACATGTGCAGGACAAAATCAGCAAATGAAATGAAAAGGTACCACAATGTCTACAAGGGGTGCCAGAAACAAGACAAGCCAAATCTTTCTCCCAGGTGCCTCGATAAAGGTTCAAACATGAATTTCAGGTTCAACCAGAAACAAGCTCAAAATGATTTTCTCTGAGCTTTATAAACATCATCTTAATCTGTTGTGGAAATAATTATCGTTTTCAATCTGCCCTCCATGTTCCCTTCCAGAAATGCATCAGAAGCAAAGATGTTCTGCAATGAACATGAGTGTCCGTCAAACTGGAACAACGCCAATGAAACAAACTGCTGCGTGTATCATGCCAACATCCACTCGTGTCCTCTTGGTCTTATGGTGAGTCGTTCAGCACTGGTTTCATCTCATAAAATACAGTCCACGTTGTGCCCTTCTTTTCCTCCTCATAAAAAGAAAACTAACCCACATGATACATCAAGGATAATCAGAGTTTGTTTATGCTTTTCAGTTAAACATGGCCCATTCTTCTTGAGCCTTGTACCCATTGTCTTGTAATTATTATTTTTATTTTTTTTACAATATCCGTTTTTGCGCTCTATATCTTCTTATTTAATTTTACAGAAAGTAATCCCCTAATATGTGTGGTTATTACTTTTGAGCAAATAAAAAAACAAAGCACTATGATTTTTACAGCTGCATTGACACACTAAAGAGATTTTATGTAGAAACTCTGGATGTCTTGAATTGAGAGATGTCAATGTGTGCTTGCCTGCTAGTTAGTAATGACGGACTATCTGTTATGAATCTGTCAACTCAGCCAGTGTGCTTTGTGCAAAATCTGGCGCAGACGTTTGCTTCCCCCCCAAATTAAGACATCTCATCCTATATGAAGCCTGTTTTTTCAGACTTTTCCATAAGCTTAGAATAAATTAATACATTGAAGATTTCCTTAAGTTGCCCATCTCCCCTGTGGAAATAAACATTTCTTTAATCATGAATTTCTTTGAACAGAAACATGGGGGAATCTGTGGCCCGTGGATCCCTGATGACGGTAAAATAGTGACTCACACCGTGTCTCAAGCCGGCAAGATGTCGCAGAAATACTGGAATACAAAGGTGAGAAAAACCTCAGAAAACATGACTACATATGGCTTGGTTGGAACAGCCTGTGAGATTAGATCAACATTCTAGGACTTTTTTTCAGTTCCATATCAAGTCAAATGCAACAATTTTGTCAATGTCTCACTGACACCATAGACAAATTCTGTCTTTTGGCACATGATTTAACTTGGTTTTAACCTTTTTTGTCTGAAGGGGAATTGATCTTGAACACAGACAAAAACCATAAAGTTTTGTAATAATGATAATAATAATAATAAGGTTACACCATTTTTGCTGTTTGAAATGTTTTGATTTCTCCTTTACGGCATATAACCAGCTTTGAGGTTGACTACCAACACCTGCGATGTTGGAATGTTGACCAAATTATAACCTTGATTTTAAAAGAATATATGTTGAAATAAGCTTTTTAAGTGTTGGCTGGAGACTGGCTGCAGAAGCTTTTGAAGGATGTTAGTTATTTTTTACAAGGCGCTTACCTGACCTGACTGATGGCCGGGTGCAGTGTAGCTATTTGTCAGGAAGTTTAAGGCCCCCGCCTCAGCTCCAGCCCTTTGCCTCTTGTTAGGTTGACTGAAAGTTTTCCAGCATGGTGACCGCCATCAACAGGCTTCCAAAGCTCCTGGCAGTAACCAGTGGGTGACGTCACTAGCTGATGGGTTCTGAAATTTAGTGAAGTGTGATTTATCAGATAGTTCACCATAGTGTCAGTGAACTGTCTGAATGTTGTTCACTGAGTGCAATTAGATCTAAAACATTGAATGTACTGTAAAGATAAGATAAGATAAGATAAGATAATCCTTTATTTATCACACAATGGGGACATTTACGGTGTTACAGCAGAAAAGAGCAAAGATTGCAGACAAAAAGTGAACACAGTACAATTCAAATAAAAAATAAAAATTAAGAATGTACAAAAAAAAAATAGATACTAGTGGATTGTGGAAGTAATAAACGAAAAAGAAGCTAGAAAAAATAGCTATAATAATCAAAAATAAGGAAAAACCCTGTTACGGGCAGGAGCTGCTGTAACATGCGACCACCTCGTGCGGCGCTGCTTCATGACTCATAAATGAGTGACTGGGACATACAACTTCATTCCTCCAAAGCAGAAGTCCACTTTGATTTCTGGTATGGTGTTTTCTTAAATAGGTGGTGCTGGTCCATGTGGGAGTCACCTCAGTCATTGCTCATATCAAAATAGGACAGATGCATGCAGCGCTGGAAGCCAAAGTGCTTGTTGTTAGCGCTCAAGGTAAGTCTGCTTTCAGTCACAAAGTCTCCATTTCTTGATCTGATGAATCCTACAGTTTGAGCCAAAGAAACTAAGAGCACATCTGTGTTTACATCCAGAGCCTGCACAGAGGCACTGGGTGAAGGCCAACTTGTGATTGACCTTGCAATAAATTAGCAATCATTTAAAAACATCTGCTACAGTATCAGCTGAGTTGCAATAATAAACTTAATTTTGTAATTACTAATATCAAATAGGCAATACATACTATTGACTGCAGGGAGGAGATATGACCTACTTTGTAACAAAAAATATACATCTAAATGTATCTGTGTTTTTTTCGTGAAACATTATCAGCTTCGAGCTTATTCTTTAAAAATATATTTTGATCCAGTCAGTAGTCGGCTATTCCTCAACAGTTTGAAACGTGTATACATTTATTTGATGACTTCAATTACAAGCTACTTTTCAGATACAGACGATTAATACAAAATATAAATTAACTAACTCATGATTGGCTGCCTGTCTCATTGTCTTGGTGACTCATCTGGCCACTTTGGCCACCTATCAATGAACTAGGGCTTATATTATTTATAAGGGTGGAATGATTCAAAGCTGGGGAACTTGGGCTCTGTTTTGGCTCTGTTTGATTTCATACTTTTCATGTAAAATACATAAAATTTTCGTACTTTGAATTTAACTCTATAGTCTATCAGCTAGGCCTGCGCTGGAAGCTGGTTTGGTAGGAAGAGACAACAATAGTAGAGCAAGAAGTGGAAACTATGGGTGTAGTAGTCGGGGAAAAGTGTAAAAGCATTTATTTTGTCGTGGTTTTTCTGCTCTTTCTGCAGTAAATCATCAAAGTACTTAGTGTTCCTCTGAATGTAGGGGATGGAAAGATTGAATGTAAAACTTCTCCCTGTGTTCCAGTGTGCGGGGACGATGTCTGTGAGATGGAGGAGACCTGTCTCACCTGTCCTGCCGACTGTGGCATCTGCCCCATGTCCTTTGCTATCAAAGTGGCTATTGGGCTTCCTGTCGCACTCTTCAGCAGCGGCTTCATCCTAACCATGGTGGTCAGTTCGTGCTATACACAAAGCTTTACCCTAACCCCAAAATACTTTTCCAAAGAACATTATTTTTACTTCATCACTATTGGCATTAAACCTAATTCTGACGCTCTCACTTGAAGCAGAGGCCTAACATAGGATGTCACAAAGTGGTGGGATGCACGTATTAAAAAACACATTTACTCACCCACATGTATAGTCATGGCTGAATGTACTGTTAACACATACATGCACATTCAAATGTACATACAACTTGGACTTCAGCAAATAATTTACCAAGTTTATGTACGGGCATTGTTTTCTTTTCTGTTTTCATACAGTGGCTCCAGTACCAGAAACAGAGGATGCTTTGGGATGAAAGCTGGATCATCAACTATAAGAGCATCATATTTGGTAAAAATGTCTTACATTAAAGTGATAAGACCGGCACCGTAGATGTATACTGCCATGTTATATGTTATATTTGCTGCCATTATGTGAAAATGCTGCCATTATGTGAAAATGTACTGTTTCACATCATTTCGTTACTCTATACTTGTATATGTGTAATGACAATAAAGTTGAATCTCATCTCATCTCATCTCAAAAGTAGCCATCGATTATACCTTTTTGTAGTCTGGTCTTGTAAATGTACCTTTTATAGGCCTTTCTATAAAGTGTTTATTTATAAAACTAATTTCTCAAAAGCAAAGATTTGACTTCTTTGACACATTCGCAGCAGAATTTCCCACGTGCTAACCTTGAACAACCTGTAAGTCTTACATCAGTATCTGACTATCTGTGTGGTGTTTGCAGGCAGAGTGTGTTACATGGGCCTCAGCAGCACCACAACCTTGCAACGCTTCAAGAGTAACTCCAACGTCAGTCAAACTACTGATGTGACAGTGTGTACGGGAGTCAACAGCTCCATCAAACCAGGCTTCATCCAACCAGGCATCTAGTGAGAAATACTTTTATTATGAGCTCCTATTAAGACTCCTAAATCAGATACACTCATTAACATGGGTAAAAGGATGTTAATCTGGCCTTTTCATTTAGAAACATTACTTTTCTCTTTTACTTTTAGACTGTATGGGTCTGAAAAAAATTGACAATATACCCCCTATTGGAAATATATATTTAAATATATTTAACTGTGTGTATCATTTAATTAAGTGTATGTGTGTATATTACGTAATTTGCAAGCAGCCATCTGATGAAAAAACACATGAGTAACAATGAAGAGGATTATAGTTTTGTTGTAATGAATATAATAAGCATTGTAATGGAATGAAGAGTAAAAGTGATATGCCAATATAATTAATTAATTTTAATCTGTTTGTAAAATGCAGGTTTTTTGAAAGGTTACTCTGAGCTTCACAAACATATTATGATTGACTTCATTGAGTTATTCTTCCTAATTTTGTATTTTGATAAAAACTGAATTATACTTACGGTCTTTCAGTGATGGGAGGACTGTGGCAGTGAAATACATCCAGAATAAACATTTCACCCTCTCTAAAACCATCAGGAAGGAGGTCAAAGAAGTGAGGTGAGTAATAAATATAATAAGCTGAGGAGGAAGTGGAAACACAATATGTTTTACTGACAAGCTAAAGTATTGCTTCCCAGATGAAAAAAAACAAAAACTCCCTTGGCTTGTCTCATTTTTCATGTTGGGTAGGCAACTGGACCACCCTAATCTATGCAAGTTCATTGGTGGTTCCATTGAGGTCCCCTACGTCAGCATCATCACAGAGCACTGCCCCAAAGGGAGTCTGTCTGACGTCCTGCTCAATGATGACATCCCCATCAACTGGGGCTTCAGGTGAGATCATTTTACACAAAACTTACTTTTTTACTTTACGTCTTCATTCTTGAGACTGTGTTCAGAACACAAATAGTCACTTCTAAGATTGTTTCCTCCTTCTGCAGACTGTCCTTTGCTACTGACATCGCCCGTGGGATGTCATACCTTCATCAGCACAAAGTGTTTCATGGAAGACTTCACTCCAGAAACTGTGTCATTGATGACCGCTGGGTGTGCAAAATTTCAGGTTAAAAAAATATAATCTGAAAATACAGTCTGCAGCCTGCCAAGTACTGTCAAAGTTTTTTTTAGTGTGCTTGATTACAACCATACAAATACACATTTGCAGAGAACAAGAAGAAACAACAATCATTCTTAATAGGCGTCATTGAACCCCTCAGAAACCTCCTTTAATGTTGTACATTCGATATTCTTCTCCTGTGTTTGTGCTTAGATTACGGGCTCACAGCCTACAGACGAGAGGACTTTGACGTTGTTAGTAATGGCTTTAATTGTGGGGATGTAATATACTGCGCCCCAGAGGTCCTGCTTGGAAGCAGCTCCAATATGACACCAGCAGCAGATGTTTACAGGTGAGAATAAACAGCAGATATCTATGTATTTAGCTAGATTGACAACAAAATAATCTTAACACTGAATAAGCCTAAAATTGGATGGCAAGCATCTTCGCACATATACACACACGCAGTGTTAAAACACAAGGAATATAAAACCCTCCTCACTTTTCCCTCCTCTCCGCAGCTACTCCATGATTCTGGTTGAGATTGCAACTCGCTCTGATCTCATCTCAGTGAGTATGACAGCCCACTCTGCAGATTACTACCTTCGGCCTCCCATTTGATCTTTGCTTTGTAACTGGCGCTCTTCTTAAACAGGAGCAGACTGAGGGAGTGAGGATGGATGTCATGTGGCGCCCTCCTCTGCCTGAAGTCAAAGCAGGGAAGGCCGATGTAGACTGTCCCAGCCAGGGAGACTACTGTGAGGTCTGTCTCATGAGCAAGTGTTGCAAGAAGAGTGCTGAAATGAATCATAAGGCTTTTAAATGTAAGCCTACTGTTGTGACATATCACTGTGAGGTGTTTTTCTCTTCTCTGAAAAACTTGAGCAGCTTATTAAGAAGTGCTGGAGTCATAACGTCACCATGAGGCCCACGTTTGAGCAGGTGAAGAAGATGCTCGACAAAATGAACCCACACAAAGTCAGCCCTGTGGACATGATGATGAACTTGGTAATTAACGCACTGAAATATGATCAAATAAATAACATTTGGTCTAAAGATACATGCATTTAAAAATGAATTGTACCTTGAATAGTACAGGGAAATATTCCTCATACTGTCACATAATATGGATTCAAATGACATTCCCTTAATTGCAGAATTACAAAGACAAATGCAAAGACAAGAATTTGAAGTGCTACCTGTACACATTTGAATATATGTCAATTTTGGACACAGACTGTTTTTTTTAAATGCAGATGGAGAAGTACAGCAAACATTTGGAGGCCATAGTCGCTGAAAGAACACAGGACCTCCTTCAAGAGAAGCAGAAGACAGATCGGCTTTTATACAGTAAGTCAGTAAGACAATGTGAAATAGGTTTTTAGCTCTAATGATTGATACAAAGAACCATGGCACTACTAAGTTTAAAGGATACATAAATAATCTGTGGCAAACTGAAAACTATATCTTAAAGGACTTTGAAATACAGATGTTCCTCCCATGTGGGGGGCTGCTCATGGAAGAGTTGTGACTGTTTAGTTTATTAGTGTTTATTAATTCATTAAATAACTTACACATAAAGTGTAAATCATAACAATCATTAAGTAATAATAAGGTGCTTACTGCCATCTAGTGGTGCAGATGTATCACCTTCATCCCTTGCTGCCCGACAGACACAGCTTTATTCATCATCAGACACATTTCAAATCATGAAATTCCTGTGCAGGTATGTTACCTAAACCTGTGGCTGATGACCTCAGACAAGGTCGGACAACAGAGGCTCAGAGCTTCTCCAATGCAACTGTCTACTTCAGGTATATGTTCTATAAAGCTTTTATTAGATTTATTTTTCAATGTAAATTAGCCCAGATGTAAATATGTGTCAGAAACTGAGAAAAATTGTGATCCAAAGTTGTTTGTCGCCCCCTAAACATTGTTATCTCTGGTGCATTTTGCCCCTGTTTTATAGAAGTACTTATGACTTTAATACTGTTTTGTTGCTTTTTTCTGTTTAATATATATTGTCCAAAAATTCTATCAATTTGAATGAAATTTATGAAATTAATAAAAATGTAATGCCATAACTCAACTTCGAAAAGGCTCAAGTTCAGATGAATTGTCGACTTACACTGGTTTATTCCTTTTTGGCAGTGATATTGTTGGCTTTACTCAGCTATCTGGTGCCAGCACTCCTTACCAAGTTGTGAACTTTCTCAACCAGCTCTACACCACCTTTGATGACATCATTGACAATTACGATGTCTACAAAGTGGAAACAATAGGCGATGCTTGTAAGTTTGAATCATAAACTATACTTTGAACCACTTACACTTAGAAATAAGTCATTTTGATACATCTCCAATGTGCCATCTCATGCACATCTCAAAATTCAACCTCTTTAAAAAACTTTCACTGCTCCATAATATAGGTAAACTAGATGGTATAGGGAGAAAAACAACTGAAACAGTTTATATAAGTGCCACTTTGTTTCTCCATCAGAATCTGGTTTTTTTTAGTCTTTTTATCATCACTTTATCTCTCTCTCTTTTAAATTCTATATTGTCTCTCCCTGGATAAATGGCTAAACTTGCAGACATGGTGGTCTCTGGAGTCCCTCAAGAAAATGGCATCAATCATGCTGGAGAGATAGCCAGCATGGCTCTTGATCTGGTCAGTGTTTGCCACAGTTTCAAGATCCCTCACAAACCCAACACGCAGCTGAAGATACGAGCCGGCATCCACTCAGGTACTGAAGACATTTCGCCTGTATCCAGCATCTATTTGTCAGATTTTTTGACCACATGTTGTAGGGCCCATTTAGAAAATATCTTGGTTTTAAAACACACTCAATCTGTAGATTGAGGTCAGTCTGATAGATGAAAACCTCATACAAACTTCCTATAACTCTAATTCAGTAGGGTGGTGTTATTCAGTATACAGAAAATTAAGGGTCTAATGACAAATGACACATTTGCAGTTTTAAAATTTGTCATTGGTTTTAGATGATGAAAGAGTAACCTTGTAGAATCTCTATGCATAAATGAAAAATTAAATAAAAAATGAAAATGTATTCGCAATAGGAATAATGATTAGAAGAAATGAATAAAAACGATTCAGCATTACTACATTGTGATTCTGTTCGTATGCCTGCTGCATCTATAAAGTCTGGAAACATCAATTATAGAAGTGAATAATAAATCAAATCAGAAATTGACTGTTTCCAAAAAAAAAAACCCTGGCTTTATGGTCATACACACCAAATTAATACATTCTTTATATTGCTTTAAATGTATGCCTTTAGCTAAAAGAAATTGAACCATCACCATGAATCTGAAATCCTTTAAGCAGACAAGTGTAAGGGCACACATGATGAGAAATTATTCATCATATATTAATAATTACTATTTCAAACTTGATCATTTTCTTTTGTAACAAAAAAATCCTCCTTTATGCTCTTTGGTCTGTTAGTTTGTTGAGTCATTCTGTTTGAATCAGCTCCAGAATAGTTTAAAAGTTCATTCATGTTCACTGTTTGACTGCTTTATAACTACGTATCTGTTAACATAATATCCTCACATACATTATCATGATGATGCAACCACTGCTGTTTCTTCTGGCAGGACCTGTGGTGGCAGGTGTGGTTGGCACGAAGATGCCTCGCTACTGCCTATTTGGGGACACGGTTAACACAGCGTCACGAATGGAATCAACCAGTGAAGGTAATGAAGGATTAGGCACTCTGCCTCTCATCCAATTAATGTCCCAAAGAGGAATGACTGGTGTCAGAAGATCTGAGGTTAAATGAGGTTTCCATTGTGCTGCACTTTGCACATGTGCTGTTTACATCGACACAGTGCAGTCACAACATGGAGGAAGGACAATCAGCTCATCTTATGTTCTGCATTAAGTCTGTGGGATAGTGGAAAAGCACTGAGAGGGTCAAAGAAAAAACATCTTAGAAGCTAAATAAAATTTCAAACAAACACAACATAAGACTTTTGGATGCACCAAGTTCGTACAAAAGAATTCAATCAGTCAGGAATTTTTTGATTCTATGTAATATTGAATATGTTTATACATATGTCCATAGCTCTAAAGATCCAAGTGAGCGGTGCCACAGCTGACCTCCTTCACACACTCAGAGGTTACATTCTGACGTGCAGAGGAAATCTTAATGTGAAGGTAACATATGCATGTATAAATGAATGTTATAGCTAGCTTGTTGTAAAGATAAATCAGATATTTTTATGCTTGAAATTTTATGAAAAAAAAACCCCATGTCAGTTGAAGTCTTCAGTTCAAATAAAAGACACTGGGTGTGTCTGCATGGTATTTGTTCTTTTATTGTTGTTGTTCAGGGAAGTCTTGCATTATCCAGTTCATGGATTCTTTTCATGTTGCAACCTAATACCTCTTTTTGGATGTTGGCAGTTTGATATGGGGGAGGGGTGTACTCCTCAGCATAGCTGACACTTGTGAAGTATAAGAGATGGACCCAGCTGCTGCTCCCCCCCCCCCCCACACACACACACCCCATCAAACCCTAATGGCTTTATTTAAAACTCAAAGGGACACTTGCTTTGCAATATGACTCTCCTCTCTTGTTACCACTTTGACTCTATTTTTTCTTGGCCAAACAGGGAAAAGGAGAGATGACAACATGGTGGCTAGAAGCAAAAAGAGACGATCTCACTGACCCACTGCTCAGAACATCTGAATCTAGAGAAGTCCCAGTTCCAGTCAGTGATTAGTGTTGTTAGATTATATATTGTCCAGAGAGCTATACATTAGGACTAAACGTGCTTCTACAATGATATGATTCAAATGTGTTCTTGAGGACTTTAGTAACGTGTTCAAAGTGTTTGTCATTGTCATGGTTTCATTCTTGAGGGCAGGAGTGATGATTACGAGATTGCAAAAACTAGTCTTTTTTGTATCATGATTGTGCAGGACTGTTTACATATTGTTTATTTGTTTATTTATTTATTTACTAGTAAAGGACATCAAAACATTATGCAGAGAAACCTGCCAGAGTCTAAGAAATGTTTGTTTAGTCACACATTTTCTCTCATAGCCTATATAATTGTATTTTTGCAACCTGATGCACTTTAGTTTTGCCAAATATATTAAAATTAAAAGGAAAATTCACTGCCTAAAAATAATGTACTCTTTAATATGATAGGCCTACAACAATATTAAATCAAATATAAACCTTATTGGATTCATTAAATCTTAAATGTTTGCCTTTGAACTAGCATCTGATTAAGTAGGCTAAAGGCCTGTTGCACATGCAGCATATTTCAAATGTCATTACCTAAACATGGCTTTTCATTAATATTTCCAATTTGGTTATTACACATAACTTCCCTCTTTAATTTGAAAATTAAAGCACCTAAAATGCGTTTTGGCCATAGGCCCTATGTGTTTTCCTGCTATGTGATAATCTTTTTTCCCCTCCAAATGTCTATGTTTAAGCATGTTTAAGTATATGGTCTGCCTTTAAATATAAATAAACATTTAAAATAAATGAACGGTTGTTAGTAGTGGTTATTGAAAGCGGTTGCTGTTGGTTAAGTGCAATATTTTGATGTAGGAAAAAAAGCATTCATCATGCCAATCTAAAAAAAACAGGTACTATGATTTGATTCGCAATTATCAACCTATCTGCACTCTCCCTGTACTGTCAGAGGTAGGCTACTTGAAAAGGTTGCGACTGAACAGTTTGTTGAACATCTAGAGACCAATCTTTTCCTTAATCTTCTAAATAATGTTTTCTCTATTGCTTGTTTGATATTATGCACATTTCAAAATACAATAAACTGCCAAATGTCAACATCATTTTCAATGCCATTAAAACTGTGGACTGTATATAAACAATTAAAACACTTTTAAGTGCCGCAAGGCCGTGAGCCAATCACATTGAACCGTGCTCGGTTGCTAGACAACAAGTCAGCCAATTAGAGTGCTGTTTGGTTTGCGTTCAGCGATGTGTGTGTCATTTGGACCGACAGAGCTGGAGGAGCAGCTGAACAGTGAGGAGCTTTTTGGAAATACATAACACACGACAACGTCGAGTAAGTACTGAAAACATACTGCTTATCAATTATTCATAGTCCAAAGGTTTGAAACAGCTGCGTTATAACCAGTCAACATGTTAGGCTATCCTTTCCGCTAGGTTACTAAACTGTTGCTTTATTTTATCTCACTAACGTTTTGACAAATAATGAATAGCCTAATTGAAAAAGCTGACTTTGTGTTCCAGGCTTTATATTTGTAAGCATGTAGTTTGCAAAAAAAACCCATCTAAGTAGCCTAAACGCAAGCTAATACATTTTTACATAACATAACATTTATGTAACATTTATTTAGCAACAGTTAGGATGTTAGAAGGAAAATAGTCTTTATTGTATAGTCCGCAGCAAGTAGGCTATAGAGATGTTGCATACTTGAGTATAGGCTACACTGTTGCATTAGGCTACATAATGTTAGTTCAGACAATATAAAAACTGCGACCTATTACCCTAATATTTGTCAATTTATTACACCTAATAGCTAACTTAAAAAAAAATAATAATCATTGACTATAAATACTAAGCCTTACAGTGAGCCCGACAATAAAGCATGATTTAGCTAAATATTTGTTCAGCTTTTTGGTCACTTTACTCATGTCTAATTGTATTTTATGGCATTGTACTGTCAAGTGTGTCCAATGTTTGCCCCCCACATAAATATCAGTGAGTGTGACAAACAGACACACAAAAAAAATCAGAAGCTAAACATTATGAGGTTTGGTCAAGGGTTACTAGCAGGGCTGTGGTAGGCTATTCATTTTAGCTGCATCCTGTGACCCTATCAGACACCTTTCATGGTTCAGAGTCTGGCCTAAAATGTCATTCGAATAAGCAGCATATTATTTTAAAGCAGCCTCAGACAGACTACAAATCTTAATATTCAGTCTGTACGTCTCTGTTGAAACTATTTTTAAGAGATTTTCTGAAATAAAAGTTGAACTATTGATTTAGAGGTTAACACTTTTCAAGTAGTCAGTCTAAGAAGAGGCTTGTTAAGCCTTGTGGCTGTAGGCTTGCCATCTGTCTCAACAGGCTGATGAAGTATCTGACACCAAAGGGAAGGTCCACTGAGTTAACAATGAGCCATAGCTTTCCCAGAACTAAAATGTATTATAGTCATAGAAAAGGGCTCTTAGTAGAATGTTTATTTATTTTTATTGCTTAGCGTTGTGCTCTGATACCTGCTGTCCCAGAAGGAGGCATTGTACATGGTACCATATGTCTTTAGATATAAACGTATATAATTGGGCAATAGGTTGAAACATTAGCATTTCTCCCACAGGAGGAAAACAAAGTTTACGTCATGTTTCTTATTGTGCAGTTTTGCAGTCAAATCCCCACACTGTGTGTCTGGGATTAGTCTGATCAGCCTAATGACAAGAGCTTTGGGATAAGAAGCCAGCCTGGTCCCAACCAGTAACCTGTTAAAAACGCCTACAGTGATTATGTTGTGGTACAACAGCACCTACAGCAACAATGTAACAATCAAAATCAGCCTTGTGAAAGACTTCTTAAATAAACCCAACATTTAAAATAGAATTTAGATTACCTATAGATAACCATGGGTCCATCATGTATTAGCTTCTTCGATTGTTGCCTGTAATTAACGAATGACTCAGCTTAGTCATCACAGTCGGTTTTGAAGGGTGCTGCATGTTTCCTCTTCCTCACTGTGGCTTGTTTACCTTCATGGCCTTGTAATCTGTGATAAGACTATGTTCAATGGCCACTGCTAATCTGACACTCTATTTCAGGAGCAGGGAGTGCGTGGGTGGATCCTGCACATGTAGTAGATGATCAACACACTTATCCTGAGGGCTTCAACTCAACAATGCCAGAGTCGTCCCTGGGTGAGTTCAAACTTTGATGTCTTTGAAGGTCCTGTGATACATACTTTGAGAGAGACATAAATAACATTTGAAGTCATCAGTTGTAAAGAAAATGTTTTTTCACTTGTCCCAGACACCACAGAATATTTTGAATTTGATTTTGACTTTATGTTGATATCCTGATCAGTTAAATTGAACAAATGGAGATGTATAAAGTAAATTGATGCATAATTTTGACCTTCATCCCATACACTGTAATACAACTTTTGAGTTAGGAGTAGTGGGTAAAATAACACCAATGGCAGGAGATACGATGTGATTCACTTTAATGTCCCCTCGGGGGAACTTTTGAAGGGCTGCATACATTTAGCTACCTCCACAGTAGTGTGTATAAATAGAAATGAAAAGAATAACAATCTACATGTAAACAGAGAGGCAAACATCAATGAATAGCACAAACAATGTACAGAATATTGCACATTACTCAAAATGATATTTTTATTTAATGTGCCAAATATAACCTAAATGTCTGTAACTTTTTTTCAAAAGTTTGTAGACCATTTTCTTGTCAAGCATGCTTACCTCAGTGTGGGCTATTCTGCACATATGTGACAGACAATTTCTCCCCAGAAGTCAAGGACACTGGCACCGGTTCTGTTGAATGTAGAGCACCCCCCTTGAGGCAGTTTAACCAATCATTGCTGCCACTGCACAGAAGCTCCCACATGCTCAGTTCCTTCTGCACAGAGCACAATGTACAAGAATGTCGATCACATATCAATCAGGTGGGTAACCTTACAAGTGTCTTTGATGTATTTTTAGTACAGTTTTTTGACATGTAAACGCTTGTAATCATCGGCTCAATATCATTTTTTTCTTGACTCTCTTTTTAAACAGGAGGTGTCAACTCTTGGCCTGCCTCCAGTTTGGACGGAGTCTGCTGGCAGCACAGACATGAATGTTGTGGCTGTGCTCAATTGCATGTACGACCTGATTCAGCTGCATCGCAGGAACCTCAGAACTGTGGAAAATATGGAAATAGAGCAGCTTAAATGCAGCAGCAATCTGGATTACCTGCAGCTCACCAGCACGCGACTAAAAGTAAGTTCAAATTAACATCCCTTGAATTATCAATATTAATGCTGTATTCAAATAGAAAAAAATAGACCAGAAGTTTAATGTAAACTGGACTTTAATGGTTAACCGTCAAGGTCTTTACTTTCATCATAGGAGCAGCTTGAACAATCCAAAAGAGAAAACACTGCAATCCTGGAAAGAGAACGACAGCTGCAGCTGAAAATGAAGAGTTTACAAAACTGCCTGAAAAATGAAAAAGAAGAGGTGTGTTTCTTTTAAAGACACTCTCAAGCAATGTTAGAGTATCTTAAATGCGTTTTATTCTGTCTCATTTGTACAAGTATGAAATAAAAAAAACAAAAAAAAACACTTGTTTTATTTCAGGTGCAGAGACTTCAGAACATAATTGCAAGCCGTGCCAGCCAGTACAATCATGAGATGAAAAGGAAAGAGAGAGAATTTAACAAACTGAAGGAGCGCTTGAACCAACTTCTGGTTGACAAAAAGGAGAAGAAACAAGGTTTAAAAAAAATCTTCTTCGTTTCACATTTCATATTGAAATACAAAAAAACACTCACAATATTATACATTCTCTTTTAAATTATTTTTTGATTTTCCACATTTGTCGTTCTTGCTTCCAGCTATTGACGTGTTAAACAACATTGGAAGAGCTGATGGGAAAAGAAGCCTCTGGAAAACTGAAAAGACAGAAGCAAAGTAAGTTCACCTATTGGGGCTCTTTTGTCTCTGTGACTTTGAATCAAATTGTGAAAAAACATACTTGAAGAAGAACATTTAAAAGGTTCAGTTGTGTGTTTCTGTAGATTTAATACAGTTTCTCTATAGTTATGTCATATACACAACATTTAAACAGATGAACAGATACATGGATGTTTACTTGTCTCATCTCTAGGCATGAAGGGGAGATGTATAAGACTTTGCTGAGTGACTATGACACCCGACAAAAGGAGCTGCTGCTGGAGAATGCGGAGTTGAACAAAGTCCTGCAGCAAATGAAAAAAGACATGGTGACTATTCTCAGTGCAAGGAAATCAACGCTCAAAAGTGGCAAGCATCAAGATGATTGCATACAGGTGGGGCAAGTTTAAAAACCAATTACAAATAACCAAATGATATGCTTTATATTCTTCAGTGTGATGTTTTTCAGTCTTTTACAAGTGTTTGTCAGGTGTTTCACTTATAGTTTAAGAAATAATGTAATTATTATAAACAGGCTGATTCAGAGGAGGACGAAGAAGTGTTTGATTTCGGTAAAGAAAGTGTCGACCAGTATTGTGTTCATGCCCGGGAGAAGCTGACCTACAGTATTCGCCTCCAGTGGAGAAGACTCAAAAGCCATGTAGAGAGATTGGACAGTCAAGGTAGTGTTTCTACAGATGCATAACATATATAAATGTACTGTATTACATAACTTTATGTCACGTTACATAATCACATTAACTGCAATCAAGAAAAGATGTAGTTATATGCAAGTCACACAACATAGATGGTCTGAGAACCAATAACATTTCAGACTATATTAACTCTCCCTGCTTAAGTCAATACAATGAGGGATGTAACCATTACTGTAAAATCTGATCTTCTTAGATGTTTGTTCAGCGTCTTTGGTACAGATGGGTGACATTAGAAGCACTGATGCTGTTTCCCGCAAGACACATGAAGAGGAGATGGAGAGACTGAAGGAGGAGATCCAGCAGTGCAAAGACTTCATTCAAACACAACAGCAGCTCCTGCATGTAAGACGGAATCCAACATAGAATTTGACCCCTTAAAGGAAGAATGTGCGTCATTTGATCCAGTAGATGTTGCCATTGGGAAAAATGCTGTTTGGCGACACCTCGGCTATTCTGAAGCCTCCGCTCTCCTCCAGCGGAACACCTCCAACCCCTATCCACTCTCATTCGCATGAAGGAGTTAAGAATTAGAACTCACCATAATTAAGCACCATTAAGCGAAAGAGGGGGACTAAATTGTCCTTTTGCTTGAGCTGCAATGGCCTGTTGTCTGCATTGATGCGTTAGCAGTTTAATGTTAGCACACTTTGGTCAACTCATAGTGTCATTTTGCACTTACATTGACATGGAATGACCGCTATATAAAGACACTTACGTGACATCCAAATAAGCAGTGAGTAGACTATTTTATTCTTCTTTTTTTGTAGTCCTTGACTAAAACAGCTTTTATACACAAGGGCGTCCCGTCCATGTAAACATGATGTAAACACAACTCAGACAACAGTACAGCAGGCGGGACTCATATGTCTCACTCAGTGTAGACAGTCATGACTCAGAGAGACATTTACAGAGGATATACTTGATTTCTGCTGTATCTATGTCTAAAATGTCTCACATTCTTCATTTACGCCCCCGGGGGAGTTTATTTAGTGTCCAATATCTAACTACTGAAATAGAGGGCCATTAAAAGGTTATATCCATTTAAAAAACTACAAATCCCACAGTTGCATCCAACAAAGTGCTCTGTGGATGGAAAGTATAGCAGCAACTTGTTACGAGAACATCAACTTGACTGAAGAGACAGCACACAATGTGAACGAGTCTGTATAGCAGTCTGAGCTTCCGCTGGTCCTGGGTCAGAAAAAAGTCCTCAAGCAACATTTTTTTAAAACAGACAAAGCATGTTTATTTCAAACTAAAATAATAGGTACTCAACATAAGCAGATCCCTCTGTAACAGTTATAACTCGAACAGTGTCCGTCATACTTTTATCTCTCTCATAGTTTTAGCAGGACACATTGAAACCTTTTTTGCATGTTTAAGAAAGGCAGTATTTAGTTGTTGCAAACCTTGTTTAATTCTTTCTAAATAATCTGTTTCTGTCTTCTTTTATTTGCAGCAGCAGCTGAGCTCTCCATGTGATGAAGAGACTTCGTCCCTGCTGAGCGACTGCTACATGTTGCAGGAGAAAGAGCGTCTCAGAGAGGAGTGGGAGACTTTCGAGGAGCAGAGAAAAATCTTTGAAAGGGAGAGGAGAAACTTTACTGAAGCAGCCATACGACTAAGCCATGAGGTGATTTGTAAAACCCTCTTCCAGTTTTTTTTCCTCCCAGCATTAATAAGTCTGTGTGCAAAGTTAACATGATATTATCTGTCTATTTACCTTAAGTTTAAAAGGCTGGCTGTTGATGACATACATTTTGTTTTGGTAATCTTGCAGAGGAAGGCCTTTGAGGACGATCGAGCAATGTGGCTCAAACACCAGTTTCTTAACATGAGTCCATTTTCTGAATCAAAGAAACCCCCAATGTCAAAATCTAAAAGTGCCTATGTACTATGTAAGTATCTACCATATTACATGAGTCCGATCTAATGTTGATATAACTGCTGATAAACTGTCTGATGATTATTATCGACTGAAGAAAGTGCCCTTCTCAAATCTTTTCAATTGTGATAGTTCTACTTAATTGAAGAATTAATTGGTACAGTCTCATTTGAATTTCTGTTGTATAACTTTTATTATAATGACCTATCATTAACTGACTTTTCTGACAAGGATTAATACATTTTCACTTTATTTTGTAGCTGACACAAAGGCGAGTGCAGCGTCAGCTCAAAGGAGGCTCATTAAATGCCCGTCTGAAACAACCTCCCCCTCATCAAGATTTGTTCCTCACAAATCGAAATCCACAGCTGACCTGTATCACACACTCTGCCTTATCCCAGAAAACAGGTACATTGCATTTAATTGTACTATGCTTTATGAAAAAAATCATGACATGAACCATCTCTAAAAGAATCCTCTTAATAGCCTGTCTCTGACTGTTTGTCTTTTTCGGTTTTACAGTTTAACCAAACCAAAGAGAAAGACTGAACGTGTCATAGAATCAAGCATCTTTTTGAATGGAAACGTTGCAGTTCAGCACAAAAATCGGAACGACAGTGAAGACTAGAGCAGCCACACACTCATGATGGAAAAGACCAGCTCTATAAGAAGCCGAAACCTACATCTTTGCAATAAGAATGACCGTTGATGTCCATTATGGAGCTTTAGTGGTTCTTCAAAAACATGCCTGAATTGTGAATGCCAAATACGAAAAGACGGATTGCAAACTAATGACATCACTGTTGAAAGTAAAAGCCAGAATGAGTTCTGGTTTGCTGCTGTGTGACTGAGAGAAAATGTGTTCTCTACCTGTATACTTTTTCAATATAATACTGTTTTGTCTTTAGATGATGTGTTAAATGTATTTATTCATTTGGTTCTGTAAATCTTGCTTTGGTTGTCATATGTTTAGTCACAGCTTTTTATTTTTATTTGTTTATTTATGTTTGGCTAGCAGGTGTGCTGAAAACGATCATGTGACCTGATAGTGACATGTCTCTTGGCCCTTGTTAATGGTAGCTTATGCAGTAAACTTTTTAACTTTTGGAATGAGGGTCAACTGGCACACTATCTTAGATTGTAGATGTAATGCTGCTGTTTGAGTGAATGCAATAAGGTAATAATGTAATACGTTTCTACAGTTTGATACAGTTGTGTGAGGAACAACTTAACTTTCTGGTAACTGTTCCGGTTATGTTGTTGCGGTGAAATAGGAAGGCTTTAACACTGATCACATTATCTAGAAACGAAGTAGATTAATGAAATGTGTTTATTATTTTAGTTTTATTTACAGATGTGTTTACTTCTTAACCTGTGGAATGTGACACAATGTATGTAAGACTATCGAATATTATTGAAAAATTCATTATACATTTTTTGAACACGTTACTTGACATATGACTTGTATTGGCTTTTTATCAGTAACAATTTTGAGATGTTGATCAGCAGACTTCATCACCAGTCTCTATCTTACCTGTCACAGACAAAAGTGTCTAATTAAGACTGTCAATAAGAGGAATAATGTCAACAAGGCTTTCTTGCACAGAGGCGACTGCTGTCATGACTATATTTGTAACTTAATTTTTTTGGCTTGACAGCCTAACTCAAGCTAATATTAGAGCTGTACTGGAATTACTGTCATTAATTGATATCTGTATTAATTTGACAGATATTGTGCACAAGTGATATTCTTTTATTTCTTTTTGCCATCAGATTGACAGACTTGTTGGAATTCATTTAGATGAAATAACACTGGAGAACTCATACCCATACTCAACCAATTGCCTGAATCTTTTCAAAAACTGTTACAGGAATGATGACTTTCTCAAGAGCTTTAAGCCATTCACAAATACATTCAGTAACAATAAGGAACTAGCCTGCTAATAGAAACCAACAGTGTTCTTTGGTCAGTCAAGCAGAGCTTGACATAATTGGAATGTGATACTATATCCAGTGGGTTTCTGCTGTCATCAAAAATAATATTGCGCATCAAACTGTTTACAGGTCCTTAAAGTTGAGAGAAGCATTAATGCAGTTTTAAATCTACAGAGTAAATACTCTGGGGTAAAATGAAAGAAGACTGAGAATGTGAGTAGTTTGAGATGCAGTTTATTTAAAATGGCATTTAATACATACAATTGATGTCAGTGATATGAGAAATTATTTTTAAACACACTGAGTTGTGCAGCTGCAGGCTAAGTGGGCTTCTGTTGCTTCCCTCATGTCCACGCTGCTATCATAGATGCTGCTCAGGCTCTCGGAGTGATTCTGGAGAGAATCTGCACAAGTAAAGAGAGCGGAGCAATTAGGAAATCTGCTTTTCTCACATTTTCATAGTCTTGGTCTTGAAGGAGCTGTGATTTGTTGCAGACTCACCAACAGGCAGACAGTGGTAGCCAACAGTGACAGTGGTGGTCTTCACAGGGAAGCAACCAGGCAGGCAACGGAGAACAGGTTCAACAGAGTTGCATCTGGATTCCTGGCCATGGATGTTGATTGGCTTCTCAAGCTGCACGGATTCAAGCTTCATATGGCATCCTGTAAGCAATTTATAGATATTTGTAAGGGAGTTATTGATGGAAATTGATGGTGCATCATAACATTTTAAAATCATATCTACAAAACTAGAGAAATGGGACAAAAGAATGACGTGAAGAAGTAATATTTTAAAAGCAATTCCACAATCTATTTTGTCTCACCACTGGTATCACTACAGCTCTCTGCTGGCAGAATCCAGGAATGAGCATAGCTGACTGCACTCTTGGTCAGACGTCCATTGGGTGTGCGGTACTCCTGTCTGACTTCCCCATCAGCCTTTCCACAGATTCCACAGGTCTGTCCCTTCATCCAGTCCACCACTTTAACCTGTGTGATGAATCAAATGGGAAATTTACGATGATCAAATTTACAGTTCCTGTCAAAATTATCAGATAGCCTTGAAAGGTCTTTTTTCATTTTCTGCCACTTTTAAGCTTAGAATTTATTTAGGCACAGACCCTGAAAGAGGTGTTATGTATTTTTTTATTTTATTTCTTTGTAAATGTAGCATTTACCTTCCATGAGCCCTTGTCAAAGTAGACTTCTTGCAGACCTTGGCTGGGAGCGTAGACAGAGATGCCGTCACCATTTTGCCTCATCTGGATTTTGGCTGTAGAAAAAACATTTATAATTTCTCAAAGCAAATTTAAATACCCCACAATCTAGAAATGTGTCAACTTTGGAGTATTAAGACACTGATGTGTAGTTTTCAATATTAAATTACAGGTTACCACTACAGTACTAGATTTTAGGGAAGGATGAAATTGTATGAAAACCTGTTGGATGCTGGTATGGAAGGTTGGTGATGGGGATTTCCATTTCATTGACCTTCATAATCACATCGTTGTTCTTTGCGTACAGGTCGATATCACTGCAAGTGCGGAAATAAAAACATTTTTTGTTTGTTGTGTAAACTTGGCAATGAAAAAAGACCCAGTTGTATCCATATTCATAATGGAAACGCACATGTCAGCAATCTTCACATTGACATAGTTCTGTTCGTTGTCATCCTTCTTGAGCAGAACGATAAACTTCAGCTCTTGCGTGCAATCCTGGGCCAGAACTTGGTAACAAGACGTTGGCATCTCGTTCTTGTATTTCATCTTGTTGAATGTGGTCACAGTGTCATTGGCAAACACGCATTGAGCTGTAGAGAAAAAAAAAGATGTTATCTTTGGCACACAAAAGGTAACAGTCTATACTTTTCTCATAAAAAAAGAGGCATAATGCAGTGGTGCATTACCAGCGTTAGCCTTGCCAAACAAGTAGTGGACTTTATCGGCAACGTCATCGAAGGGGGTGAGACCTTTGATTTCCTCAAGTGGCAGAGTGAGTGGAAGATGCAGAGCCAACTTATAGACAGAGCACTGTAGACAATAATTCACAATTGTTAGTATAAGTAAAAAAAATAAAAAATAAAAGTAATTTTATATTTTGGGAAAACTACCAAATAATGCTTACTGTTGGTGATTTCAAGATTAAGTCAAGGGTATTTTCTGATGTTGCAACCACAGTGAATGAGATCTGCTTGGCCCTGTTTTCATTCTTTTCTTTAATAACACCAGCGGGCATATAATCAGGAATGTAGTCGTAAACCCTTTAAAGAATTTAGAAATATTAGACATTTCCTATCGTACAAATTGAATGGGAGCAGGCTGAATGAAGGGCATATGATGTTGCATACTTTTTTGCGTTGCATTTTAAGGCAGAAGGTAGTTTGTTCCAGGCAACTCTGATGCGAGAGGCGGGTCTTTGTCCAACAAGACCTACCTCAGCTGTGATTGAAGTGTCATACTGCTTGCATTCTGCTCCCCAGCTGACTTTAGCCTTTTGAGAGACAATAAATGTGAATATAACCCACCATAGGATTTTTTGTATCATGTCCTAAGTTCTAAAATATAGATTATACAGTTTCTTACTGAGACTTTGTGGCTGCTAAGCAAAACTCCATCAGCACAGAGTTTCCATTTGCTGTCAGCTGTCAAATTAGCCAAAATAATCTTAACGCTGCTGGTTGGTTTGTCCAAGTAGACGGCCAATTCGGCTCCAAGTGCCTTCTTGTCAGTTCTGATAGCACGGACGATGATGGCGAAGGTTGGAGCAGTTTCATTGCTAAGATATTTGTTCTGTGGGATACAAAAGATCAGTCAATAAAATAATTCATGTACACCTCCTTACCCATCAGGGACAGTATCTCACAAAGGTAATGGTATTTAGAAAGGATAGGCAAAATCCACCTTGCTGTAGATTGCCTCCAAGCTTGCACCACTGCTCTTGGAAAGTGCGGCTGAGGTGACTTGGGAGGTGAGAGCCTACAACAAAAATATGTATGCGTTAAAGACTTCCACCAAAGAGCTTCAACAAGTTAAAATGTAAAACAAATTGCATCAGATTGACTCATTTCCCGACCTACCTGCTTCTTGTGGAACTTCTGGAACTTGTGACGATACATCACGTGCTGTTTAGAGGAAAACAATATTTTTGTCACATAACAGGTATTTACTATTATATTTATATACATTAATATTCTTTAAACAGTTTAAAAGTGTTGACCTTTGAGCTATGAGCACTGGAGCGAGTGGACCTTGACCTAGCATCGAAGAGAAATGCCAAGCATGATGCAGATGAGGAGCTTGAAGAAGAGGAGCTGCTTGAGCTAGAGCTGCTGGAGCTAGAGGAGGATGAGCTGTCATTCCTCAGTCCAGGAGTCAAGATTTTCTTGAGCTTCATCAAAAGAGGTTTTACTTCCATAATTTCCTCCTCACTCAGGTTGATCTGTTTGATGAGCTTTTCTGCAGCCTTTGGTCCACTTATAATCTCTAATTCCAGTCTCTCAACGCCCTCAGCTTCAACTGAAAGTATTAATTAACAATGTTGTTAAAATTTGCTCTTTGCAAAATGCATCTACATAATGCAATAGTTTTGTGTTCCCAATACTTACTTGGTTTGACATCAATAACAACAGAGTGCTTTCCTGCCAGTTTGTACAGGGCAATGTTCTTTAAGAATGCAGCATTGTCAGTTGCCAGTTGAAGACAAACCTTTAGTCCAACGACATAACCATTTGCACAGTACGACTTTTCAAATTGAGCTGCTTTGGGTTTCACTATTGAGCCAGAAGCTGCCTCATCTGGGCATACGATCTCTGAGGATGTTGACTATGAAAATGAAAGACTTATTAGCAATGTGTTAAATGTGGATTGGATATATACATAAAGACAATGATTACTTATTAAAGCTGCTTACAAAACTAGCAACAGCAGATGAAGCAATCTGAGATGAAATAATCTCCCTTGAGATGGGCTGAAAGATTTTGGCAGGGATGATTGGCGTGGATTTTGCAGCAGAGAGGTCCTCTATATTTCTTGTCATAGCCAGGGTCTCAACACTGTGAAATAAGAACTGCATCAAGTAGGCTCTAAAGAATAGCACATTTTAGAAGTGGCATTTGATGTTTTTAAGGGTAACCGTAGAGTTAAAAAGGTCATGCTCACTGCACAGCTGCTACATGTTCAGGTGCAACAACAGGCAGAACTTCGACCTTAAAGTTGCCCTCGTTGATGTCAAGTCTTGCAAGAATTTTGGAGGGCACGATGGAGATGAGTTTAGCCCTTGATTGCAGGGCAGCCTGGATTATGGCAGTGTTGACACCCATCACAGCAAAAGTGTTCACAGCAATGCTAGAAGGAGAGAGCATTTACATGTTACATTACAATAAATTGTCTTTGTCATTTTAGTTTAAGATGTTGTACTTGCCTTGGTATGATCTCAGTCTCGAGCTGAATGTCTGTCTTCAGAAGGTGAGCAAGATGGAAGGTTTCCGGCAGAGCTGGTGTTGTGGTTGCTTTGACTAAAAAAACAATAAAACAATGCATGAGATTGAATTGTCAATGGTTCATCTCATCTCATCTCTTGAGGGATGTGCCAATATCCCACTAGTGCTTGAATGTTATTTAGTCAGCCATACCCTATAAGGTTGTATAAGGTTTTTTTTTTTGATAATAAAACTTAGTAATGCTAATGCATTTTTAAAAATATTTTGTGATATGGCAGGCACTCTTGTCTCCTGGCGAAAGCTGCTTTGGGATGTATGTTAGCTTCTGCTTACCCTGAACAGCTACAGCAGCCACTGCAGCTGTGTAAAGACTCAACTCCATTGGAAGACCAGCAGCAGTGGGCAGGATACGCCTCACCTCAGTGGCCAGAATTGACTTAGAATAGTTGAAGGAAACACCGGACAGCATAGATTTGACAGTTGGCATCAAATTTAGACCAGTGCCGTTCTGTAAGGATGAATTAAAAACAACTGTTTCTTCCCAAAAAATGTTTTGAAAAAAAGCCTTTTTTTTTTTACTTGTGGTTGCAAAGTTTCAATTGGAATCATACCACAATGACATGGTCAACCAAGTTTTTGTCAATGCTGGCAAAAGCAATTTCTTGGCCAAAGAATTTTACGTAGACAGAGGCCAGAGGTGTGTTGGTGGGAAGAGACCTCAGCTGAGAAAGCTGTAAAAGGAAACAAGAGTCCAAGTTATTTCTAGCCTGCTGTGACGTATCATGTGCAATTGTATGATTTTCTATCCTTGTATTTTGCAACTTCCTGGAGATTCATAACTTACAGATTTGATGACACGTTTCATCTTGGTGATCCTGTCAGCATTGTCAATAAGTGAAGGGTTTTTCAAAAGAGCCTCCTGTAGTCCCTCGGTCCTTACTCCAACCTATGTAGAATTCAACATGTTAAAAACACAATTCACTGACTATAATTACATAAATTAAATGCCACTTAGGCTGGTAGTTTTATTTTTCTTTTACCTCCAGAACATCAGCAGCTGCTCCAGTAAGGTAGGCACTGGTCTTGGCAACAATAGATCTTGGCAGAATGGTGGCAGCATCATTGATGTAGAACACACTGGCAGCAGCACCAAGCATCAGAGGACCTAAAGTTTGATGAGATCCACTTAGTTGAAGATGCAGAAAAAAATGGAGTGCCTGAACTGAATTTAAATTTGCCCTTACTGTTGTATATGTCCAAGTGAATGGCTTTGCTAAAACGGAGGCTTGATCTGTCCAGCCTTGAGGTCAAAATTTTGATTGCAACGTTGCAAGCAGCTGCACTGTAATGTAAACATCAAATATCTTCTAAGTAAGCAGACATCACTATATGTACTGTAGATAATTTGATGATTATTGAGGATCAAAGACTACACTTACACTGAGGCATGGATAGCAGCAGTGCTTCTGGTCAGGGACTTCATGTAAGAGTAAGTGAAGATTGCCACCTGCAGATTTGCCTCTGACTTCACAATGTTGGCGAGACTGGTAACCAAACCCAATTCAGGCCTAGTCTCAAACAGCACGATGCATGCAAGCATACGGAGCTCTGGGTGAAGAGCCTTGTCCATGTACAGCTGAAGTGCCAATTCTTGGACCTGTTTTTATAAGACAAAGCAAACTAAGTAAGGAGTTATGTTTAAAAACGAATATAGGTTGAAGGGATTGTTGGTGTTAAGGATTCACCATCCTGGGCTCCTTCTTTGCAATGCTCCTCAGGGCCATGATAGCATCAGCGTGGACTCTCATGTCCAGGGATGCAGCTTCTGGGCAATGGATGGGCAGGATCTTTGTGATTGGCTTAAGACTACTAGGGAGACCAGCATTACCCAAAACCTTCAGAAACAGGATGATATCCCTAGTCTTTTTTTTGGAGACAGCCTCTTTAAGGAGTTCGTGGATGGGCTGTTCGAGAAAGTGAGACATTAGGATTCATTTGTCTTTACGAGAATGTGCAGCAGAGTGAGTTTGGTGAAGAGATCAAGATTCCATTACCTTTATAAGGTTGTCAGGGCAGACAGGCAAATCGACGCAATATTTTGCAATCATGGTACCATAACCAAGGAAGGCGATCTGACGCAGACCTGGTCTTTCCATCATTTTTTGGTCGGTTGCCAGAGCCTAAAGGAAAGCAACAATGAGAAATTTGTCATACCTCCACTCTTAGTGCAAAAAAAAAAAAAATTACTTTATCGTTTACTCACCTCAACCATGTTGATGGTGTCGCGGGTTGCTGTCACCATGTGAATAGATGCAACCAAAGCCTGAACAGCTTCGGCAGGCTTCATGTCATCAATTCTTTCCTTGATGAGTTTCAGAGCAGCAGGAGTCCCAGTGGCAGGGATTACATCCAAGATCCACTGTCTGAAATATGAAAATGTGATTATTGAGTCTGTTCATCCTGTTTTAATACAGTTAGTTTGCATTTTATTAGAGTGTTCATATGTGCAAACTCACCTATAGGCAGGCTTGACTATGTACTTCCTCCAGAGCGATTCAAGGTCTTTATAACAGGCTGCACGAAGGAGCTGAATGAGTTCCAAAAACTTCAGAGGGGCATGGTCATGGACTCTCTCAACATTGTGGTTGACCAGATGATTCAGAACATCAACAATCTAAAACACGAAATTGAAAGGGAAGTCATTTAGTGCTTTAGAGATTCATATATATATATATATATTTTTTTTTAAATGTCAGAAAACACTACCTGAGCCTGAGCATTGTCTATTTTGATAAGCTGAATGGGTGTCTGAAGAAGCTCAGTAGAAAACTCGTACTTCAGAGATCCACGGTGAAGATACTGAGCCTGGATGGGTACAATAGGTTTTCTCTGAATCTCAAGGAAGACCAAGGATTGCCTTGAAAGAAATATGCACAGGATTAATCAACAGCTCCTCTAAATCCAACCATGCCCCTTTTACATTTCCTTTAGCCGTACTTTGTCTGCATCTGAGCAGCTCCATTCAACTCAGAGAAAGGTGAGAACTGGATCAGCTCACTGACTTCTGCCTTCAAGATGAGAATGCTGCCAGTAACTGTCTTCATGATGTAGTTGTATGCTGTAGATCCTCTCAGGTTCTTTGAGTCCTGTTAAAACAACCCACATAGTTGTTCAATTATGAAACATTTTTCTACTTTCACTGATGTATGCCTGACACAAAAAGGGTTTGAATTTACCTGCTGGCACTTTAAACATTTTTCTGTGTATGCCAACCCCAGGTCCTTTACGATCTTCTCCTGACAGTGGTTCAGATCCCTTGTTTTTGTCAAAAGGATGCGATCAGCGTCTTCAGTGATGGCATAGAGGGTCTTGCACACACCCTGAACTCCGGCCTAACAAGAAAAGCATCTATTTACTATTGAGATTCAACTTCCTGCATTGGATTTGAAATCATTAGTCAAGGATCTTAGACAAACCTCCTGCAGTTCGTAGACATTCTGTGTCTTCTTGATGTTGAGCTGAAGGACATTCAGGATACCTCTATGGATGTTCAGCACCCAGGTTGAGATATCCTCAGGGGCAAACATTTTTCCGACAACCCCATTGGCATACTCAAACTTGATGGGAGTCATGAGTTGAGAGGCCAGGGCTGCAGTGAGCTTGGGTGATGGGATAAGAGGATCCTTGGCCCAGACTCCGCTGAACTCAAAGAGTTCAGGGTCAACCAGCTAGAAGGTAAAAACAAAGTTAATTACAGAGCAGTTTGGATTATGAAACAAAAAAGAGCTTAAATTTGTCTTTGATCTTACTTTCATTAAGTAAATGTTTTCAGTTGCGGCACTGATGAGAACTTTGCTGCTGACTTTAAGTCCAGCCTTTGCCAAACCTTCCTCTGGAAGTCCGGTAAGGAGCAGCGCCTCATATTTGTAGAGGTAAGTCTTATTGGGAGAAAATTCAGGAGCTGAAAGAACAATTTACTTAGTGAGAAGTGATCTGCCTTATCCTCAACATTATCTGGGTAATGTTTTTATTATACAAACAGAAACTTTCACAGATTTTCAGAGAGATTGAGTTTCAGATTACATTGGAAAAGGTTACAATGCATTTTGTGTCCAACTATAATTTTGAGGGGAAAAAATTACTGTCTTTTTTATTGTAATAAACATCTGAACTTACCAAGGGTATGAGGCTGTCCGGCTGAAGTGAAAAAATAATATTCATTATTAAAACAGAAATAAATGGTGAAACTAAACAGGTTAAGGATTTTGCAGTTTTTGTCAATTCAAGGAAATTCAATGCAGTAGTGTTCTGCTTGCAAATCATTAACACTTAAAAACTAAATTATTCAATAGCTTTAAAAGTGAGTTATGTTTGATACTGTTTTTTTTATTTAAATGAAGCACATCAAATACGTATTGAGATCTTTGTGCTCTTTTAACACCCTGTGGCACACAGGATACTGTGTTTTTTTGTCTCATTAACAATACAAAAAAAACTGTCAAATGTACAATAAAAGCCAATCTGTTTTATATTATTGTCTAAAGCAATGATAGACTGCTTTTTTTGTTTTTGTGACTTGTAAATGCCTTCAAAAGTTTGTAAGTGTAGTTACATTGCAACAGGAAATTAGATTCTATCTACTGAGTAATATAGCCAATTTTTCTCATCGTAATCTGTCTTTAAAAAAACAAGATAAGTTACAAATGAGCAGCGCCTCATATTTGTAGAGGTAAGTCTTATTGGGAGAAAATTCAGGAGCTGAAAGAACAATTTACTTAGTGAGAAGTGATCTGCCTTATCCTCAACATTATCTGGGTAATGTTTTTATTATACAAACAGAAACTTTCACAGATTTTCAGAGAGATTGAGTTTCAGATTACATTGGAAAAGGTTACAATGCATTTTGTGTCCAACTATAATTTTGAGGGGAAAAAATTACTGTCTTTTTTATTGTAATAAACATCTGAACTTACCAAGGGTATGAGGCTGTCCGGCTGAAGTGAAAAAATAATATTCATTATTAAAACAGAAATAAATGGTGAAACTAAACAGGTTAAGGATTTTGCAGTTTTTGTCAATTCAAGGAAATTCAATGCAGTAGTGTTCTGCTTGCAAATCATTAACACTTAAAAACTAAATTATTCAATAGCTTTAAAAGTGAGTTATGTTTGATACTGTTTTTTTTATTTAAATGAAGCACATCAAATACGTATTGAGATCTTTGTGCTCTTTTAACACCCTGTGGCACACAGGATACTGTGTTTTTTTGTCTCATTAACAATACAGAAAAAACTGTCAAATGTACAATAAAAGCCAATCTGTAAAGAAAATATATAGCTATACTCACAATAGTTTCCATTAGCTCACAAATTAGGATTATGGTAAGAAAAGTGTTCTCCTAAATTCTAGTTTTTCATTGCATTGTTCAAGATTCAACTAGAAAAGTTGATTTTTGTTAAAGTTACACCTTCACAGAAAATCAAGAAACACACTCACCAACAAGGGCCAGGGCCAGGGCAAGCACTACGACTCTCATGGCTGATGGGGCTGTGATTCTCTGCAGTGATGGACAGCCTTTTAAAGGGAAATTTTTGCTGACAAAGTCAAATGGGAGGTCATGAAGGCATGGTTAGGTCTTGGAATGTTTGATCAAAACAGTCTATTAGATTGGTAGGTTCCATCCCATTTGACATAGATAGGGTGACATAGATTGGAAAATGTATCAATGGATAAAAAGTTATAGTCAACTGACCGCTGTTCCTCTAAATTACGCTATATAATGGTTATTATTTAACAAAATGTAAAACTAACTTTAATTTCACACATCAATTTGAACTTTACTTGAACATTTTACATGTCGGGTTACATTTACTGTATCTCTAATTGGCTAATATGATACTGCTATTTGACATACAAAATAAGAAAAGAATAGGAAACAATTTGTCAAAAGTAAGACGTTGATGTCTTTTTAAATTCAAATCATAGCTCCGGTTGACTCAAAGGTTAATGGCCCTTCATTTTGATTAAATGAAAAAGGAGTTATTTTAAATTGATTGAACTTAGGCCATAAATCATTAATTTAATTTCTGCCATTCTACTCTTGCAGTTTATTCTAGTAATGTCTTTATTTTGTAGTATTCATATCACTGGTTAGTTTAGTAAATGATACTATTGTTTTTGTCATCTCATCTCACTTCTTTAAATTCAGTTTCAAAGTTCACACAAGAGGGCACCATGACTATGGCTGTTTACTTACTTTGTTTGTTGTGGTCAGCATGACCACTGTTGTCATGACATTTTTGTTCCATCCAAACTTTGTCATTAATTGCCAAAATTCTGTTCATTTTCTGAATGTCTGTGGTGCTCTTTCTATTTCTTAAAAATGCGTACTGAACCTTTGAAGTGTACATGTGTTTGAATAAAATGCTTCAGTCTTTAATAATTGATTGAACTTTCATTTACCTTTATTTATTCTCGAGAAATCATTGAGGGCAAGCCCTCATTTACAATGACGTCGAGAGTACAATTAAAACGAATAAGAGACAAAAAAAGACAAAAAACAACGAAGACAAAATACATAGATTATAAGACCAGAAGAATAAGCAGTAAACAGGTAACTACAGTTAATAACATTTACACTCATGAGTACAGTGAACTGTGATCAAGTTTTTAAATTGACCCATGGTAACCATTGTATTGAGTTGAGTATGTGTTTTGTATTGTGTTCCAGGTGCGTGCAGCACAATAGGTGAAGGATGTTTTCCCAAAGTTCATTTTTATATGTGGAACCGTTAACATTAGCCAGTCACATGATTGAGTCTGATAGTGATTATCAACCCAGATTAATAAAGAAGTGATGTATGCTGGTAGATTACCCACAAGTGATTTATAAATAAATAGCAGCCAATGCTGTTCACGTCTAACTGTTAGTGAAGGCCAACCAACTTTATTGATGCAATGATGAGTGGAATATTTGTCACCAGTGATAAATCTGAGGGCGGAGTGATAAACTGTGTCTAATGATTTTAGGGTGGAGGCAAAAGCATGTCTATAAATGACATCCCCGTAGTCCAGAACAGATAGGAAGATGGCTTCAATTATTCGCTTTCTACTCACTAAGGGGAAGTTCACTTTGTTTCTGTACAAGTATCCAATTTTCTGTCATAGTTTAGTGGTTAATGTATCAATGTGAAATTTAAATGAAAGGGATTGATCCAACCAGATGCCAAGATATTTATAATGAGGTACTCTTTCAATATTGTGACCTTCCAGAGTTGTTATATGCAAGTCATTGTCTGTGGTATTTCTGGCTCGTGTAAAGAGCATATATTTAGTTTTGTCTGCATTCAGTAATAATTTTAAAAAAGGAGTGCATTTTGTAATTTGTGAAGTGCTTCTTGTAAAGTTTCCATTGCTAAGTGTGCAGTCTCAGCAAAACAATACAAAACTGTGTCGTCAGCGTAGAGATGGGTCTTACAATTTGTAAATACAGAAGCAATATTATTAATATAGATCGTGAACAGCACAGGACCCAATACAGAACCTTGTGGAACCCCTTTTGATAGTGGTAAGTAATCAGAGCGATCAGATTGTACAGTCACACATTGCAATCTATTAGACAGATAATTCTGGAACCATTTAAATGAGGAATTGTCAAAACCAACATCATGTAGCCTCTGCAGGAGTATGGTGTGATCAACAGTGTCAAACGTTTTAGTTAAATCAACAAAGAGGGCAGCACAGTATTTCCCTTGATCAACAGCAGATACAATATTATTTATGACAAAGGTAATTGCTGATGTGGTGCTGTGTTTATTTCTGAAACCAGACTGGTGAGGACTTAATACAGAATTTCTTGAAAGGAATGATTTTAGTTGATTGTTGACTAATGTCTCCAGGATTTTAGAGAGGCTGGACAGTTTGGAGATCGGCCGGTAGTTGTTGAGTTTGTTTTTGTTGCTGCCCTCATGCAGAGGGACGATGTGTGCTGACTTCCAAACCTGAGGGACAACTCCAGTGGTAATTGAAAGATTAAAAATATAGGAAATCTTCTCCCCTTGCTTTCCTAATATCTATAGAGTGCAGAGCCTCCATTACATCAGAGGAAGTGAAGGCCTGTATAGTAAATTTAGGGGAATGGTTGTGGGAAATAGGAATATGAGCCAGCGGCCGGATATTAACGGTGTTTCCAGAGTACAATGTTTCAAACTGACTCCCAGAAGCAACAAAATGGATGTTAAAAGCACGGCAAATATCTGAAATTTAATTTGTTTGGCCTTCATTTAAAATAACATAAGAAGGGAGAGATGGGGAGGATTTATTTTTGTTTATATTCACTGCTTTCCATAATTTTGATGGGTTTGAAGAGCAACTAGAAATCAACTCCTGGTGATAAGAGGTTTTAGCTTTTCTCAGTGAATATGTGCATTTATTTCTGAGTTGTCTGAATAAAAGCCAATAGGCTGCTGTGCCTGTCTTTCTTGCTAATGCCCAGGCTTTGTCCTTTTCCTTTAAAAGTAATGATAATTCAGTGGAGAACCATGGGCTTGATCTATCTTTAACCCTTAACTTTTTAAAAGTTGATGCTTGTCAATAACTTTGAGAAATGTATTTGTAAAATATTCAAGTGCATGATCCACATCAGGTATTTCAGATGTTTGACATATATTACTGTTCACAATGTCATTAAAAAACACCTGTTCATTAAAATTTCTGAAATTTCTCTTGAGTACAATCCTGGGCTTAGATCTTGCTAGTCTAGCACTCCTTATACATGCCAGAGGACAATGGTCACTGATGTCTAGGGAGAAGACCCCAGAGGCTGTAATTTTGTCCCTATTGGTAAAAATTAGATCAATCAATGTTGATTTTGAGGGATCTTTCAAATTAGGTCTAGTTGGTTCAGTTATGATCTGTGATAGATTTAGATCATCACACATCTCCTTTAAGCTCAATGTATCATTTGACAACCAATTTAAATTAAAATCACCCAAAACCAGGATTTCTGAAGTACTGAACTGAGAAAACATTTCTGTTAATTGATTAATAGCACTGGGATTAGCTGATGGTGGTCTATATACACCTAACACAGTCAATGATCTGTTACAAGAGATTTGAATTTGTAGAGCAATACATTCAAACGAGTGAGGTATAGAGACGGTATTTAAAACAGTCGCAGATATAAAGTCTTTTACATATATAGCCACGCCACCTCCTCGTCCCTCTCTGTCTTTTCTGTACAAGTTGTAATTATTTATTGCAACTTCCGGGTCATGGATATTCTTTTTAAGCCAAGTTTCTGTCAGCACAAGGATATCTGGGTCAGTTTGTGATACAAGAGTTTTCAGATGATCTAATTTAAACTGAGCACAAAGACTTCTAATATTTAAATACATAAAACCTAAGCCATTTCTTGATTTAAAAGTCTGTGGGTTAAATAAAACTTGCTCAGGAGGGCCCACTAGGAGATGGCAATGGTTTTGGTTTAATTAGAACTAAGTTATCCTGGTTACAAAAACTTGTGCTGGGGAGGAACTGGCGGTGCTTGCAGACACTGGTGATGAGTACAGGGATGCTAAATACTGGAGCAGAGAGTGGAAATGGAGAGCAGAGAATGTTGATAATAGGGCTCACCTGAGAATCTAGATCCTGTCTAATTTCAGTGGAAAGAAGTGGCTTCATACACCAGTAGATGGAGCTTGGGAGCCATCTGGACGATGCCAGTGGTAAGGAGAGAGAGTTCCGGTCACTAGTGTCCAGGTGTGCAGAAGGGTTAATTCATCATGTGCATCTGGTGGAGGTCATCTTTAAAAATGTTGAATAATAGTAGCAAATTATGTTGCCTTTAAAACTACAATACATGGACTTGCACATGTCAACCAGCATGATTAATTTACTCATTCAAAGAGTGTGATTTTACTCTATGATTTACTGATTTTATTAATGTATCTTTTGTTGTTTTAATGATTTAGTTTTCCTTATTCATAAACTGGTTATGCAAGACAGATTTGTCTGTGATCTGTGTAAATGGACAATTAAAGTCTGATCTTATCTTATCTAAAAATGTATTTCAATTATAATATTTATCTTTTGTATGTTGTCTTTTGTACTGTAACTAAAAGCTAACAAAACATATAACTAAACTGGTCATTCAACACCTACCAGTAATCCATGGTTTTGTTGCAAGGTAGATCTGTAATAACTTTTTTTTAAATGCAAATTCAAATAATATTGCAAACATACATTTTGCCTATATCTACAATACAGACACTGTACATAAGCAATATGGTGTATTGCCTCTAACAATTTGTTTTTCCAACTTACAGTGAATAATGAGTTATTTATTTCTAGATTTATCTAAAAGGAAGACATATAAGACTCCAGCTGTTCAATGTTACCATGCTATACAGAACTCACCATGTGTCATACTGATACCATCAAGGGAAGGTATTATTTGATTGCATATTGACTCATCTCTTTAGTTTTGTCTAAAGTTAAGCGGCCAAAAAATTGAAGGTCATCTGGTCTTACATCCTGAATGTATTTTTGAGTTGAGAAACTGATTGGTTTCATCTGGCTTCATTGAAAAGTAACTTAGTATTATACATTACTAAGCAAAATTAAAGGAGTTTTTTATGATATTACCTTGATAAAGCATGTTTAAGGTCAAAGATTCAGTCTGAGCACCGGAGCTTGTAGAACTCCATGACTTTCTTTGACATAACTTATCGTTAACTTGTACAAACTGAGTAGAAGCTGAGACTAGAAGCAGAGAAGCAGAGTGAGTCAAGTAGACCTCTAATTAATTTGGATTTCATCGATCTTTGAAAATATAGCCAGATAATCCTGCCAGGCTTTGGGTACCCTTTGTACTGTATAGTTTGCTTTCAATTACCTAACTATGTGCAGTGTGAATATTTTATGACACTTTACAATAAGGTACATGAATTACGCATAGTTACTGGGTAACGAACGAGGAACTAGCTACTAGCTACTAGTTAACCATTAGTAAACAGATATACACAACATTTTGAATAGTTACTAAGGAATGAAGGAGAAACAATAGCAATAGCAATAGCAATTTTATTTATATAGCACATTTCATTACAGATAAGCTCAATGTGCTTTACATGTGCAAAATCAAAATACAGCATACAAAAAAAATGTTTCCACAGTCATTAATAAGATAGAGATCTAATCAATGATGTCATACACACGAAAAAAGCAAACATCAGTTACCACAAAAGTGATCATCCATACACAAACACATACAAAAAAAAAATATGCATATGCTTTGGAGAACAGATAGGTTTTGAGTTTTGTTTTAAAAGTAGATACAGAGGTGATGGACCTCAGGTCAGCAGGGAGTTTGTTCCATAGAGAAGGACCACAGTAACTAAAGGCCCCCTCTCCAGACTTTGATCTGATTCTGGGTATGGTTAAAATACTTTCATCTGATGACCTGAGGGTTCCGGTCGGGTTTTAGTCTGTGAGCAGGCCAGAAATGTACTCAGGAGCTGAACCATTGAGTGCTTTATGGACTAATAAAATTATACTTTATGGACTAATAAGATGATGCAGAAAAACTAGTTCATGCATTTGTTACCTCCAGATTGGATTATTGTAATTTTCTTTTGTCAGGGTGCTCTGGTAAGTCTCTCAAGACTCTTCAACTAGTCCAGAACACTGCAGCTCGTGTACTGACTAGAACTAGGAAAAGGGACCACATTACTCCTGTGTTGGCTTCTCTGCACTGGCTCCCTGTACAGTCTAGAATAGAATTCAAGATCCTTCTTCTCACTTACAAAGCTCTAAATGACCAGGCACCATCTTATCTTCAGGAGCTACTAGTGCCGTACTTCCCTTCAAGAACATTACGGTCCCAGAATGCAGGCCTGCTACTGGTCCCTACAGTCTCTAAGTGTACTATGGGGGGTAAAGCCTTCAGTTATCGGGCTCCTCTCCTCTGGAATCGTCTTCCAGCCGGGGTCCGGGAGGCAGACACAGTCTGTATTTTTAAGAATAGACTTAAAACTTTCCTTTTTGATAAATCTCATAGTTAGGGCTGGTGCTGGTGTAGACCAGCTCCTAGTTATGCTGCTATAGGCTTAGACTACCGGAGGAACTGGCACCTTAAGCTCCCCTCTTTCTCTCTCTCTCTCTCTCTCTCTCTCTCTCTCTCTCTCTCTCTCTCTCTCTCTCTATCTATCTCGTGCATATAAAGTACATATTGCTGCATGTATCTATCTGTAAATCTCAGTCACTAACCACCTACTTTCCTGGGAGCTCTTGATCTCTCTTAGGCTCCTCGAGATCGTTCGACGGCTTGCCAGAACAACCTATCCCCCTCGATGGACGGCTTGCCTTTTAATAAGGCAGTTTTTTCTTACCACTGTAACTTTTGCTGCTTTGCTTAAGTGCTCATGATGGATAGGTCTGATCTTTGTAATATAGCAATAAGTAAGGTCTTTTTACCTGCTTTTTGTAACATAACAATGAGTAAGGTCTTTTTACCTGCTCTTTTGTAATGTTAACAGACAAAGAGTAAGGTATGTCTCGAGATAACCCTTGTTATGAGTTGACGCTATACAAATAAAAATTGATTGATTGATTGATTGATTGATAAAAGGATTTTGAAGGTGATTCTGTGTTGTACGGGGAACCAATGGAGAGTTTTGAAGACTGGAGTGATATGATCAAAATTTCTCGTACTTGTCAGGACTCTGGCTGCTAAATTTTGAATAAATTGAAGTCTTCCGACAGATTGTTTGGATAATCCGGCATATAGAGCGTTGCAGTAATCTAACTGCAATTCTAGTTCAGATGGAAGCATGGACTAATTTCTCTGCGTCAGTTTTGGATATGAAGTATTGGATAGAATACAAAAAAATGCCAAGATTTCTGGCCTGCTCACTGTATTTCGCTGTTTCTGATTGTTTTGGACCAATGGTGAGTATTTCTGTCTGTCTGCGTTAAGTTTGAGAAAGTTGCTGGACATCCATGAGTTGATATCTTTTTTTGCAGTCTGTTAGTTTGTTTATAGGACTGAGATCTTCAGATGAAAGCGAGATGTACAGCTGTGTGTCATCAGTGTAGGAGTGGTAAGATATGTTGTGGATGATTGTACCGAGCGGAAGCATGTATAGATTAAAAAGTATTGGCCCAAGGACTGACCCTTAGATAGTGAGTAATTCCTCATCACATTATAGAGTAGCCAATTTTTCCTCAATAGAGAACTAAGTGGGGCACCATACTTGGTAGTTACTCAGTACTGAATCATTATCTAATTCTTACTTATATCTTTATGTTTCCTGTAGTAAAGTGAGACATCGTAACTAGTACCCACTTCTGAATTATTACCCCATCATTAGTGACTTTTTTTTGTGTAACCTATAGTAAAGTGAGGCATCTGGTTAAGTCAGCCAAAACACAAAGCAGGCAAATGGCAAGACCCACCTCTTCCTTTGTAAAGGTGTCAGAGGGCATGCCACAAGGTTCAGTTTTAGGATCCATTTTATTTTCCCTTTATATCAATAACCTGTGTAAAAATGTGTTGAATGTCTTGTATGCAGTTTGCAGTCAGTATTCAACGTTTTTCCAGGCTCTGTGCAGGAACTAAAATTGGTCCTTGATCCTTGACACTGATTAATCCAAGCTCATGTTGTTGCTACCAACTAATGTCCCGTTGATTTTAACTTCCCAAGCAAATCAAATCGAGCTCTTGAAAAGCTACAAGTAATTGGGTTTTCTTATTGATTGTGAGCTGTCTTTCAAAGCACAATGTCAAATTGTTCTCCAAACTAAAGGTGAAATTAGGGTTTTATTTTAAGAAATAAATCCTTCTTTTCTCTCAGAGCAAGGAAACCTCTTGTATCATCAACCTTTATGCATTTGTTGGATTATGAGGATGGTCTATATATGGGTTCTTCAGCCAAATGATTGCAGTTATTGGACATTGTACCACTGTGCCTTGGCTCTTCTTGGTTTAGTTCCTTCTTATTTATGGTCATACCTCCAAAGAACCAGAAGCCGTTATGCCTTGCGTTCCTGTGTTTCCAATTCTTTGTTCCTAGTGTCTCGACGGTGCTCGGGAAAGGAGCGTTTTGTTTTGTTACCCCTTCAGCAAAGAACTTTCTCCAGAATCAATTAAAACTGGCAGACCTCATTTCACTTGAAGCCTTTGGCTCTATCTAAAATGACAAAAAGCGTGAGACCATTGGACAGTGCCTCTGTATTTGAATCGTTATCTGTGATCACAACTTTTGCACTTTATTTGCAAACCATTTTGATTGTTGTTGTCCTTAACTTATTTCTTTTGAAGTGTTTCTTGATCATGTAATGTTTATTATGGCCTGTGCTGCTGCCCTCTTGGCCAGGTCACCCCTGAGAAAAAGCTCTTGATCTTAATGGGTTAATTACCTGATTAAAGAAAAGGTTCAATAAAATAAAAAAAGGTCTTAAAAAGTTGATTTTCAGACATGAACACCCTGCAAGAACGTTCCTCCACATCAGTTACTTGTTATTCCGTGGCCGCAGCCCTGGGATGCCTGGAGCTAGTGCTTGCAGGGCAGTTAACGTAGCAGCTTTATTTATTCATAGTATGTTAAGTCTTTCATTATCTTGATATTGTGTGTAATGAAAATGTGAAATGAGGAACTTGTCTGTATGGATCACTTATTTTTTGTTGTATTGATATTTACCTGCTGCAGTTTAAAAAGAATATCAGCCAAAACATGTTTCAAATGCCTCCAGGGGCCAACAGGTAACACTGAGCTTGGTCCCCCCTGTGGCCACCCGTCCTAAAGGAAGAGCCCTGAGCCCTGACTCAACAACCAATATTTTATGTTGTGGTATTTAATGATGTGTGCTATTATTTGGCATAATATATATTTTTTAAAGTGATCATCCTTGTCTATTTTTCACCTGGGTTTAATGTTCCCCTCTGACAAACACAAATGGCCCCAGTTTGGCCCCCTCAGTAAAAATGGTCTAGAACCGCCATTGAATGCCTCTGCAATTTATTTCAATCTACAGTTCAAGTTGATAACAATCTTAGCATAAAACAAAGAATACAACATGGAGGGACAGCAGGAAATGAAATCAAACACATTGAGCAGTGCAGCGACAGGCTAGGTGGGCTTCTGCGGTTTCTCTTAGGTCAATGCTCTTCTCAAAGATGCTGCTCATACCTTCAGATCGGTTCAGGGTTGTATCTGCAAAAAGAGAATAGTATAGAAAAGTTAGGCAATGTAATCAAAAAAACAAGACAGATTAAGTTCATTCCACATTTTTTCAGCCAGTTGTGATTTCTTGTAAACTTACCAATAGGCAGGCAGTGGTATCCAATAGTGACCGTGGTGGTCCTGATAGGCATGCAGCCGGGCAGGCAGCGCAGTACAGGCTCAACAGAGTAGCATTTGGACTCCTCCCCATACAGGACGACCTGCTTCTCCAATTTCACAGACTCAAGTTTCATGTAACACTCTGGAAAAGGACAAAAAGACAGGCAAGTGTTTAAACATATACACACACATACACATCATCGTCATTTAAATTTGTTCTATTTTGCATTTGGCTATGGCGAGAATGGTTAAAAATAATAATAAAGGTGAAGGAGTCAATCAAATATTTACCAGAGCGATCCCTGCAGCTCTTTCCAGACATAGCCCAGGAATTTGCGTAGCTGATAGCATTCTTTGTCAGGCGTTGGTTTGGTATGCGGTACTCCTGTCTGATTTCACCGTCAGCCCTTCCACAGAGTCCACAGGTCTGTCCTCTCATCCAGTCTACAACTTTAACCTAAAAAACAAGGCATACAGCTTGGCAATTATACATGTACGAAGATTTTTAGAAAAAGTAATCAAAATTCGAATCAATACCAAAATCTGTGAAATATAGTTAGAATTATTATATCACCTTCCATGTGCTCGGATCAAAATAGACCTCCTGAAGACCATGGCTCGAAGCATGGAGTGCGATTCCCTGATCTTTCTGTATGATTTGAATTTTGCCTGACATGAAAACAAACATGTATGTATTTATATATATATATATACCTTCTTTTGACTTTGAACAAAAGAAATAACTTTGCATTTGATATTGAATTAATTCAACAAAAAACCTTCGGGATGCTGATATGGCATGTTGTGGGTGGGAATTTCTACTCCATTGATCTTCAACATGACAACACTGTCCCTCAGATACATTTCCACATCACTGTTGAAAAAATAGTTGCTACATGTGTTAATCTTAATTTCTGGATTTTCAGATTCAGGACTTTATCTCTTTTTTTTTTGACAATTCTCATAATGAAAGTAGTAGTTCTTCTTACATGTTTGCAATCTTCACATTGATCTGGTTCTGTTCATGTATATGGTCCCTCTTCAGCAGAACAATGAATTTAAGTTCACCGGTGCAATCTTGTGCCAAAACCTGGTAGCAGGACTGGGGCATCTCATTCTTGTATTTCATGTTGTTGAATGTGACCAGTGTGTCATCGACCATGGTACACCCAACTGGGGTCAAAAGGAAAGAGTACAGTAATGAAGAAACAAATAACTTAGTGGACTCATCACTATACAAACCGTTCATTAAAATTGTTTCACCTGAATGAGCCTTGGTGACCATGTAAGAAATCTTGTCAGCCCAGTTACTCTGGTAAGATTCCAGCTCAGCAGCAGTGTCTCCAAATGGCAGAGAAATGGGGAGAGCTATGGCCAGTTTATACATGGTTCTCTGTAAGAAAAGTCATATTGGTTTTTAGGAGCAAACAATGTAGTTGACAAAAATGCTGCAGATATTTTTTTGGTGGAAAAAAAATCCCCAACAAAACCTCACCGTTGGTGTCTTCAGCACCACATCCACACTTGTATCAGAAGCAGCAGTAACACTCAGTTGGATCTGGTTACAAATGTTCTTGACCTTTTCCAGGTTTACTCCGATCGCCTTAGCGATGCGGAAGGTGTACTTAGAAAGCCTAGTCAGACATTAAGGTTAAGGTTATTTTTAAGTATTTGATAAATGTCAGATTGGAAATTTAATCACAGAAAAAAAAGTATATATTCATCAGTTTGTGACATTACTCCTTGGTGTAGCATTTCATGCTCTTGGGAAGTTTCTCCCAGGTCAGCTTAGCGATGAAGGCATGCTCTTCATCTACAACACTAGTCTCAGCTATGATCTTGTATTGTTTGCACTCAATGCCCCAGTCAATTTTAACCTAAGAGATAATGAACCAATGTCAAATATCACACATCACACATAATTCTTAAAACTGTTTCCAAGTCTTGCAAGTTTGTACCATTAGCTTTTTTCTCAGCTTCACGGCATCAGCACAGATCCTATAGTGGTTGTTCTCGGCCAGGTTGGCAAGAATGATCTGAAGTCTGTCATTAGCGCTGTCAAAGTAGGCTGTAAGCTGGTATCCCTGAGGCTTTTTGTCAGCTCTCACAGCACGGACAAGAATGGTCACATTGGGAGAGACTTCCTTTGCGAGGTACTTGGCCTAAAAGAGTGAAGACTAGTTTTAAGATTGGTGCTAATTTAGCTTTAAGAAATTATAAATGGCTTGGTTAAAAGGCTTACCTTTTTGTAGATGGCTTCAAAACTGTGGGCACTGCTCTCTCTGTTAGCACGGGCTGTGGAGAAAGCATGCTGCAAACAAAGACAGAATACATTTAGCTTGAACAGAGTGCATGATGTGGCAGTCAAATTAACTTCAACCTGTAAATTACTGGTGGATATGTTTCTTGGTAAACTTCATTTCATACAGTTCTTGCTGCAATAGAAAACGTAATTAATTCCCACACATTATTTTTGGTTCTGCTTTTTCTACTAAGTTCAAAGGGGAAGTAATCTCACTTTGGACAGGGAGCTGGTGGAGGACTTGGATGATGAACAGGAGCTATTTGAAAGAGAGTTGCCAGACCAAGAACTGCTGGAGCAGGAAGAACTGGCAGTGGTGTTCTTCAGACCAGGAACCAGGATTTTCTTGAGTTTCATCAGGACATTCTTGTCCTCCAGAATCTCCTCTTCCTCGCTCAGATTGATAACTTTGATGATCTTTTCTGCTGCTTCATCTCCAACCTGAATATCAATTTCAATCTTCTCAATGACTGGCCCGGCAGCTGCAAACAAACAAATAAATAAATATATACATTATATTTTTTTCAACCTCTTGCAAGTGTGAATAATAAATGCCTTCCTTGTCACTTGCCTTGAGAAACCTCAACAACGACAGAATGTTTTCCGATCATGGCGTAGAGTGGGCAGTGACTGATAAAGGCGGCATTGTGAGATTCAATCTCAGTGCATGCCTTGATTCCAAAAGTTTCAATTACAGCACACATTTTCTTCGTGAAAGCCTTTTCAGTTTGGCTCGTAGAGTTCCTTGGCAGGACAGTAGGAATGATTTCAAAAGATTCTGACTGTAAAACAACAATAGATGTCATCACACAATTCAGAACAGGTAGATGTTGGAAAAAAGTTGTAGGGGAACCAAACCCACCATGCTACCAGCCAGCTGTGCTGGAACTTCAGCAGGAATCATGGGTGTGAATTTGGCAGCTGCAAGGTCTTCCACATTTCTTGCTACTGCAAAAGTCTCAACACTGTTGTAAAAAGGAAAATAAGTTTGATAAAACATATTTTTCTTGGATGATGCATAGTACCTGTTGACAATGCTAAACACGTACAGTACAGATCCAACTTTATTGACGTCTTGAACAGGCAGGAGCTGAAGCTTGAAGTTGCCCTTAATTATGTCAATTCTTGCTTCAATCTTTGCAGGAATGATTGCGTAGACTTTGGCTCTTGACAGCAAAGCGGCCTGGATCAAGGCAGTGTTTACTCCCATAACTGCATATGTATGCAGGGAAACACTGAAAGGGACACAGAACAACAAGTTTACGACTGATCACTATAATTATAAATATTTTGAATTTCTTGGTTGAACTGGTGAGAAGAAAGAACGTCTTGATCACCTTGGGGAAATGGTAGCACTCATGCTGATATCAGACTTCAGAAGCTGTGCAGCATGGACATTCTCAGGCAGAGGTGGTGTTACCTCTACTTGGACTATGAAAAACAACACAGTTATAGCATCATCACAAACAATTGCCTAAAATCAGAAAGATTAAAGCTACAGCAGTGGACCTTACTGTCTACAGATGCAGCAGCCACTCCAGCAGTGTATAAACTTAGCTCCATGGGCAGACCAACAATGGTGGGAAGAATACGGCGAACCTCAGCAACCAGCATTGGTTTAGCATAATGCGATGCGAAACCAGACAAGAGACGATCCAAAGCTTTCCTTCCATATGTTTGAATAGTTGGTAGACTGACACGCTTCAAATGTAAAGTTGATAATGTGACATCTGATATTAAATACACAGTGCAATTATAACATAGTGGTCATTTTTGTCTGCTATAGGCTGTACCTCAGTGATCCATTCAACAAGGACTTTGTCGATGTTGACAAATGCAATTTCCTGTCCGAAGAATTTCAAATACACAGAGGCCAGGGGCTTGCATGAAGGATAAGCTCTCCATTCAGAAAGCTAAGTGAACAAAAAAACCAAAATGAAACAGAGAAAATAAAAATTACAGCTCCTATGAACAGGAAAATGAATAAAGCACATGACATTTCTTAGACTTATTAATGATCCCTTAAACTTACAGCCTTCATAACGTCTTTCATCTTGGTGATCCTGTCAGCATTTTCAGGAGCCTTGTGTTTCAAAAGGGCCTCCTGGATTCCCTCAGTTCTCACACCAAGCTGAAAAAAAGAAAAGCTTCATTTATATATATATATATATATATATATATATATATATATATTTTTATTTTTTTTATTTTTTTTTTAACAAAAATGTGAGCTACTTCCATTGTGTCTAGTAGTTATGAAGATATGATAGTTATATCTCGAACTATGGCTGTTTGGATACAAACCTGCTTTTATTTTTAAATAAAATAAGAAACTTCTGGTTGATCAAATGTTACAACCTTAACTTAACCATGGAAAAAGGAAGGTGTTACGGATCATAAATTAAATCAAAACAGCAAAAGGGAATGGTAAAAAAAGTGAAATGTTTGATGTTACAAGGTGGATATTACTTTTGACTCGTCAAGTGCACTGCCTGTTTTTTTTTTTTTTTAAAGAAAGTGAAATTAACCATTCAAAGGCATGGCAGGGTTGTTCTTTTCCATCACTGTGACTACAGGAAGACACTGCATGGCTTACCTACGGTGCAGTTTAGGGACAAAATAGAATGCAATAGAAAAAAATGTATGCATTAATTTCTGACCTTAATCACATCGTGATCAACATTGTTAACGCTGACAGCCCTACCTCAAGTACATCAGCATAAGCTCCTGCGAGGTAGGTGCGAGCTTTGGCCAAAACGGCCCTTGGCAAAACGGTCGCAACATCATTAACGTAGAAGGCGCTTGCAGCAGCACCCATCATCCAGGGACCTGCAATTTGAAAAATTGTCCAATATGATGATTTGACATGAAATGTTTGATCAAAATGTGTATTTTCTCATGCTCTTACTGGTGTATGCATCAATATAGTGCGCTTTGCTGAAGCGGTAGCCCAGTCTTTCCAATTTGGGGCTTAGGATCTTCACAGCAACATTACAAGATGCAGCACTGAAATTAAAACATTTTATTATGAGATTTTAAGTGTTTACTTGTCAAAATAATTTAGAACTGCAAAAGGAAAATATAATTTCTGTTCTTACACAGAGGCTAAGTCAGGGGCAGTGTTCTTGGTCATGGCCTTCATGTATGAGTAGACAAAGCTGGCAACCTGCAGATTTTTTTCCTTCAAAAGGGCATTAGCCAGAATAGTCACCAAACCCATTGGCAGCTTGGTCTCAAACAGCACAATAGCAGCAGTTATATGCAGCTCTGCATGGAGGTCCTTGTCCATAAACAGCTGAATAGCCACATCCTGGATCTATTCCCCAAAGATGAATGTTGTAAATAAAATAATTATAACAACAATCTGCACCTACCAAAACAAGGAATTCATCTGAATATATGGTCTCACCATCTTGGGGTCCCTCTTAGCGATGTTCCTCAGGGCCAGAAGTGCCTCAATGTGAACCCTATGTGGCAGACTAGCAGCAGCACTGCCAAAGCCGGGCAGGAGCTTCATGATTGGCTTGAGGCTGGCAGTGTGTCCAGCATTACCAAGAACTTTGAGAACAAGAATAAGCTTCTCAGTTTTATTTTTGGGAACAAGCTCGGCAGCAAGTTCATGGAAGGGCTGTGGGAGGAACAGAATTTTTTTGTATTAAAATTTCGTAACTGAATTTAAGTTTTATAAAACCCATAAACAAATGAAACGTACCTTAACAAGTTTATCTGAGCAAGTTGGATCCTCTGTACAGTATTTAGAAACCAGGGTGCCGTAGCCTAGCAGGGCAATCTCCCGCAGGACTGCGTTTTCCAAGATCTTGTCCAACACGGTCAGTTCCTAAGGAGAGGGCAAAGTAAATAACTGATGTAGGTCCTAACATAATGTCAGTTGCTCAAGAAATCTTTAAAACATTGACTTGCCTGAACTATCTTGATGGCGTCCATGTCGGCTGTCACCATGTGCACAGATGACAGCAGAACTTGAACAGCTTCAACAAATGTCAGCTCATTAGCCAAGAGCTTTTCTTTGAAAAACATCAGAGCTACATGAGAACCAATTGCAGGGACAGCATTCAGGATCCAGTGCCTGGAAATGGAAACTTTCATGTAAGTATTTACACACAGCATGCAATTGAATTTCACAGCTCTTTCTGAATGTTGTAGTCACCTGTGATCTGGTTTTGTTTTGAAGTCATTCCAGAGGCACTCAATGTCCTTATATGTGGTCATACGCAGCAGCTGGATGAGCTCAATGAACTTCAGAGGAGCATCTTCATGGACCTTGGCAACATTGTTGGCCACCAAGTGGTTGAGAGTCTCAGCAATCTGTCAGGAACACAAGCATTTCCCTTATTATAGTTTGCTGCTACATGATGCAATTAGGAGAGATCTGACTAAGAGGGAATACTTCCAGGAGTACCTGAGCCTCAACATTAGAGATCTTCAGAAGCTGGATGGGAATCTGAAGAAGCTCGCTGCCAAACTCGTACTGCAGGGATCCACTGGGCAGACATTCAGCCTTGATGGGCTCCATTAGAATATTCTCACTCCCCAGGTAGATCAGGTTCTGTCTGTGAAACAAATGTAACCTCTACATCAATGTGCATTGTCTCCAAACATTGCTGTTGCACTCCTCTTTTGAATTTAAATCACATACTTGGCCTCCATCTGGGCAGCGCCATTCAAGATGTTTAAAGGTGAGAACTGGATGAGCTCTATGGCAGTTGCCTCCAAAATCTGGTTATGTGTAGCTAATGACTTTATGACATAGCTGAAAGCAGCAGTTCCCTTCAGAGACTTTCCTCCCTGCAATGACAAAATCCAACATTATCATCACAGCATCAGTTGTCCAGGAGGGAAATGTGTAAAAGAGAATAAAAAGATTATAAAAACAAAATGTTGCTTACAGCCTCACACTCCACGCATGTCTCTGTGTAAGCCAGACCGATGTCCTTAACAATTCTCTCCTGGCATTGGCTCAGGTCCTTGGTCTTAGTCAGCAGGATGTGGTCAGCCTTTGCATCCTCACTGATGACATAGTGGGTCTTGCACACACCCTGAACTCCAGCCTAGTTCACAAAATACAAAGGCAGTATTTGCATATTACAGTTTTTAGTATAAGTTTTGCATAATTATTTGTAGGGGAGCATAAAAAAGTGAATTATTCGTACCTCTTGCAGCTCATAGACGTTCTGAGTCTTCTTGATGTTCAGCTGGAAGATGTTGAGGATTCCCCTGTAGATATTCAGCACAGTTGCAGACATGCCAGCAGGTGCAAACACTTTGCCCACAACACCATTGGCATACTCAAACTTGATTGGGGTCAAGAGCTGAGCAGCCAGGGCAGAGGTGAGGTTGGTGGCTGGGATGAAAGCATCTTTAGGCCAGATGCCGCTGTACTCAAGGATTTCAGGGTCCTCAAGCTATAAAAAAAAAAGTGACGGCTTGACTACACTTTGAAACTTCATTGTTAATAAGCCACATGGAGAATCATTTATCTCATTCAGTTTTTTTTGTTTATCACAATAAATTGTACATTTTAAAAGCCTCACCTTTAGCACCAAGATGTCACCAGAATCTGCACTGATCAAGACTTTGCTAAGGATTTTCACTCCGGCACGTGCGAGACCCTCCTCAGGCAGTCCGCCCAAGAGTAATGCTTCATATTTATACCTGTAGGTCTTACCGGTCTCTGGAACTGGAAAGACATGAAAATAGTATAGTGGTTGCATTGGTATTTCCCTAAAATTCCAAAACGTTATTTTTTTAAATTTGTTTTTACTTTTGATTTCAATTTTTGTTAAAATAGAAAGACAACTTACCAAGGCTCACCTGGAAACCGGCTACAAGATAGTAAGAAAAAAAAAAAGGTTTTCATAAAGATATATAAGGTATGTGTCAAAAACAAACGTACTTATAAAGAAAAAACAGAAAATAATCTTTTTTATTTTATTTCCTGTACTGTTCTGGGTAAGGCACGAAATTTAGCCGTGGTTATTGATCTATAATAAGAGATTGTTAGCGAGTGCAGTATTACTTTTGTTAAATCACAATTAATTTTATTTTTTGGCTGGTTAAATATATGATCATGTACATTCCCTGTATTCATGTAATTGAAAGTGCTGTTATCTTATTTCACATAAAGCAATATTAATTATTCAGTTCATAAATAAAGTTATGCTCACCTGCAAGGGCCACAGTGAGAGCAAGCACAAGCAGTCTCATGGCTGGTGGTTGTAAAATGACTGCATCCAGATACTGCCTTTTAAAGCTTTGCTGAATGTTTACAAGTTTCACTGATGTCAATGTTACTGTGCCCTGGCCGTGCAGTTATGACATGCTGACTAAAGCATGGTTGAAAATGTCACAGCTATGTCACCCTGGCTTTCATGGCACTGACAGCCTTTTCCAAATACATCATTATTTATCTTTTATATTTTGCAAATTTAAACTAATGTAAACTAATGTAATGTCACTACATATTTGATTTATTTTTATAATACTTACCTTTTCAGTTTTAACCTTCACACATTGCATTGTACTTCAAATATAGTTTAAAATAATTATTATTTGGATTTCTGTTAAACATTAAACATGAGTGCTTCAGACTCTTTAGAAAATGTCATCTCATCTTGACCTGTAATTTTGTCCTACCTGGCTCAACCTGGGAACTGTTGACTTCCCAAAGGCAACCATCCAACATGTTTGCTTATTGCTTATATAACACAATGTTGCAAAATCATCTAGCTGAAAATCGAATTGTATAGAAATTGCACTAAAATTCTTATAATTCATTTTTCTTTTGACCATGTAATACAACGTTCCACATTGCCAGCAGTGGCTTTAAAGACAAACAAAATAGAATAAACCAAAGCCATTACACCATTCCCTAAAAAGAGAGGAGAGAAATTTAAGAATATGAAATAAGGGAATATACAGGGGTGTATTTTTGTAGAAAGCTTAGAGCCATGAATATGTGGCCAACGAGCTCTGGATAAATGTCTGGCCATTGCCAATAAAAGCAATGTTGACACGGAACTTCTGATGTTGTTAACATTTAAACATAGGATCCATGAAGCCATATCAACATTTAATAAAGGCAGGGGTTAACAATTGGATTCTCCACACAATTTTATGAAAACAATTTAAAAAAAAAAGTTTAATATGAATGGAAATTCAATCTTTATTTAATGGTAACATTTTGGTAAAACAGGCACACATTTGGTTTCTAATTTAAACCATTTAAACGCGTTACAGCTTGACTGCAGTTTGTACCATGTCAGCCTCCGTACAGTTGTCATGAGATTAAATGGGATTTGTTTGACAGTTCGAAGTCTAGCAGCCGGACCGATTCACTACTTTAAGAGTTCCCCTTTTGACAGAATAAAAAATGTCCTGGTTTCTTCTGTTTTTGTCGACGATAGTTGTGGTTTGCAGGGCTAACATTTGTCCGTGTGAGAGACCGGAGCACTGTCAGCAGATCCGCGAGGAGAAAGACTTTGAGGTACAAGTTGATACATTTAAAACGACCATCAGAAAACACTCCGCTTATGTTCAAGTAGCCTAGGCTATTACACAACCTCAACCCTAAGCCAAATATCGTTAACATTTCACTAATAATTTAATTATAAAACATATTGTTAATGGTTTAGGAGCTACGACGGAGGATTAGGGCCACGTTAAAAAATATATATATTTTTTTAAATTTCTGGATTAATTTTCGAGACCAGCCTGCGCGAAAATGATGAAAGTAGAACTCTTATAAGTCTTTAAAGAATTAAAGAATAAAGTCGTTATTTTACTCTATATCAGAAGAGCTGCAGCATCGTGTTCTCAAATGACAAACATGCAGCATCTTGTCCTAAAGGTTTCACTAATAAGGAAATAGGCTGCTTCCTTGTGTAGTCGGTAAAAACAGTTCAAGAGAAGTTTTCACTTCAACTTGCAAGACCTTGTTTATCTGTAAAATGATGAACAGGACACAAACTGTCTCTGCACATGAGACACTTTAACAAGGCAGACCGATAACAGACACAAATAGTTGTGTTGGGGTTTTACTTATGCAGATATGAAACTACACATGCTTCTGGCACATCATCATCATCTTCACATTGTCATAAAATATCAGCACCCTGAAAAGATACTGAAAGAAACTGTGGCTTTTCCGAAGAAACAACCACACTGACATGGAGGAAGTTGTCTGCAGAGGAAAATAGCCTACTTTCAATTCTACTTTATACTCGTAAATTTACGAGTTTAATCTTGAAATAAAAAAATAAAAAAAAACTCCGTCGTAAGGAGCTGCTTTTCATAAGTAGCCTATGACAAAATATGAGCTGGTCATTATGACAAAACGTAGGCTTTTAATTGACAGGTGACTCGAGATCACGAGAACAGAAACAAGGAAATAATTATATTGAGTGGCCATTGTTAACCATGCGAAGTTGCTTTGCTTTTTAAGAGGCTAAAAATGTTCTTGGCTGAATTTGTTTACTTCTTCCAATAACGACCACACTTTGTCTAAAATATTTGAACTCAGGTTATTTGCTGTTTGGGTAGAGTTAAGGATCTTTAGGTTAAAATACAATGATTTCCAGGTATGGTAAATATTTGGACAATACTGTCACAAGGCTCTTATATTGTGTTTATGACTTTTATTAAATCCGATCCGATGATAGAAAATGCTTTTAATTGTGATTTTAAAACTGGTATCTTCACTAATAAGACCTTTACTTTATGTCCTGTAACCTAAACAGTAGCCTACAGTAATGTAAAACAATGCAATCTACCGTTTTTACTCCAGGGCTTACAAGGACAACTAAACATTAATAAAACCCAATATATATCACTCTACACTGTTTAGATCGTTTGGTTACAAAGCATGAAGCAGAATTCTCTTTCAAGTCCCAAGTTTCAAATTGGGACTGTGCCCAGTGTGTCTGTATTTGCTTTGTGGCCATGTGATACTTGATATTTTAACCTGGTCGATTTCTGTTAAATGTATCTTGTTTGTTAAAAAGCTGTTATTAGGTATGCTTCTTTAAAGCATACCTAATAACATTATTTTTTGAGAGTTAAAACGAGAAGAGAGAATACCTATTAAAAGAGAGTCTCTGTATGTGTTCAATTTTGTGGTGATTTACCCATAAAATAAACAAATAGAAAATCAGTCGATCAAAGAAACAGGTATTCTTAAAGTAAGTGTGTATGGTTTTTTTTTTCAGGTGTTTGTGTTTGATGTGGGTGGAAAGACATGGAAGTCTTACAACTGGAGCATGGTGACAACGGTGGCAGCGTTTGGGAAATATGATGCTGAACTCATGTGTCATGCTCACTCCAAAGGAGCACGCGTTGTACTCAAAGGTAGACTACATTGAATAGCTACTCTATTTATTTATGTGGGTGTCTGAGTCCATTTTGCTTTCATGGACCCACTGTGCTCATAACTGTGTCTGTCTTCCTCGCTTCCCTATTTTTGGGGAAAAGGTGATGTTCCTCTCTCCTACATTGTGGACCAGGAAAACAGGACAGTGTGGATAACAGAGAAGATCAACCTGGCAAAGGTTCAATTTATGGATGGGATAAACATTGACATTGAACAAGCTGTGGAAGACGGCTCGCCAGAGTTCCATGCTTTGACAGCCCTGGTCAAAGAGACTACTGAGACCTTCCACAGGGAGATCCCAGGTTCCCAGGTCAGCACTATTTGTTTGACTACATTCTCTAAGGAAACATGTGGCTTATTTTTTTCCAAATGAACTCTGGGAGTTGCCCACCTCCAGAGAAAATGTGTTTAATTGATGTTAAATTTGTCTAATCCTGACTTCTAGGTCTCGTTTGATGTTGCCTGGTCACCAAAATGTATCGACAAGCGCTGCTATGATTACATCACCATCGCTGACTCCTGTGACCTGCTCTTTGTCATGTCTTATGATGAACAGAGCCAGATCACAGGGGACTGTATAGCAATGGCAAACGCCCCACTCTCTCAAACACTGAATGGTTTGTTTTCCAGATGTGAGATTAGTTGTCAGAAAATATGAGCTTGTCATTACTTTTGATCACTGTTATATCAAATGCCTGTGCACTTTCTTTTAAGCCTATGACCAATATTTGAGTATGAACATCGATCCAATGAAGCTTGTGATGGGAGTGCCATGGTACGGCTATGACTACCCATGCCTCAACCTTTCTGAGGTGAGATGTTTATCAAGTTACGGTCAAAATGTTGGATAGTACTTGTGAAGAGTCCTGTAATATTCAGCATTTTTAACTGTGCTAGCATGGCTTTAAGAATATCTCAACAACTGTGAAATAGACTGTCATGATATGATGGTTTAAATATATTTACTTTGTTGATCCTGAAGCATCCCCATGTGGGAAAAGTATTCACATATGTTTTTGAATATCACAACATCTACTCTACTGGACTGATTGGAACAGCATAAGGTGGAGATGTTCATCTTGCAGAGGTTTTATGACTTTCTGATTCTCAGACTTTTTCCTCTTGAGCCACTCTGAGGTTGAGATCACCTCACAACGATTGGATGGATTGAAGTTTTGCAAACATTCTTGTCCCGCTTACAAATCCGTTTACTAGTATTGTTTGCCATAAGCTTTAATTTGGCGCCATCTTGTGGTCTGTTTCTGTTTAACAGATGAGTTTCTAAACTGATGACATACACATCACCCTTGTTTTAATATCGTACTGTGAGCAGGTTAGCATGAATGTGGACTTTTCACATTTCCGGATCAGTGATGATCTTTCTGAAAGATCTTTTCTCATCCTGAAACAGTCTCAAAATGATGTTGAATGTAGTTTATGTTACTGCTATTTTCCAACTTGTATTTATTGTTAAAATACACCAGGGGTTAGTTTTATTGACGTATAAACACATGTCCCTTTGTGTCTTTTCTTCTCCCAGCATGGAATATGTTCTATAGCCAAAGTTCCTTTCCGTGGAGCCCCGTGCAGCGATGCAGCTGGGAGACAGAAACCATATGAGTGGATCATGAAGCAAGTCAATGTCTCAATGTCCGGCCGGCTCTGGGACGAAAAGCAGAAGGCTCCTTACTTCAATTACAAGGTACGTTGTTTTTATTTGATAGTTTCAAGCCTTTAGTTTCAAGCCTTTTTTTTTCTAGATATACACAGAGGTTTTAATCAATGGAAAGCAAAGTGAATCTCAGAGAATTTGTCTTGCTGTCAAATTCAGGCCTGCTTGACTTCACCTTTTCAACTCGTTATAAGTGAAGACTCAAGAACTAAAGCAGAGTTTTCAAAGCATGGGTTGTTCATCTGGAGTGCTGGCTTCCAACCAAGCTACCAGTCCCAATTCAAACAAAACAAATGGCCCCTTCCAAACAGCAATAAAGTTTTTACAGCTTAACGTGTTCTCAGAAAAAAACAAAAGATCCAAAGAAGTGCCATCATCCTTTCTCATCTAACTATCATCTGCACGTTTTACCCTATAGGACCAGACGGGACAGATTCATCAGGTTTGGTATGATGATCCACAGAGTATTTGTCCCAAGGCAGACTCTGTGAAATCTAAAGGTTTGAGGGGTATTGGCATGTGGAATGGAAACATTTTGGACTACAGCGATGAGCCAGTCGCCAGGCAACAAACCACAGGGATGTGGAATGCACTCTTAGGATGCTTGCAGGAATAACACAGCTGCAGACATTTACATCTCCCCTCCTATTTGTTGCAAAGTCAATCTATCCCATTGTAGCTGTAATGGGCTGTGACTTCCCTCTGGGTATAGATGCATACTTGCACTTCAGAGTTGATTGTGGCTGTTATTGCTCCTGTCTTCCTATGTAACATCTAAAAATGTTGTCTGTGCTAACTGATTAACTGACTTTTTTTTTTATTTCCATCAATCCTTAAATGTGATGAAGACAAACATTTTTGTTGATTAAAATGTACCCAACATGCTTACATTTGTCCACTTTGTATTTTTCATGAATAAAAAAATTGATAAAGTTGTGAATTTTAAGTTATATAACCGTTTTAGCGTTCTTCTTTCTGCAACAACCTACCTGTCTCATTTGGGAAGTCAGTCGACTGAACAAACCAGACGTCCAAGAAGCAAATCAAGTTTAATACATTGCAACAAAAGCGAGAACAACATTCAAAACTCAGGTTCAAAATGGTGAGTCTTCTTAAAAGAAAAAACTTTGTAAAATAAAATGTATAAAACCAATAATAAAATAAGGACTTCAAACACTATTCAGTATTCCGAGTCTGGTTTAAGACTGACTCACAGTTCTCTTAACTGTGGATTAGACAGATGTACTCTGAACGTGTCTGTTCCTTGTAGTATTTTCCATGTGAGTAGGATAAGAGGACTGGCTCTTCTTCTGGGCCAGCTCAGCCTTCAACGCCCTCAGCTCTGTAGCAGCCTGTTTCCTCAACTACATGAAAAACATGGTTTGTTAATGTCATACGCAAGATGGCCAACAAATCATCAAGCCTGAAAGTTTGAACTATTTTCATTATGAATGTATTTTTCATCTCCATATACATTATTTTATCTTGACATTTTTCCTCAGGTTTATTTTTCTGCAGGGTTTCTTGAATTCAACTGTACGTTTGGATTAACAATGTCGATGCTATTTATAAGTCGTCAGTTTGGTACAGGCTATAAAAAAAAGAATTTTCAACTATGTTCAACTAGTAATCAACTTCCTAAAAAAATCTATTTTGGTGTTAAGTTTAGCGTGAGATTAGGGGAGATGTAGAGGAAATCATTTAACGGTACCTTGATCTCTGTTACCAGTTTCATCTTGGCGTCCTCGACCTTCCTCTTCAGGTTGTCAATCACATGGCTCTCTGTCAGGATCTGAATGATGAGCTCATTCTGAAATTCAGGATCCGCTATTCAGTCATTTACACAACTTTAATTAGAGTTTGAATTGTTTTAAGCAAATGAGGACATGGACGGAATTTTGCACTGATTACAATTAAACCTGTTCTTTTCCTGCTTAAAGGCAAAATACATGCTGTAAAAATTGTTTAATGGTAATTCAAATTATCAAGCTGTGTTTCTAGGGGCACAGGATAGCCTAGCGGTTATGTCTCGCACCCCATTTACGAAGGCTATAGTCCTCATTGCAGGGTATGTGTGTTTGAATCTGACTTGGCCTGTAGCAGAATGTCATCCCCAACTCTCTCCTCCCAGCCTTCGCTGTCTCTCTTCAGCTGTCCTACCCAGTAAAGGACAATAATACCCATAAAAAATAACTTGACACATATTCATAAATCTAAATATAAGGAACCCTCAGATAAATCATTAATCAGAATTTGTGCCTGCCTTTCACTACATGGTAAAAGCAGTCTATACAGTTCAACAAAAATCAAGATGAATCTGATTGGACCTTTAAGGAAGATCTGCCCTGTCGTCTTGGCTTCCCTCTGCTGTCCCTGGCCTGCAGCTGGTGCAATAGTTTGTTGTAAAACGTCTCCAACTCTTGTCGTAAGTTTCTCAGATTTTCCTCCAGTGGTGCTGTGGCCTTCTTGGTTTCGAAATATTTCTTCTTCCAACTGTCACGGGCTTTATGTGAAAAAAGGACGGAAGGTGCACCAGGTCCATTTAGTTACTTTTGAAAAGTTTGACTTTGTAATCAGAAAATAAAGTAACTGTTTATCCTTTTTCTTTTCTTACATACATACAGAGAATTTACCAAAAAATGTAAATATATAATTTACACCAATGTGTAACACTTATGTCGCACCACATAAGGAACAATGATGACCACTGTTTAAAGGTAAACACACTGCTGGTACACTTCTTAACTCTTATGACACCTATTATATGAAGCACTATATTTCACTTCACTTACCTTGGTTCCTGCGGTGTCTGTTTTGAGCCAACAAATCCTTCCCCTTTCTTAATAACTCTTGTCTTGTCCACTCCAGCTGCTTTCTCTCCTCCCTCACCAGCTTGATCTCCTTGATCAATTCCTCTCCTAACAGAAACAAACCATGACAGTCAGTTAAAGGACAAAAGACAAAGGCAGAAGGAAGATGACATTGATTTTGGGTGTGTCCCCAAAGTGATTGCTTACGGTTTGTGTGAAAGACAGGAGAGGCAGACTTCTTTTGAGAGACCATTGCCAAGTTCAGACCTGGAGGCGGTGAGGTGCAGCGAACAGGCCGAGATAATACAGCTGGACTTTCTGTCACCTTCAAACAAGCAAGAGGAACAACAACAAGAGTGTGTGTGAATGGATGTTCATGACCTTCTGTTGTTTGTTTGTTCACTTAAAAGACCTCACACACTTTACTACATCAACCTGCTGTCAGTGGTAGTTGGACTTGTTACTACACCAAACAACTTGCTAGACCCTTCCTGTACATTTTAAATTCCCTATAATAATCTTTAAAGATAACTGTTCTAAAAAAAGAAAGTCAGAAGACAATGATTGCTACATGTTTTTATAATTTTGTCTTTTACTCACTCCACTTGTTTGTTTATTCCTGATCAACTTAAGCGCATGTGCATCTTTTGATTTCCCCAGCCTGTCAACAAAAACACTGTTAGAGAAAGCAGCAGCAGAAAGAGTGACTACAAATGTGGCACTCAGTAATACTTCAGCTTGGTGTGCTGAGCTGCACTGTGTACCCGTCTGTGAGAGAAAAGCCTGAATCTCTGTCCTCCAAAGACGGAGCTGCTCCTGAGTCTCGGGGCGCTCTGTTCTGTCCGCTGTGCTTTTTATTCTTCTTCCCGCAATTTTTGCCATTCTCTGGTGACTCCTTTTCTTGAGCTGAATCAGCTTCACAGCATCTTAAAACTTGAAATATGTGAAACTTAAGATCTTAGTACCACAATGTAACATCAATAAGATGAGAAATTTCATTGCAAAGATGCTGAAAGTCAAATACACAAACCTGCAAAAAAAAAAAAAGATCATAGCAAAACATATATTGTCATTTTAAAAGCTAGAATATACTCCATACAAACATTGTTATACATTATTTTGTGACTGTTTACATTCTGAAATTGGCTTTCCAGTGAAGATGAGCATCTTTTTAGGATGAAACAAAACATTGAATTCCCATTTTTGTTCTGATCTTACCACAAGAATATTGAGGCAGCCTAAATGAGAGAGATAAGTGACTAAAAAAATCTGAATTAGCAGCAATTTTGTTTCGAAACAGAAAAAAACAGAAACTTGCACTTTTCTACAACTGGACCTGATCAAGTCAAGATGCATGATTGCCAGGCTGTAAATGTATACATGTACAGAAATGAACGCATCCTTTGTTACGTAACTGTAATTTTACCTTTATTATATGAGACAGGTGGTGCTCTTTGACTCTTATTTGGGCAACAATCCTTCTTTGCCCACCCTGACTTTTTTGAGGAAAGACCCTCCTCTTCATTATCTGAAGAACTGTAGCCTTGCTCCTCATCCTCCTCCTCCTCCTGCTCCTCCTCTTCCAGGCTGGGGGTGGGAGGTGACGGATGGGAACCCTTTGGAATGAGGGGGAATTTAACGGGCTCTTTTGTTCCTGCTGGCAGACTGCAGGTCTTTGGCGTGTGGTAATAGGTGTGCTGGTCTGGAGAGCTGCTGCTGCTGGTGTCCCGGCTGAGAGACTGGGAGCATACGCTGCTGTCCATATCCACTGTGGGCAGCAAGTAGAGCTCTGGCTGAGGGGCCTGTCGACAGGTCAAAGCAGGACATTAGTGGAGCTTAATTTGTGCATATTGAACGGGATAATTAAGCAGATTTCTAGAAAAAACAGCTGTGTCTAGGAGCACAAGAGTGTAAACATTCACATTCACAACACATTTTTATATAGCTATCCCTACAGATTTCATAGATCTAAGATATTGGCCGATATATCTGTATTGGCCCCAAAATTCCCAATTCGGTCGGTCCCCAATTTTGATCATATACCCGAAAGGCAAGATCTGACTTTTAGAATTAGTCATTTTAGAAGTGTTGTAAAATATGTGCTTGGACTTCTTGAAACCTAAATCATCAAGATTTTGAAACTATTCAAGAAAGAAAAAGGATCAAATTTAAGAAAATAAACTCTACATACATACGGTGGAGCGAATGTTTTTACTTTCAGATCCCTCTCCTGTCTGCTCTTGACCTGTCATTGGAAAGAATTTGTTTTTGTAAAAGGCATGGTAGTAAAACACGTGCTCACTCACGCACGCACGCGCACGCACGCGCACACACACACACACACACACACACACACACACACACACACACACACTTTACACCCTTTAGTGTAGCAACCTGAATAGTGAGCTTGTGAATCAAATTGTCTGCATTGTTTCTTTTTTGTCTGTTGACTCGGTGAAACACAACCAGCAATAAAAAAAGCACAGTTAACAGCCAGCTGCACTCACCAGTGCCAAACTGCGCCCCACACATTTAAGGAAGGAGAATCTGTCTATGGTCCTCTCTGCACCAAGAAGAGCTCCGAGCTCGTTCCTCAGAGTTTTCAGGGTGATATCAGGGTAAACCCTGACATCGAAGGGAAAAAAGGTACATTATTTGGACGGAACTGTACACAGGATATAGCCTACTATAACAGATGATGTCACATTGGTTTTGAAACATGAGTAAAGATTGAATATTTGCTGACAAAATAAAAATCCAAAAATGTACATTTTCATAGCTTCAATTCATATATACGATTATCATAGGCCTATTTAAAAGCATGTAGGAAACAAGTTAAAGTAGGATTCTAAGACAAAAAAGTAGGCTACATTTAGTTATGTCCTGTATGTTTATTTGAAAACATCTAAAATAAATTTGTGTAGGCTACTGTTTGACCGAATCATAGTGAGATCAACCAACATTTCAGATATATTGCTCATCTTACTTCATGGTTTTTGTCTGACAGTTGTAACTTAACATCACACATTCTTGACCTACCCCAACATTACATTGCTTACCATTGAACTACCTGGCATCTTTATCAATGCCATAATGCTGAGCTCTGCATCTCTTTAAATATATATGTTCACGGCAGAGCTAAATAACTTGCATGAGCACAACAACACAATATTTGAATACAAGATCTCGTCCTTCTGAGTCTGGCACATTCAATCTTAATTTCAAATTGAAGTTATAGTTTCACCTGATGAAGCCGGCAGATATGAAGCTCTCTATGGCTTCAGCAGGGACTTTATTGAGCTTCACATCCCACTGGTCATCTGGCACATACAGCACATGGAGCTCCACAAGCTAAACACAGACAGCAGATGTGTTAATTGGCGTGAAAAGCGATTAACAGTGACATTTCTATAGGCCTAGTAGTAACTTATTTAGGTTGTCAGGTTCAGGTTCACAAAGGCATACCTTGCTACTGGTCGGTCTTCTGTCCTCAGTGTATCTCACTGACTCACAAGAAAGCTCCATTATCATCAGACAAGAGAAACAGCTTCAAAATAGAGCTTAGATTTCTGTTTTTCCGTTCTGGTTTATCCGCAAGAGTCGCTGGTTTTTGCTCTGTGGAGGAGTGCAATGCCAAGTAACAACCTGCTGTACTCAAACACAGTCATTGGTCCAGTGGAGTTTCTTTTATGAGAGTGCCAACAGTTGTTGCTCTGGTGCCGATGATGACAACTGCTGCAGAAGGACCATAGACTGTAAATATTAGGAGAAGGACGCAACTGTGATCTCTGGATATGCCATGAAAGTTTACTTTGACTAATTACATAACCATTCATATTGAGGAGTAGAAATAGGTTATCTCAGCGCACTAAATGCCAGTTAAAAGTCAAATTCAATATGTTGATCAACACTTGTGAGATGAGCTGAAAGTAACGCTTGAGCCTATTGAGACGATGGCCTATGAAGAAATGTAATGTTGCGAGGTAAATGCAAAAGAATTACGAAGAAACCCAACAAAATAGTCCTCAATTCTCACTGAAACATCTCAGGGGCTCGACTATATGTTAACTTTTAAACAAAAACAAAACAGAAACTGTAGGCCTATTTAATAAATAGGCATATCTTATATCTTATAATAGCCTAATGGGATTGTCCAAATTTCCATCACTGGAGTTTAGGTGCTGCTTTCACTTACTCTGAAGTTGTCGGAATTGTAAAGTTTAAAAATTAACTTTTAATATCACCCCAAAGCCCTGTCATATTTTGACGAGGTTATGCAGTAACCAGACAACAGAAAACTATGTCGACAGCCGATGTTGGAGAAGAACTAAAAGACAACGTTTCAAACTAGCCTATTTTAACCATCTCACACTCGGTAGGCTAATAGGCCTAAATATAGGCTACCAAATTAGGCCTACATTTAATCACTAAATCAAGATTGTAATTAATTCTGTTTATTCACATCTAAATGTTGGACAATATTACAAAAAAAAAAAAGATAGGACCTACATGTAGCCTAATTAGTTCGTTGCAATTCAATTTGGAATAAACTAAGAAAATGGCAAATGTAATTTTTCCATGAACGCATCAGCTGCGGACACGCCTTTCAGAACCGGAAACTTGGTTATGAGGAAGACGTAGCAATCTAGCTGCCAACAATTGCTTTTGTCCAAGTTTTGCTTTCGACATTGTTAAGACTTAAGTCTGTCAAGGTATTCGCAATGTCGAGTTCATCCAGCATCGCAGCGATGAAGAAAGTTGTGAAACAGTTACGCCTGGAGGCTGGCATCAACAGAGTCAAGGTAACGCGTTCACTGCGGTACTAATGTGTGTGTTGTGTGTTTATTTGTTTCTACTTTAACACCATTAGCGGGACACAACAACCACCCGGTTCATGTGTTTAATAAGAGCTGTTTCGTGAAACACACGAGTTAACTTGTTGGTTGTTGTCCACAGGTGTCCCAGGCCGCCGTAGACCTGCAGCAGTTTTGTCTTCAGCACGCCCAGCAGGACCCTCTGCTCACCGGCATGTCGTCCAGCAATAACCCGTTCAGACCGCAGAAAGTCTGCTCGTTCCTATAACACACACTGACCCTTTAAAGTGAGTAACACCTCACATACTCCCCAACACACCTGTTGGTTTCATAATCTAATTTTTAAGAGATGTCAAAATCTTTCAATCGTTTTTACAGCTGTTTTTTAATTTTTATTATAATAATAATAATAATAATAATAATAATAATAATAATGTATACTTTATTGGGGAATCTCAGCCATTGACAAAATGTCAGTGGTTTGATATGTAGCATACACTGCAGTATTTAAATGTTAAGATAAATCAATATATTTAGGTAAACTTATGTCCCTAAAAGTCATGATTTTATCTCCCATTTCAAGGCCCATCCTCTGCCTTATGGGACACAGAATCATCTAATATTTGTTAACTTCTTACCCATTGGTTTTACTATTACACTGTGTTCGATTTTTAACACATTATTTAGCCTTGGCTTAGTATTTAGAAACTTAATAGGTATATGAGTTTAAACAAGGCTCAGCTGCAATAACAGGAACTTTGAGAGGGACCTCCTGATGAGACTGGTGGTTTGAGAGACGCAGAGATTGTCTACCTGCAGATCAATTTATTTTGATTAACACCATTTATTCATGTTGGATAAAACATTTAAAGTTTTCTAGGAAAGTGACATACAGTAAAAACCAGATTTATTCTCTGACAGCACACATAGGGACACATTTGTAATTGCAGGTTCCTTTCCAACTTAAAAAAAACAAAAAACATTTAGTCTTATTTGTAAAGTTGAATGTTTGTATGATCATTTTACTCATGTATGCAAAATGTCTGCAGGTTTTGGTGCCTTGAGGAACTTGGATGCACGATCTGCACTGTGGACTAGAAACGTCTCAGGATTTTGAGAACAGGCAACTAACTCGAGAGTTTTTTGTACTTTTGCTATTGTAAAATGTAATAAGGAAACATTCCCTGGTGCTAAAAGCAGCATAATAAATGTCCTAACTTCTTTGCTTAAAAGTAACAGACACATTTCAACACTTGTGCCTTTTTTGATTTTTTCTTTCATGCCTAATTTTGAGAATAAATGATAACTCAAAATTGTTCAGCTTGCAAATTCATGTTATTTTAAAAATGAGTATTTTACATTGTGAAATCTGTTAACTAGTCTTCAACAATTCATCCACACGTATTTAAAGAAATTCCATCACAAACAAAACAAACCGCACTGTGGACACAATCTGAACAATTAAGCCATCTCCAGAGACTAGCAGCTGTAGCACTTAATTAAGAATCTTTTATACCATTTGCATAGACCATATCTATCAGGTTCATGTCTATATGCAAAATGAACCATTACCACATCAGTTCAGTATGTGGGGATACATTTGATCTGCCAATACAACTTCTAGAAACCCATGCAGGTAAGAAATGTGAGGGTAATGAGATTCATGTGGAGAGTCAGAGAAAGTAAAAGTCCTTGCATCAGCTCCAGGCTCCTGTCCCACTCTTTGTCTCCAGAAGCACTGAAAATAAGGCTTTCAAGAAGTTCTTCGCTGTTGCTGCTGATAGTCCCAAAAATGATGTGGATATCCGCACAAGGGCCTAGATGTGTAGAGCAACAGACGGCAGAAACATCCTGGATTATATACACAGTTGTCCTTGTCTGACTGAAAAAAAAGCCAGTAGTGAATTGGTTTTCAAAGCTGGAATTTTCGCCTGCAGGCGTCCATCTCATGGCGCTGGAAACAGAAAAGAGTCATTTTATTTTGAGTGGAACTGCAGATGTACTTTAAGCATGTTACTTGAGCTCATTCCAGTCATTCATACATTGTTGACTAGCCTGGCAGCATGAAGTCAAGCCCATGTTTATAAATGGCACAAAACAAATCCCTGATTAAAAGAGAAATGACTAGGGCGACTAATGATCTGGTGAGACTATAAATCATGATACAGGAATTACAGTTAAATGTGTTACCTTGCTGTAAGCAAGACAAAATACAACATTTTTAAGAATCATTTCTTTGGAAACTGTGAAACATTTAAGGAGGTTTCTTGAGAATCCATACACGTTTATCAGTATTTTCTTACACCCTTAGTGCTGACATTACACCATTAGTTCTACCCCATAGCTCTTCTGGTATCTCAAATACAGGTTTAGTGATGAAAGACTCACCTTCAGGACCCACTCATACTCCCCAAACTTTGAGTCAAAGGTTCCTTTCTGTAGAGAGCGGAGTTTGAGGGTGAAACGAGGTCCCAGCTCCTGAATACCGACTTTCTTCTCATTCTTAAAAATGTACCTGAAAGGTCAAATAAACTGTGTTTTAGACTTAATAGATTGAGATCAACAGGACGGAGGGTTGTTATACTACAGAGCACTGTGTCCAGTTCGTATCAGAATTCACAGTACTCATGCTCACCTGTGGAATCTGAAAAAGACGAAGTCTCTCTGGTTGTGGAAGGTGGCGACCTGACGACCAACGAACTGAGGGTCTTGTGGAAACAGAGCAGCGAACATTCGGCCGATGCTGTGTCCCAGACGTGTAGTGAAGTTGTTAAGGATCACCTCGGGGGTGTGTTCAGTTGGATCCTTGCCTCGTCTCTGCAGAGAGAAAACCCTACAATTATAACCGGAACACTAACTACACAGCTGCCAAATGGATACAATTAAGACACTCTGTTATCAGCTTTGTTCAAAAGCGAAACACGTTGAAGTTCTACAAAAAAATGCCACAGACCTCGGCATTGATAATCATTGTATCTCGTCGCACTGCACAGTCTGAAATTGTACAATGAAACCAGGACTGCACACGGCAGTTTTTTGCTGGAAAATATTGTGAATAATGTGGAAATGATGCAAAGATAAAACCCAACATTTAAATATGAAGATTGGGAGTTCACATTTGTAAAAGTTTAAGCTAAGCTTATAAAGAAAAGTGTTGTCTAAACTAATGTCTACACAGATATGACAGCTATATCTCATTAGAAACGGAACACAGACAGTGTGGATTTGTCAACTTGCCTTCATCTCCTTGCGTAAGCGAACACTGCTGACCTTGAAGTGTGCGGTCGGCCCGTCAGGTAGATGACAGAGAACCAAACCATCTGAAAGTCGGGGGTTAAAGGAGCTGACATGCAGAACCGTTTAAGATATTTTGTTACTTGTTGCAGATTCCATCATTAACGAGCTTCCATCTCATGAGAGTTTTCTTTGTACTTGTAAGACATTAGTTTGGTAAATAGAACCACAATACATGCATTTAATAGAAAAAGATAATTCTCAGTCTATATCCACTCTACAGCTCTGTAATAAATACTGTTAAACAGAAAACAAACAGAGTTTTTAGTGTTCATCTTCATGAGCTGCCTGTAAGGATACTGGGCACTTTGCGATCCTCGTTGACGACAATGAGGTAGGTGAAGTTTCTGGCGACACACTGAGGAATGACTCTCTTCAGGGCCAAACCTCTTCTGTAGTACACGTAGGCGTTTGGGATAACTGTGGCCAGCTGCTCACAAAACCTCACCGTCCTCTACAAGACAGCCATTAAAAGAACAATCAATGTTTGCACAGACAGAGTGGGAAAATATAAAGGAGGATAATTAGCCATCTTCAGGTTTTTGTTAAAGGTTTATAAAGTGTTCAATAGCATACTGACATTATTTATGAATCCAAAACTGTCCACACTTCAACATAAAAACTGTCAAATCAGGTTCAATCACACAGTGGGACGGAAATAAATTACCTGTCCTTTTACATAACCCCAAAAAGATTTGAAGTTATTAACCTTTAAGAAAGTTTTCTCATAGAAATTAAACAACGAAAATAAACTGCTAAAATGAAATATTCTCAACGGCAGTCACTCACTCCTCTCGGTCTGTCGGACGTGGTGATGAGCACTTTGGGGTTTGTCAGCCCGTTAAAGTACGTAGAAAACTCATCAGTTCCCTCATCGAACGCAATCTGTAAGAGACGACAGAAAAACAAACGATAAATGCAAAACTCGTCAGAAAAAAAACAACAACCATTGATTGTTTGAACAAGCACAAGCGAGACTGAATCAGAACCTCCTCATCCTCTGGGTCAACTGTCGTCTCATCGTACACCCGCTGGTTTTCGATAGTCTTTGGGACCTCTTTCGGTGGTGCCTACAGGGGGGAGAAAGAAAAAAGACAAGAGTGAATGTCAGGTAATAACGCTGCTAAGAAATCCCCCCATGAAGCGAAGAGGAAAAGATCAAACTCACCTTGTCACCTAAAGCATCCCTTTCTTTTTTCTTCTTCTTCTTCAGTTGCAGCTTTTGCTGAAATGAAAGAAGAAATAAAATGAGGGAAGATATAAAATAGTTTCCCAGAAATTCCAGGAGCAGTTTTCTTGTAAACTCCTTTTAAAAAGCCCTGCAGGTTTGAAAGATCTAATAAGCTTTGAAATAAATGTTTTAGTGAAAAAATAAAATAAAAGAAATGAACTACTAAAAAGCAGTGGTGTACATCTGAGCAGAATACATTTATTTTATTTTAATGCTTTAATATTTTATCAATTAAACTGAACATAATTGACATTCTGAAATATATTTCTTTGCCAACAATTAAAATATATGAATGTTACTTTAAAGTCATAGTACGAAAGAAATCCAAACACAATCCCAACTGGGACGGTAAAAGCCAAACCTTTTGATTTATAAATAAAAATATTCAAAGCAACTCACTGATTTATCAAACAGATGAAGGCGATCCATTGAACATTATCCAACTAATCGAATAATCATTGCAGCTCTACTCCAGAGACATTAGAGAGATTAAGTCCTGCACTTAGATTAGTTTCTACTGCTAAAACTTTCTACTGGTAGAAAAGTATAAAACCATTAGCAGCAGCATGAAATACGTCTCTTTATAGTGGATTAACTACTCTCAGACCAGAACAGTGTAATAACCATAGACTGTAAATATTAATAACCTACTTGACTGCATGTTTATCTGCAGGGTCGTTTCATTACACTGTCTTTGTTTTTTATAAACTAGCAATTACAAAGAGTTTATCTGATGACAACTCGACCTTTACCTTTCTTTTCTCCTGTTTGAATTTCATGAACATGAGGTGTCGTCGCTGTTTATTCTTGATTTCGGACACACTGAAGGTTGGGGGAAAGGAAGCTCCTGCCTCGCTCTTCTCCATCTTCACGTCCTCCTCCTTCACCTCCACCCCGCTGCCTTCTCCACTCCCCTCCTCATTCGCCCTTTTGCTCTTTGGCTTCTTGTTCTTCTTTTTCTTAGCCTTTTCAGTCTGGCTCACGGGAACCTCCGTGATGTCCATCTTGTTTCAGTTGTCAGTTTTGGGAAGCTGTTTTCACGTGTAGTCCTGGCTCGTGTATGTGTCGCCTGGGGACAGGAAGTGACGGAGTTGTACTCGCGATTTAAATTACAGTGACATCTAGTGGTGAGGAGGAATAAAAAAAAGCGCAGACAGACAAGCGGCCCCTGAAATTTCACCTGTTGTGGGCTACCTGCAATTTCAGCTTCAGTTAAAGATCGTCACTTCCTGTGTCTGGACGAGCACCAATGATACTGTCCATGTCAAATAAACAGATTCATTTATAAATAAATCAAATTAATTCAATTTGAACGGATTTTTTTCTCCACCAATGAAACATTTTTTGGTGTCAATTCTATAAACTTAGTTGTTCTCACTTTTCATGTGCCCTCTGACTGTGTTGACCTACCTTCTGATTGCATTGAGGCTACCTGTCGCTATGATATGGGAAAAAATAGTAGTAGGCCTGAAGGCCTGTAATAAGGTAAAGTGTTTCATTGTAAATATAGGTCAATAAATATATTTTTAAGGCTATAGCCTATATATATATATATTGCATACACACACACACACACACATATATATATATAAATCATGTCTAAAAATTGATATAAAATTTAAAATGTGGTTGTAAAGTTTTCTGTCAAAAGTGTCCGTCTATAGTGCACAGACACAAGTGTCCCTAGGCTGCAAGTGGAAGTCACTTTTTTTTGTGGACAAAAAAAGGCTAACTTTTATCATCCAAGAGTTTTCTGACCAACAAGAGAAAATCAAATGGTTCACATAGTGATTAATTTGAATGGATTTTAACAGTGTCCCTAGTGTATTTAAGTTAATGATTTTGAACATAAAACATGTTTTAAAATGTATAGAGATGAAAAGACAGGGCTTAAAAACATCAATAAACTATTCAGAAAACTAAAAACAAGGTCAAGTTCTTAAAAATATGGATATATAATGTGATCAGGACACTGGCAGTGACATCAGTGTCAGTGGTCAGTGGTGTCACATTTAGGGACACGAGTTGGAAAAGCTATTTACTCTTTAAGCAGCACATCAGTTTCATGCTCTGTATTGAAAATGTTAAATTGAATTTTCCCTGTTAAACATATCAATTGAAATTCAAATTTAGTCATGTACATTCACATTTCATTAAGGCCTGTGTCTCTAAAGCTCTCTTTGTTGATGCTCCTCCAGTTTATAAAAATTATTTGTACAATCTTCATACTGTGCGATAAGCTGATAGAACGTTATTGGTACATATTGCACCTCCGCCTCTTTTCATCTGACTATTTTCCCTGTTCATATCAGCAATACAGGTCAGCAAGGGCCAATCAAGCATCACACACCACTTGGAGTGATCTACAGTATTGTAATAACGGGTTCCCATCAGATTCACGTTCATCACATTGTAAACACGAGGGATGCTGCTGCTGCAGTTGGAAGGCAGAGGGCTGCGCATCTTTCCCCAGCTCTTAACATATAGAGACTGACCCAGTTTGGAAACAATAAGGCCAGAGTAAAGATCTAGGGGAAAACTTTTGAATATGATTAAAAGTACTACAAAATAATCATAAACAAACAGGCATCATGGAATTAGAGCCAAATCTTTGGAAAAAAAAACGTTGTGCATAACATTTAAAAATAAACAGAAAACAAACCAAGAAGATGATTTTAAACATCTATTTAAAAAAATGTGTTGTACTTTAACTGTGAACACTCACCATCCCCAAATCGATTGTACTTCACAATGCTTTGGAAATTACTCCCTCTATTTTAAGTCAGCATCTCTACACGAGACCAGGGTGTCTCCGTTGGGTAGCATCTTCGTTGTGCAACACACACGCAGCTCTTTGAAAAAGGTTGCCGTGATTGCCCAGTCATATGAATTTTCATAAAAGTCCAAAAGAGGTTGCAGTGTGTTTGCCAGAGTGCCAGATCTACTGTTGATTTGCTGCCTGCTAAGTATCCATCCATTGGTGTTCTCATCCATGTGCAAATAGGACAAACCTTTACCATTCATGTCAGGTAACTTGTACAAAATATACCTAATAGACAGAAAAATACATTCTATGAGGTTAGCTGCTGATAGTGAAAACTGGTGAAAATTTCACATATTACGTATACGTATTTCACATCTGAATCACAGCCATGAACAAATAGCCAGACACTTAAAACCAATCTCATCGTTTTGATCTAAAAAAAAAAAAAATGTAAACGAAAGGTTACAAAGCAGCTTAATAAACAGTTGATGCCTTTTAAGTAAGTCGGAATCATTTAGAAAATGACTGTGAAGGTTTGGTACATAGATACTGTACTGATTGTAGTGGGAATTTTGGGAGTTGAATTTTATGGCTCAAATCTTCTTCCTAGAGAAAGTCAAAATAATATGTTGTGTTTCTTTTGAGGTGAGGGTTAGGATTGCCATACATTGGCTACAGTGATAATAGGGTAAGATTGGGATTGGATTTAGTGTATCCATCCCAGCAATATAATATAATATAGGGTTAGACTACATTTACAATTGTCAGACCGACTCTGAAGGATTTGCATTGTAAACGGTGAGAGCGAGTCACTGTAAAAGGTCATATTACTGTCACCATTCGATAGCTGTTGAGCATGGAAGGTTAGCAGCAGTGAAATTTGGGCACAATTACTCTCATCCCCCGCTTTTGTAACAGAGCGCTGTTCAAATGTAAATATGACATAAACAACATGAGTTATGTTAGAAAATGACAAACGTATTAGTTCAACCATGATTGTAGAGAGATGTTGATGCGAACAGGAAGCTGAGTTATCAGAGGGCCATCAGAGTTCTACATTTCTATACAGCCACTTTTAGATCAGGCAATGGTTCAACCAAAGCAGCTTCATTTCATGAGTAGTGACAAACAAAAACAAGAGTCTCCAAATCATTAAAATGGTTTCTTAAAGCAAATATTTGTTATCTTCAATGTATAATTGTGAATCTTAATCTATAGATGAAAGATTTTATCCCACTGGACTCAACCTTCAGCTTTAGCTGTGAGATATTTGACGAAACTCCAAAAATTACAACTTAAATATATATGTTTTTTTAATTACATTTATGCATGTATTTTTACATGCCTGACACCAGGATGTTGATTCATTTTATAAACAAGGGACATTGTTGGTTAACATTTTTTGTGTTCCCAGTTGAACCCAGTTTGACTGGTTATCTGTTCAAATGTGGACATGAGCTTATGCATCGGCATTTTAAAGAACAAGTTGAAACCTCATGCAAACATTCTTTTGCGTTGAAAAACTTCTTTGTTTTCACTGACTTTCGGCACACAGTTTTTATCTAAAAAGGTCAGACAGGTTTTGAGCTGCCATTTCTAACTTCATGAAACCTCTGACAATAACAAACTGTGATTGCTTTACATGGAGCTGTTTGACTTAAAAATCCCAACAAGTACTCAGTAGACAGGTAAATAATAGACATAACCCTAAACTTTTCCCAAAATAATGATGCGAGAGACTGGGGACACCCTTCTGTCCCTGGAAGTGGTTAAAGTATTCAATGGTGTGCACATCAACACGCACTAATAGTCCTATCCAAACACAGACAATTGAACAATACTAAATAATACAGCAGCCTTAAAATAATTCAACAAAATAAAACAAAGTGCACAACAGATACCAACAGTCATATGGAAACTCAAATGTTTTACTTTCATCATGGCACAAATCTCTCTTTTCACAGTAATGGGTAAAATATGCCATTTTAAGTCATTTGTCTTGTTTTTGGAAGGCATCTCGCAACCCCCCCTCCCAGTGTCTCGCAACCCCCCAGGGGGTCCGAACCCCCACTTTGGGATACACTGAGAGTTGGTAGGAACAATATTACACTAACTTCAAACTACAACTGTTTCACACACTTATTCTCAAGAAAATGTGAAACACTATTCTAGAATATCCTTCAAATCAATAGAAGTATGAGCAGCAGGCAATAATCTTAATTCTGTGACAGAGTTTGGGTTTGTATTAGAAATGTAAGAATTTGGCATACAATACTAGTAAATGTAAAGAGTACTGTACTCAATCTAATAATTCACAGAGAAAATACTCAACTGTATGAGTCTACTAGTCTGACCACTAGGAGTCACTGGTGACCTAAAATCCTGCAAACTGATTTTTTTTTAAAATCTTCTTTTTTAAATAAAGCAGACTACACCTTTTGCATTTTTTCATTAATTCAAGAAACAAACCTCCTGAGTTAAATTTTTTCCTAGAAACACAGCAATTTAATGAATTTAATTTGCAGCCGCCGGGTAGACAGCTCCATTGGATTTGATCAAGAGCAAGACTGAGGTGGTTATGTGGATGGGGCTATTCAAGGGAGACTGTGTGTTTTACCTATACAGATTTATTCCTTTTAAAGCCTTCAAGCCAACACAGTCATAAAGATAAAGTTTGAAAAAGAAGACATGTAGTTTTGGCTTTGCATTGCTAAAAAACATAAAGTTGAAGACATAAAATCTACTCGCATAATCACAGACTTATGTATAAATGTGAGTCAGGTTGCCTCTTGTTTCTTGAACATTTGTTAATAACATATAATGACATCATATAACTCATGTCATGATACAAAAATGAGTTTTCTCCAAAAACCAAATCCTTAAAGATTGGATTATAAAAGCTTTAGTTTTTAATTGTCAGTTGCTATAAAAGCGTAAACATGGTGAAACAAGGTCATCATTTTAATACCGGTACATACAAACAAGTTCTTGCCTATTAGGATCATTTTAAATATCAGCAGACTCAGATTGATAGAAAATGTCGGAGTCAGTAAAGAAATTGAGATAAATCTTTTGTGATATTATATTCAAAACTGCTCTTTTACACATGAGAATATTTCTCACTATATTACCACCGTGTTTCATTCTAACATCTGTTTTTCTTCAAGTCCAGGTCTATTTGATACTCGTATACTGTGATGGTTACATTTCAACTGCTTTACAGTATCTAACTTCTTGTGAAGTCCTTTAAACTTGAAACCCATTCAAATTGCATAGGTACAGACCCAAACATCCTATCTTTTGTTCTTGTTCAACAGCCGATGTACCAGTCGACCATCTTCCTGAAGGCCTTGTAAATCAGTGGGTTAAAGGTGCAGACCATCCCCCCACCTCGCCACATTTGGGCCTTCTCTCTGTTAAGATCCCCCAGACAGGTCACCTGGTCCTCATAGGCCAAGGACACGCACCACTTTGAGTGGTCGTAGTAGGACTGAAACCGGACTGACCCAGGAAGCTGGATCCTCTTAATGTTCATGACGTGTTTGGGCAGCGAGCAGTTTGAGGGCAGCTCGTGACCTTGTCTCTGCCATGTCTCTGCCAGTAAGTCGGCGTCCAGGACCTGAGCCATCCAGCCCGTGTAGATGTCTGAAATTAGGATTAATGACACAAAAACACACAGTGAATATAGGTAAGCCCGCTTGGTTCTCAAAAATGCAGTAGAATTAGTTAAATCCTCTGCTAGTCCATAATTGTTTATGTTTCAGCTGTTTCTGCAATTTCCTGAATTATAAAAAACAAAAAAGCACATCAAATGTGACAAGCCTGTCGTGTGCAAAAGGGAATATCATTGTCATTTGCTGCCTTAAAGACAACAAATCTTTAATAAGATAATCAAATAATTCTACATAACAGGACATTTCCTTTTAGTATTTGAATATTAGTCTGCAAAATGTAAGAGAGATGATATTGAATCAGCTCTGTGAAGTGAACACAAATACTAGGCCTCCGCTTTATCAATAAGACTGTGGAGGCCTCGAGTGGGGTGTTTTCATAGGCTTCAGGGTGTCTGCACCTGATAATAAATGACTGACTGACTGAAGTGTGCAAACATGATCGTGGCAGATAGTGGTTTCTGCAAAATTGTGAAGTGCATACAATTTTTACCATTTCAGTTTTTTTTTTTTTGTGAGATGAAATGTGGAGTTAAGTGCTTGAGGAAGAAAAGAGCAATTCAAATGTCTGAAAAAGAGAAGAAGAGATGTGACAAATAGTGCATGACCATATCTTACCATCTACAAATTGTTCAGATTTGACAAAACTGACAAACTTTTCCCCCCTGATTGAGAAAAGTTGCTCCTCTCTCTTATCTGAGGACAGCGGTGGTTTGGAGCCCTTACATAACTGAACCAACTGCGGCAGGTCAGCCATGAAGGTTGCAGGTACAGAGCAGTTATAGAAACGTGGGAAGATATACGCCATCTGCTGTGCTGGACATGGAAGATAGAAATAAGAAATATTATGTATGGACAGTATTAATACAAACATAAAAAGAGAGAGAGAGAGAGAGAGAGAGAGAGAGAGAGAGAGAGAGAGAGGTTTAAAGGGTTTATTTTTTAATTGAAAGTGTTGGACTTCTGTTCTTTTTTGCTCAAATGAAACATCAACCGGAACCATTTTTAATTAATACTGTTATGGAGGCTTACACATATGGATGTTATAGGTTTATGACGTCTATTCATTTGATTTAATTTAATATTTTTTATTAAGATAACAACAGGATGTATTTGAGATTTTCCTTTACTAATAAAAAATTGTAAATAAAGAAACCTAAGAAAATTTGCTTGCCATTGAAATCTTTATTAAGATATGCATTTATCCAGATCCTCATAAGTTCACAGCATGAAACTGATGTATTGCCCAGAGAGTTCATAGTTATTGTTTATTTTTAATTTTGCCCCTGGTAAGGCCTTTATATTTGCTGTGTCATGAAATTGACAGCATTCAGTAAGTAAGAAGGTAAAACCACATAAGTCTACATATATGAGGATACAATACAATACACTGTGAACAACTTTTTCCATTAGCAGTGTTCATATCACATGTTTTATGACGTGTCTGGTGACGTGGAAATACTCCACACTATGCATTCAACTCCAAATTAATTGCATTGTTGAAAACATCCTTTTAGTATATCTAAACAAACAAAAGTACTGGCACTTTAAATCACATCAGTGTAGTTGTTTATTTTATTTATTTATTTATTTAAGAGAATAACCTTCAAACCCTCCAACCCGTTTTGTTTGCACGGAGGAGCCTGACAGTCTTACATAAGACCAGGTTTCTGTTTAAATTGTGTTTACCATTCAGCAAATAGAGAATTTTGTAAGTTGACATGTAAGCCTGTTTTTGTTACATGTTGAGCCGTCACTCACCTATTTGGAGGAACTGTTTATACTGGTAGGTCACACACAGAGCGGTCTGACCATAGACTTTGCCAGAGGAGGGGTAAACGTAGCCTTTCTCTGGGAATGAGGGGAAATGGGGGACACTGTGCGACAGCCAGAAACCTTGAGAGTTGTCAAAGAGCATGGCCCCTGCAGGAGTCACACAAACAACCCTCAATGCATGAACAACAAAATACACACATGTTCATCAGCATGCCTTCATGTACATTTCAACCAAAGTCTCATCAGGGTAGTCAATAATCCAGAGTCAACAGTTGTTATCAGACAGGTGCCCTTTGCTCATTTCCTCCCCTGATACCAAATCTCATTGATCTGTTCTTTTTTTGCTAAATCATAGCACTAGAGTAAAGTTCTGGAAGGTACCACGTTAAGGAATGTTCAGTTTTTATATACTGAAAGCATCATAAGCTGAGAACTTAAAAAGATAATAAATAGGAATGGCAGAATGATTGAATCAGCAATTTTCACCAGATGTACAAGAGTTTATGTAGTGTAACTGTTGCTTTAACGTTGTTTTCGTTTGGCACAATCTTCAATTATCCTACAGTGTTCTTTCACCAGGAAAAAAAACCCCACGTTTTTCAGTTTACTGTACCTTTGGTGTGTCCATATCCACGGATATAATCTGTCAACGGTGGAGCATCATTGTAGAGAGCGTAGACTGAACTGTTAGACTGAGAAACAAATACTCATTTCATACATTTTGAACATGGAGAAGTACACTTTCTGGGATGTGGTTTAGCTTTAACACTTCAATAATTTTGTAACTTGACATCTTATTAAGGTTTGACCTATAAAGAAAGATGATTCTTTACTGTCGTGGTAAGACTTTTGCGAAATGAGTATCCATTCAATTTGAATCTACAGACAGAAAAAGGTTACAATGTGGGGGGAAACAAGAAAGTTGTTGAGCTTTGTGTCCAGCTGCTTTATTAAGTGATGTAAGGAATTTGAGATAATAAGTAAAGATTAATCTGTTTTCACTGGGGAAAAAAATCAAGTTCCTTGTTAAACCAACGTGTACTTGTTATCTTTTGGTTTACTGAACTTATATTTACTATTAAGGTGATGTCATCACAATATTTTCTTTACACTGATGACCAAACCAAGATGCAAGAGGTCAAAAAGCTCCAGGAACACTTGTAGTATGAGGTTTAACTTTATTAAATAGGTACTTAAATGATGTTTGCAATGTGTTTCTTGGTGACCCTGATGGAGGCCACAAGCTGAAATGTGTCAGTCTAATACAGTTAATAATTGATCTTCATACTACAAGTGTTGCTGGAGCTTTTACTCTTCAAGCCTTTCACTCTTCATGCACCTTGGTAGTTGGTGAAGTTGCAAACCAGGAACCTTTTGTCTTTGAGGGGACAGCAGTAACCATTGCACCATTTACTTTGTGGACTGTCATCTTTATTATACATTATTATTTGTGTCAACTTTTTAACAAGGTGTAACCTTTTGACTCATATTCTTAATTTCAATTGAATCATTTTTGTAAGTAGGAAAACTTTACATTGGTTGAGATGACAAACACAAAATATTTATACTTCTAGTTTTTCTGACAATGGATTTTACGTAACAATGACTACTTGTTTTTATAGCGTAGCTTAGTACAACCTGCTGACTGGGTTGTGGATTTGTATTTACTGCACTCTTAGTATGAAATGAAACAAGACTATATGTCAGTCATTGCTCTATCAGTGGTAACATTTGAGCCCTTTTTTATGTTCCATTTTTATTTTGTTCTCTAATGCAGACGACAAACGACTAAGAGATGTGCGTTCCATGAAACTCAAAGTGAATGACATGAGGAAGGAAGCATGTTAATGTTCAGCTACAGTTCAGTTCCCTATAAAAGAGTGTTAACGCTGCAAGCTGGCTCGAGCTTCAGCTCTGATTGAAAGGGTTTCTATCTGCCTTCACACACAGGCTTCACTGTTTAAAAATGCTAAAAGAAAGAGGACATACACTCACCTCGTAGGCCTTTCCCATGTAAAGTTGGTTCAGAGTGCTCACCAAGGCTCCCTGACTGGTGTTAACCATGTATTTACTCATGTGCCAGCCTTCTGCTGAGGAGTCTAGGTACATGTAGTCCACTCCACTGCCCACCTCGCCGATCTTATACCTGGGCATCTTGTAGATGACGAACCTGAGAAAAGGAGAGAGATACTGTCAAGAACAATATAACAGTTATCTTAGCTACAAAGTTGATAGTATTGTACCCTTAAAACTAACATTAAATACTATAGAACAACTCACCAGTCAACAGGCTCCCCAGCTTCATTTCTACATGAAATATTAGCACTACACACTGTGTAATAGTTAAACAATAAAATGATCTGCAGGCAGAAACTAAAGCACTCGGCCACCATGACTGACTCCTGCAGGTGTAGTGAACAAAAAAAGGGAAATATGAAATCTTATATCAGCACGTCTGCTTCAAGATTGAGTAACCGATAAAGCTAACACAGCTGTAGCTGCGAAAACAGGAAGTCACACGATGTGGTCATAAAACAGGGAGATACAATACTGAAGGATATGGTCAAGGTTATAGTCAGGGAACTGGAAGGGTTTGGTGCTTTCACTGGTTCTAAATCTATGCTACTCAACTGAAACATACCCAGGGGGAGTTTTGGAGCATTTTTTTTTAGCTCTCTTTCTCTCATTTAGAGTGCTGCACCTGCTTCTCACTATAAATAGAGTCATCTTTTATTAACATGGGGGTGCTGATCTCTAAAACGTAAAACATCTGGCCAAATAACACTCTCATATTGTAAGTAAATGTTGAAATGAAACTGTTTCATTTCACCTCACACTCTCTTATTTTGTGGTGCACTGATTTCATAAATGATTCACATGTTTTAAGATTCAACGTAATAAAGAAAGTTACAAACCTTAAGGTGTGCATTTACCTTTCTAATGTAGCGCTTTAATACTTTAAAGAATCTCTGTGATTAGATCTTAAACCACTGGCTGTAGAAGTTGAACAGTGACTGACTGTCAACGAAAAAAACACAACATAAAAACTGAAACATTAAAAGAATTGAAAAGTAAGACTGCAGCAATTTTATTCCATTGATTTAGCTACTACATGTCTGGATCGTATTAATAATCTTTTTTTTGGTCATCATTAAACCACTTTAGTTGAAAACAAAGAAGTGATGTGGATTTTAAGATAAACTAATTTATTCCTCTTCGCTCTCTTATTGTATGTTTACAACAAAATAATGTTGTACAGAGAGCGAGTAGAATTGGAAATAAATTACAATGAAGATCATATACATTATTACTACTTTTTGGTATATATATACATATATACGACATGTTCCTTCTGCTCTATTAAAAGTTATACATTTGGTGAATTTTTGATACGATGGTTCATTTAGAGCAGTGGTTCTCAAACTATGGTACGGGTACCACCGGTGGTACGTGGGCTCCCTGTGGTGGAACCCAAAGAAATCTCCACAATATAAAAAAGCATAAAACGACAATTTTTTTTTTTTGTCGTACTCTTATCTAGCTTGTTTCTATTGGGTTATATTTATATCAAATGTGTTTTCCCCTCTAAATTAATCTAGTTTTTGCAACAAAGAACTTTAATCTGCTCAATTTATGCTCACGCACAGACATAAACAACAACAGGAGTACGCCTCGCGTTTTTAAAAGTTCCACTCGATATGCCGTTATGGTTCAGTACTGAAACAACAGCAAGCAGCTGTAGGCCTACATTAACAGATATCCTGTTAATCAATCAATCAATCAATCAATCAATCAATCAATCAAGTTTTATTTGTATAGGGTCAACTCATAACAAGTGTTATCTCGAGACACAAAAAGCAGGTAAAAGCAGGTAAAATACCTTACTTATTGTCTTTTAACATCACAAACGAGCAGGTAAAAAGACCTTACTCATTGTTATGTTACACAAAGGAGCACATTAACAGATATCTGTTACTGTAGGCCTACATTAACAGATATCTGTTACTGTAGGCCTACATTAACAGATATCTGTTAATATAAGCCTACATTAACAGATATCTGTTAATGTAGGCTTATATTAACAGATATCTGTTACTGTAGGCCTACAATAACAGATATCTGTTAATGCACGGAGCCTGCGGAGCGCGTGCCTGCACTCTCACGTGCTCTCTCTCTCAGGCACGCAGCAATTTTATGAATAAATGAAAAATTAAATGAGAACAGGTCGGAAATATACTTGGGCCCAGGTATCATCTTTGTGTGGGAAACACTGGAGACTAAATATTTCCAAACAGGTTGTTGGTATAAAGTTGTCATTTTTATTGTTCTGCACTTTTGTGTTCTAGCACTAGCCCTCAGTAGGCCTACAGTCTGGCTGCCAGCAGTCAATAACAAATAATATTCTTTTTATGAATTAATTTGCCTCTTGCATGAAATGTGTGTTGAAATAGGCCTACAGTGTATTTTAACGTCTACTATAATGGTGATACTTGGAGAGCCAAATATTTTCGGAGGTGGTACACAGTTAGTTTGAGAACCACTGATTTAGAGTTTACAATGTTACCAGTTTCTGGGTTGTCAGGTTGAGGAGAAAGAGTCTTTCAACAACACTTGTTTTTTTTTTTAAATGTCTTTAGCTCAACAGAGGAGCTTCTCCAACTTTTCAAACATTCAACTCCTGAAAAATATCTGCAGAACAAATACAATTAAAATAAAATGATACAGCAAAGGTTGAAGTGACTTATTAAGATGAACAACCCGTGACCCTTGTGAATGACTAACATTTGTATCATGCTTCTTTTCAAAGGATGATTAACACATCGATTATCATTACTTCCAGCTCAGACAAAGTCCATATTAAAACTGAATATGGGAGTCAATTTAGCTTATCAGTAAAAATAGAGCAACTACATGTGAAAACTCAAAAAGATCATCTTTACTTTATAATATCATGATAGACTGTCAAACAAATGTACAAAAAAATGATGGTAGCATACATCGTATGCATGGTAATAATAAAACTGGTAGTTGGTTCATATTTGTGTTCTACTTTGATGTTTGTTTACTGAATAAACCCTCAGATCGGATCATATCGGAACATTTGCACATAAACACATTTATTATATTAATAATATAATATTATGCAGAGTGTCCTATACTTTACCTTCTTACAATGCACCTAAATGACTATTTTGATCATATGTAATTGTAAAAAGCAAACATCACTGTGTTAGCACGCATGTTCAAAAGTGTATTTACACACATTCTGCCAGTGAAACAGGCCCAAAAGCAAACGTTCAAAGGTTGGACCACCCTTAGAAAATCCTCCTCTATTGGTTGGGACACTTTTCGCTGGAGACTCTGCAGGGACTGAGGACAGACTGTCAGCAGGTAAAGGACGAAAAGGATGGCAACTGCTTCAGATCAGGTAAACATTCATTTTTTTATACGGAACAATAAATAAATGAATAAAACTAAATTAAATAGAAGATTAGAAGTTTTTTTCCCCCAGAATAACTTATATAATGTTCAGATTTTTGGGTGAACAACCAGAGGGACAGACTTGAACTGAAGAGCAAAACCACATGTTCTTGTCCCACAAAATCAAACAACCATGTCAAAGCTAACACTCAAACCGGTTCTGTTAACTTTCAGGGAAATGTTCATTCCCGCAACAATATATTAGTTGGTATTCTTGTGATATCATATAAAGGTTCATTGTTTCTTTACTGCCAAAGGAGTATCATAAAGAAAAAAACATCCTTTACTTTTTCCATGTCTTGATTTCTTCATATTTCCATTTACTTATCTATTCCCTTATGTATTCGTCATTGTATTTCCACATTTCTAAATGTACTTTTTTTAAAATTATTATTTGAATTGAGGTGGGCACAAACAAGTATAAAATGGTTCACTTTGGATTGGGGGTCTCTGTTTGCAAGATGTTAAGACACACTGGTGACAAAATCAAAAAGGAAAAAGGGGACTGCTTTACAGTGTATACATCTAATTATGTGAATATACATTTTTAAAAAAACAGGAGATTATATATTCAGGGCATCATTTTACATCACTGGAAGTCTCTGAATGTCAGTGATTTTTTTCCTCATTTGCGTAGAATGTGGAGTTTGTGCGAACGGGCTACGGCAAGAACACTGTAAAGGTGCTGGTGATCAAGAGACAAGGGAGCCACCACTACATCATCGAGCTGAAAGCAGACGTGGAGCTCACACTCAAGACACGCAAGGATTATTTACACGGAGACAACTCAGACATCATCCCCACCGACACCATCAAGAACACTGTGCATGCTCTGGCCAAGCTGAAGGGGGTATGTCTCCAGCCTCGGAAACACAGGGGGCATGTTTGTATACTGCTGCTTAAAAGGGGCAGATGTTATTAAGTTTTCTTCTTCCTGCTCCTGTTTGCTCATGAACAGTGCTTCAGCATTATGAGAAAATATTTTTTGTTGTGTATTATGGTGTTGAAACCATACACTGAATTGAGCAAATAAATCAAATATGAAATGAAATATGAAAATGGCTAAGGCTCAAATTGCAAAACTCTTCATGAACCTATACTCATCAATCATACTTCTGTTACAATATTTACAACAATGTTTAGCCATTAATAGTATAGGAAGGTCAGATGGGGTCAAGGGTACAAAGATACAACAAAATGTCCAGATATGAATCTAATAGATTAACAATTGAAAATGATCAATAATAGATTATATATAGATCGATAAATATTTAAGGTGAAAACACTGTTTTAAATTTTTGCATACTGGCTTGAGGTCTTGATTGATGATTGTCAATCCATAGCTCAAACAGACTAATCATCAAATAAAGGACAAACATGTTGACTTTTGTTTAAATCTGCTCTCCCTCGATGTTTCTTTACTTCCTAGACAACACTCTTATTCGTCTTTCTGGCCTCTTTTCAAAGCTTACAGTCGGTCACTTTTCTTAATATGTCACACACGTCTGTTCAGGTGAAGACCATCGAGCAGTTTTCTCTGGACATCTGTAATCATTTCCTGACCTCTTTCAACCATGTGCTGAGGGCCAGTGTTCACATGGAGGAGGCTCCGTGGAGGAGGTTGGAGAAGGTAAAATATGGATCTCTCCTGGGAAGAAAAAAAAGACTATCCTTTTGGATGGCAGAAATATTTATATTCATTATCACAAATATCCATCATCGAGCAACACTTGTTGAAAAGTTCTCAATTTTTCTCAGAATGGAGTCGAGCACGCTCATGCATTCATCCTCAGCCCAGATGCTCTTCGCTTCTGTGATGTTGAACAGAATCTGAATGGTAAGCACAAACACACATGCAGTATTGTAAACCAATCTGTTTGAAAACAAATGAAGTTGTCAGGCTTCTTATACAGCCTAATATTCGCCACCAGGTATCTGGTATATGTCAGTCCATGCACGATTCTGGTAAAATTTGCCCAAAACAAATCAACTGGTTTTTGGTAAATTATGGTTTGACAATTACAAATAACAGCGTGGTGCTAGCAGAGGGTGAAAGTCAAAGCTAGCCACTAATATGATGCATTATTTTCAAATTATGCTATAGAGGCTAGAGGGCTACCGAAATATTTGAGGAATCCAAATAAGTCGGTAAACAAAAGATGGTATCAGAAGATCTCTAAAAATATATTTAAATGTTAGCCCTTTTTGCTCTTGGATGCTTTACCTTGGCTGGAATCAACCTGGTGTTTATTGGGCAACGTTAAGCACAGACATAATCCAGTTATTCCACCTTTATTTCATACTATGACACAAACATTTCACCAAAAAATAAAGTAATTTCATTGTCTTCCCATGGATTTATAAACAACATTTTTCAAAACAGAAAACCACAACTAAACAGTCGAGTAAAAACACAGACAAAAAGTGACACACATATCAACTATGATGAAGTAAAATTTAAAAAAGTATGTCATCGATTTCTGCTACCTCAGTAACTGTTCCCATCCCCAGTACAATATCCATGTTGTCAATTAGTATAGCACCAGTTTCTCCAGCCAGCCTGGGTCTATGCATCCTCCATTACGTCTACCCATGGTAACCATCTGTGAATGAAATTAAATTAGGTTTAAAGTTATTTTCTTTATTACGTAAATTCCTATAGAAACTACTTTCCATGTGGCACAGGTTAGGGGATTTCTTTAAAGTTAGTGCCTCAATGCCTTTTGGCTCCTATTAGAAGCTAAAATTACAGACGTATGTTATTTCTGCTTGTCACTGATTTGGCACACGTACTTGCAAATGCTGATGATGATATTTCTGTGGTGAGATTGATTTTTTTATTTTGAAACCTAGTGTGAGGCCTGAGATCAAGTATGTCCTCCCTATGCTCCTATGCTACTGTCACAGTGTTTGTTATGTGTTTGATTGCATCACATTGTGCCTAACACAGGCGTGCCCGTGGTTCACAGCGGGGTGAAGAGCATGACGGTGTTGAAAACCACCCAGTCTGGTTTTGTTGGTTTCCTGCGAGACCGCTTCACTACCCTGCAAGAGGCAAAAGACAGATGTTTCTGCACTTCTGTCTACGCTAGGTGGCGCTACAACACGGTTCAGGGTGTCGACTTCGATGCTGCATGGTAACTGTCTGCTAAATACCTGGGGGGACCTACATCTTTGTTGTAGATGGAGAGTGTAGATTAAACTGCCAAAGATGTTAGATATTCTTAACACAATATGTCATATGTATGTCAAAAATGTAAAATGGGAAATTACATGTTTTCACTGTTTTTTTAGGAAATGTGTGAAGGAGACTATCATCGAGAAGTTTGCTGGCCCCTATGATAAGGGAGAGTTCTCCCCCTCTGTACAGAAGACCCTTTATGAAACGCAGCGCCTGGTCCTGGATAGAGTTCTTGAGGTAGGACTATATTCATGAGATTTATATTCAAGGTTAAATCTACACTTCAAATAAATACATCATTTCACAAAAATCTGTCCATCAGGTGGATGAAATAGAGATTGTCATGCCAAACCAGCATTACTTCACCATAGACATGACAAAAATGGGCCTCAGCAACAAAGATGAAGTAGGTCCTGCTTTACACCTAACCTTTCAAGTTGTTAAATGATGAATTTAGGGGGTTACTGACATGTGGGTTTCCCCCCCCCTCACAGGTGCTTCTTGCGCTGGACAATCCATCAGGCAACATCACAGGGACAGTACGCAGGAAGCCACAAGCCAAGCTGTGAAGTCCCCGACACAAAGCACTGCTACTGCACAAATCAATCTGAACAAACTGATTCAACGGAAAAAGCAAAAGTGACATGGTCATGTCGATCAGATCAAGTTATGGGAACAAAAATCCCCTCTTAATTATTCTGCCAGAATTACGTCTACTCAAATGTTATAACCATGTAGTGTGAATAAAAGCTGAGATATAGGGATATAGGTCATTTAGTGATTAATTCAGATACTCTTTCAGTGGGACTTATCATGAGCACAACTTTTAATTTCTGTTCTGTTTGCGCACACAAACTACAGCCTTTTACATGTTGCCAGTTCCAGGTGGGATCATTTAAATTACAATTATAATTATCCTCTTTACACCTCTTCTGCAGTGTGTAATGCACGTTGATGAAATGGTTGGGCGAGGTCGTTCCAGCCCTAAACAGCCAGGGTGAGACAATGGCAATGTGTAATTACAGGCTGGAATAGGGCTGTGTGTGTGTGTGTGTGTGTGTATGTGAAGCGTCCACTGCTCTTATACGCTGCACCTCCAGTGATTTTTGCAACACTGTAAGGCAATGTGAAATCACAATCACAATGTAAATGTGTATGCTGGGCAGCCATTTTGCTGGTAGGATGAAGGAAGGGAAATATGCTTTCAACATGAGAGCTTACGTATGACACATTTGAAAGATTTGCCCTCATGCAATATCTTCAAAGCTTTTGTTTCCAGGGTTGGTAGTGCATTTGCTAAATATATATCGACCAAAGAATAACAAGCATAATCAATAAATTCCTACACCAATGTTGTTCTTTGGTGAGAAAAAAAGAGCACCATTTATTGCAAATCTTTGATTCAAGATTTTCAAACTCCAGTGTAATGTTTCACATACATTGTTCATACACACTTCAATACAGTTGTCGTCGTGACAATGCCAAAAGCACCACAAGTAGGAACGCAATAAGAATATATATACACATAAATAATTTCATATCAAGAGCCTTGAGTCTGGATAATGTAGGTGTGCAGTAACAAAGAGGCTTCAGATTGGCTCGTGTCAGGGAAAACAAAGATGCTTCATAGTTACATGCTAAGGACTACTCATGGACTCAGCTGCACAGTTTAGAGCATAAAAGTGATTTCAGGACTAAATGGGATGCATTAGAATCATTAACTGCATGTATCAAAGTGTTCAGGTAGGACAAAACATACACAGTTTTCAACTATATATCATCTTATATACAAATACTTTTTTTAAACCAACATGGGTCACTTCACATCGCACACACACACAAAAACAAACATACACACTAAAAGAATTATACCCGCTGAGTATTGTCCCAAAAAGTCATTCAATTTAAATTAAAGACGCACAAAAAATGAAATTCATTTCTCAAGCAGCAGACAGAAATAATGGCTGAAAGGGTAAACAGCTGAGTGGACTTGGTGTGCAACCCATTTTTGGGGGCGACACTTGTAAAAAAAACATACAGCATTAAAGTCCTGTTAAGGTGCCGCCAGAGGAGCTGCAGCTAACCTGGGATCTCCTGTCACGATGATTGTCACTGAGGTGGGGGTTGGGGTGGGGCCTGCGCTGCTACGAGGCGTTGCTCTTCAGGTGTTGAGTTTGCAGCGGCTTTACGTGATACTCGTATATTTTCAGAGCAGGGCCGAGCTTTATTGACAGCCCAGTAAGGACGTCATTACGCGTCATCAGGAGCAGGGACTTGCCATCGATTTCCTGTCAGGTGGAAAGACAGAAATGTTTGAATAAAATCCTGGCTTTCTTTTTTAACGTGATGGGACTATTTGAGCATGAAGAGCAACCTAACCTGATCCTGGAAAGCTGTGGCTTGCTCCTCAAACCCTGTTGCTTTGAAGTAATTGACAACGTCAGCGACCCCCCAATTGGCCGGGTCTGGCAGCTGACCGTTCTCCACGGGGCTGCGAGGTCACAGAGTGCACAGTCAGCTGTATCATCTGTTTAACAAAGTCTATCAAATCTTTTAATAATGAGTTTTCCCAAATGAATTTGAAATTTTACCTTTTTGTGTCAACAGAGCCATTTGCCTTGTCCTCCATGCCGGCTGTAGAAAACAATAAATTCAATGATGAATACACCTCTGACTGTTTGTTAACAAGCATAACAACATTTAGCAACTTTCATGTTTTTATAATCCATCTGAATTTACTTTAAAATGATTTCAAAAACACAACACACACACACACAAGATGCATTGCTTTAAAAAATAGATATCTTAACTGCTATGTCCACTTACAAGTTCACAACTCAGCAGATGACCCTCTATAAACCATAGCTTTGCAATGCTCCTGAAAAAATCTACTTGTAAGTGGACTTTCACCTTTGAAAACACTATTTTTTATTTTTTTCTCAATGCAAATCCTTCAGGTGCTTATTAGAGATGTTGTTATAAATGATGATAATTTGTGAGTCAAATATTACTGCAAGTAAGTCGTTTATAGTTTACATCGCTTTTTTAATAACATTTATTTCTGTATTTCAGCAAGAAACGGTATCTGAAGACACCTTTAAAGACGAGTTGAAATAAGTATTAGATTTATCAGTCAGACCATTAACAGCAATCAAATACTTCTTTTTTAACCCATCATCCAACACTGATGCAGAACATTGTCTGGTTCCATCTCCTAAAAATTGAGGTTTTGGCAGACTTTATTTATTTGAATTGAAACTATAATCATTGGAAAATAAATGTAATCCAGTGGATTATTTGGACTGTTTTTTAACGCACAAAAAAAAAACATTCTTAATATTTGTTGTCGCCAATTTGATGTTTTATAGTGCGCGTGTGGTTAGTCAGGTAAACATTGCTTCTGCTGCTACATCACCTACACACCTGGGTAAAGGTGCTAGATACAGCCAGCGAGAAAAGGGGGTCAGATTTGAATGGGGACAAGGAATCAGGAATCAGAGGAGGCGAAACTGCGCATATGTGTGAACGTGTTTTTTATGGTTCCTTTTGGTGTCTAATGTCATGTTTTCATACCAGCTTGATTTTACTAAAAGCAATATATGCTATTTCTGAATTTTCGGAATGAAGTTCAATCTTGAATCCATTTCCATACATTTACAACACTGCATTACATATTGCGGATGTCATGCTACTATTTGCAAGCTTTTGTAAATATTTTGTACATCCTGTTCTCTTCCATTTTTCACCACAGGGTTTAAAAAAAAAAAAAAAAAATCAGTTTTGATTGACTCAGTTTTTCAGCAGCTCTTTTTTTAAAACGCAGTTTCATCTTTGTCATCTACAACAACCAAGACTTCGTCGTTTAAAGGACAACTTTTTCTTCTGATACGAGATCATTATGAACAATAAAACCAACTTTGATTAAATAAATCCAACTAACAAACATTTACCCTCTAGTCAGCCAGACTTTATTAGTCTTGGTGTTCAGCTGGGAGTTTAAACACTGCTTGGTCAAAACCAAACATTACTTCATAATGAGCCTCTCATCGGCCTGAGGGCTCTGTGCGCTTCTTCATCACACGAGCAGAATTTAAAACAACATCGAAACATTGAGGCAGTTCTATTGTTAAGTTTAAGCAAGAATTAGACACAGCACAGGCTTAACGAGCGTCTTACAATCTGTTATGTTGCAGTAACTTTTCATCAGATGTCTCCTGACGGGGAACTTTAGTGCGTTGCCAGTTTAAATATCATCACTGCATCTTTCTCCACTGGACATCCTCACTGCAATGACAGCACCACGGAGCACCTGGAGAAGCATTACAAATTACATTTACATTAGAAACAGAGAGTAACACATTGTTTATAACGCTTCAATTACTGACAGTGTTAAAATTAGGACACAAACTAGTTATCTAGATCAACAATAGGAAAATAACATCACTTAAGAGATATTGCCACACATATACATAAAGTTAAAATTAGAAAATTCCTGCAAAGCGTAAGATAACTACCTCTATACTAAAGGACGAAATGTCGTATTTAATCGATGCTGTTCGTATTTAGCTAACAGGGATAGTTAGCAGGCATTGCTATTTCAAAATGTAACAGTTACCTTATTTCAGATGATTCCTGCTTGACAACAGCGGATCTTCAAAGATAATCACCTACCTTAGATAACAAAAAGCTGCTACGTCACCAAAATAATTTATAAATCAAATTAACGGACCACAATAACGTGATGAAATAAGGATTTAATCAAGTAAAGCCAACTAGCACCTCTTCATCGGTTTAGCTTCCTTCGCCCACATGACAGCTGAGAATCATGGGAATTGAAGTTCTTTCGGTTTTGACGCTACACAGTTTGTTGCTCGGTATGACCAGAGCCTTATAATACAGCTGTTTAATTGTAAGGCTCTGGGTATGATCATACTATCAATATATTGCGATAATAGCATTTCTTACCACATTTAAAAAAAAAAAAAATCACAAAAAAATGAGTTTTTATTAAAAACAATTTATTATAGTGACATATCCTTTGTTACATAAAATCTGCTACAGCAAAGTAGGCCTATATTTCCCTTGCAAACACAAGTAAATATGGGTGGGAAAAAAAACGTGTCAGCCGTCTAAATGATGTGCAAAATAACTCACAAACTAAATACAGACACATTTCAGATAATTGATCCCATACTTGCATGTGTGACTAGGCATGAACAACTCATACTGATTTCCTTCAGTCAGGTCTGTGAGGTGGCTCAGGGAAAAGTGCCATCATATTACATCAAATATGACAAACATTATTACACACACAGAGGATAAATGACACATAAATAGAGCTGTGGATTACCTACACACTCTGGGTATAGGTTTACACACGGGCCATTTGGGCAGAAACATGCTGAATTCCCAGGTGTAGTTTTCAAAGCTTCTCCGAATGAAACGATTCTTCAATTACCTACTGTTTCAAGCCTTCAAACGTGTGAAATAATTTGGATCATTCTTGATAAAGTGATTTTTTTGGAGTTAATAATTTAAAATAAAAAGGTTTGAAGATAAAATAAATTGAAATAAAAGACTTCAATTTAGACATTTGCATCATTTCCTTTTTAAATGTGGTATTTTTTTTAAATAAATGTCTAGTTTTTCATTAGTGCAAATGAATAAAAAGTTAATATAAAATCCAAATGTTTTCACTATAAATAACCACTTTGTGAATAAAACAGTTACGATCCCTAGAGAACTATGCAGGTCGAAAAAATGT